GCCACTGTGTTTGGGAATTCTCTTAACAGTTTAAGGAACATTTTGAGTTATTTGCTGATTTTATTTTCTCAAGGGGATCCAAGATCCACAAAGGATTAAGCATGCTAAAATTAGCACAGTTGTTTGTGCTTAGACAGAGGAGAAAGGAGAATAGGGCTGCTAAGGGATACAAAGTTATTATTGATATATTGCAGAGGTTCTATACCTTTCAATTAGAAATGTGTATTTTCAACTCAAAATGGATTAAAGAACTAGACATAAGACCTGAAACCATAAAATACATAGAAGGAAATATAGGCGAAACACTACGGGATTTGCACATCAAAGACATCTTTACAGACACATCACCCAAAGCAGTGATAGTGAAGAGAAAGATAAACAGCTGGGACTACATCAAATTAAAGAGCTTCTGCACAGCAAAAGAGACAATAACAAAAACAAAGAGAAACCCCACCAACTGGGAGAACATTTTTGCACCCAACACTAATGATAAAGGACTGATCACAAAAATCTGCAAAGAGCTGATGAGACTCAGCAACAACAAAGAAAATAATCCAGTCAAAAAATGGGCAGAAGAGCTAAAAAGAAACTTCTCTGAAGAGGAAATGCAAATGGCTAACAGACATATGAGAAAATGTTCAACATCACTTGTCATCAGGGAAATGCAAATCAAAACTACCATGAGATACCATCTCACACCAGTGAGAATGGCACATATTAAAAAAACTAGCAACAACAAATGTTGGCGAGGATGTGGAGAAAAAGGAACTCTTGTGCACTGTTGGTGGGAGTGCAAACTGGTCCAACCACTATGGAGAGCTGTGTGGAGATTTCTGGACCTACTAAACATAGAGCTTCCATATGATCCAGCAATTCCACTCCTAGGTATTTACCCAAAGGACACAGAAACATCAATTCCAAAGAGCACCTGCACTCCTATGTTTATAGCAGCACTGTTTACAATAGCTAAGCTTTGGAAACAACCCAAATGCCCAAAAATAGATGACTGGATCAAGAAGATGTGGTACATATATACCATGGAATATTACTCAGCATTCAAAAAAGATAAACACATGCAATTTGCAGCAACATGGATGGCACTGGAAGGGATCATGCTCAGTGAAATAAGCCAAAAAGAAAAAGAAAAATACCGGATGGTCTCACTCATAGCAGGAATCTAGAAAACTTAAATAAGGGACCAGGAAAATGAATATAAGAAAGTGAAAATCAAAATCAACAAAAAACTATGAACCAGAGACACTTTTTGGGGGGCGGGGGGGAAAGGATTGGGGTCAGAATTGGGCGTTTGCAATTGTATGGGGGAATATAAAAATAAAATTTAATATTTAAAAAAAAAAAAAAAAAAAAAAAAAGAAATGTGTATTTTTCATATGTTTATGATCATTCCCTGGAAATGGAAGCTAAGTTTTCCTTCTATATTTTTATCATAAAATACCCTTGAAAGAGTATTTCTAATTTTCTAAGGAGACAAAAATAACTTCAACAAGTAAACAGAAGATGCTCTATCATTCAGGTGGCTTTGGAGTCATCAGCACTTGTCAACACAAAGGGACAAAAACTTCCTTCTTGCAAAAGATGACACAAAGGCTTTATGTTTTACAAAACCAGTTTTAAGGTCATTTGGCTTTTCTTCCGATTAATGATTTAATTTTAGCATCAGCTATCTTCACAACATTAAATCAAAAAAAATCATGGAGACACAGTGACAATAATTGTAGAGAAAGATGAACAGAAACTCAAATGACAGGCTTTTAACAGATATACCAGCCACCCAAATTTGCAGCATATGAACTTTTTTTTTAAAGATTTTTAAAAAATTTTTTACTTTTTTTATTTATACAAGCACTAGGTACAGTCAGAAGCGCGGGAGGGTGAGAGAATTCACCAGAGCTAGAGTGGGAACAGAACAGGCAGGCTGACAAAGTACACTGCTGAGAGGAGCAGTGGGTGCGGCAGGAGAGGTCTGTCGGGCCATGGGGACCCTCGTCGACAGCCAGGAATCTAACCGGTGCTGCAGAGGCTGCAGGCACCTTCGCAGCCCAGCACTCAACCGCTGTGCCACCAGGGGAGGCCTTGCAGCACATGAACTTTAAGAGCCCTGTTTCTCTAGTAAATACAACGAAGAATTCACAACAGAGAGCAAATCAACTAACGTGAACAGCATATCTTGCTGTGAAGTACTCTTGCCTGGACTCCAGAGGAGATAGGAGTGGAGAGGCCACACCTTTCTGAGAAATTCTAGCCCTCACAAACACCTCCCAAAAGTTTAATGTGATGTGGGGTCTCCTAGAGGCAAGTCTCCTTTTTCCTGTTTGAGAGAAAGCTGCGTGATGCCTAACATAACAACTTAAGAGGCTGTAAAGCTAGGGTCTCCAATTATGTGGCCCAAGAATAGCTCCTGTACCTTCTCTAATGTCCGCAGAGACCCAGGCACCCTCTGCCTCCTCTGGGAAGCCAACCATCCACCCACCTCCTTGGGAGTGGGCATGGAGATCAGAAGGGAGGAGCAGAGGTAGATACAGTGCTGGGTTCCTGGACAGTGGAAATGCTTTAAAATTGGCTTGGGACCCTGTGATCCTTCGGGAGAAACTTTTTCAGACAAAGGCTGACACCTGCCCTTCCTGAGGAAGGGAGACCGCCTCTTTATTGGAGAATGAACTGCTCCCATGAACCTCTTGAGGGCAGACATCCAGTTTGTGGGTACATCAGAGATGCAGCTGGGCCTCTACACAGTGATATCATGTGAAATGTCACCAAGAGCAAGGGTGAAAGCACCAGCCTGAGGGTCTTATGTGTAGGCACCTGGACCTATCAATGCAGCACAAGGTCATCAGTGCTACAGAGACACAGGTGCTGGAAAAATACGGAACTGGAAAAAGGGGTTCAATGAGGACCCTAGTGTACCTCCCTTTAAATAAATGAACAAAACAAAAACAAAAGTATGAGAGACAGAAAACAAGGATAAAGATGCTGGGAGGAAAGAACCCAGCTCTGGCCCCTCAAAGTCCTGCATCACTGCCTACTTAGAAATGGCGCCTTCCAGGTAGAGCTCAATGATGCACATGGCAAATGTGAGCTCAGCCATAAAGCCCTGGGGTTCTTAACATTCTCATTTCATTCTTTCTTTTTTAAGATTTATTTATTTATACAAGAACCAGGGTACAGGCCAGATGCGTGGGAGGATGAGAGGATTCACCAGAGACAGAGTGGGAAACAGAACAGGCAGACTGACGAAATACACTGCTGAGGGGAGCAGTAGGCGAGACAGGAGAGGTCTGCCATGCCATGTGGGATTCTCGCCGGCTGGCCGGGATCGAACCCATGCTGCAGAGGCTGTGGACAGCTTCACAGTGAGGTGTTCAACTGCCTGCGCCACCAGGGAGGCCCTCATTTCATTCTTCATGAACTCCTGTTTAACAGCTGAGGACCCTGCACAATGCTCCAAGAGGAGTTTTCGCAAGGAAAGCCCAGAAGAGACAATGGCTACGTGGCAACTTACATGGCATTGAGCTAGGATTTGAATTTGAGGTTTCTAAAACAAGGCTAATACTTTTTCCATTGTATTCTCCATTGCTGAGCTGTAACAAGGTTCCATGTGATTAAGAATATATTGCTCCATAGAGAAAAGATGCCTTTTGAAAGCCTTGCCTTGCTGGTTTTATTCTCTTTACTCTGAAATTCCTGGAGGCAGGCTCACAGACTGAACACTTTATAGCTGGTTGGGCCGGCGAGGCTCTTGCTGTGAGTGCTGACTGGCCAAGATGTTTCTTCTTGGCGTACACACTAGACACTGGTTTCTACTCACCAGGGTTCAGCCTTTGGGAGCCAGTGTTAGTGGCCCCAAACTGCTTTTGCACTGACCACAGTTTTGGGTGAAGAATAAAAAAAAGGAAACCTTAAAAGACCTAAAATGCTTAACATCAGAAAGTAATTTAAGGAGAAAGCAGTGACATGCTAGAAGGAGCACAGAGGTTGGAATAAGAATTGGGATTTGGTCCCAGGCCTGTCACCAGTAGCTGGGTGAATGCACCCAAGGGGCCAAACTTCTCTGGCTGTTGGACCACTCCTCTGCCCTGTTAGCCTTGCATGCCCTGTGCAACATAAGAAAACTTTCAATGCCCAGCAAGTCCAAGGCTTGATAATCTGTCACACATGTGTCATATATGTAAAGTGCTCTATTAGAGCTCTCTCTCTCTCTCTCTTTCTTTGGTTTGAGAAGGAGCAGGGGCAGTTATATTCTGGGAGACATCATCAATTCTCTTCTGGGGGTATCCCGGACTCCTGAATAAACTCTTTGAGGGTTTGTTCCAACTTCTTACAGTTCTAATATGGTTCCTAGGATTAGACAGGGGCAGACACACACAGACTACAGTTCCTGGTTCCCACAATTGGCTCTTAGAGTATGGGGGGAGCCAAGGCACATGGTCATAAACACCTTATCCCTCACCAGTGTCCTCTGTGTCAGCCTTAACCCAACTCCAGGCTGGGGGAAGGTCATCAGAGGAAGGGAAAGGTTGTTCTCAATGTGATCCAAGCCATTCATTCAAGGGCTGGAGGACGTTACTAGGGCTACTAGTAGGCCACCTGTAGTGCTGGTGACCTTTCCCCCTACTAGTGACAAAGGCCAGTGTGACTCTTTCAGGAGCATTCTTTGTCCTGGAAGGATGGATTGGGGCTCTGCTAATAGGACATCCTGATATATTTTTAGTGGTGGCACTGTCTGTTCTACCTGCTTAGTCCCTCACTCTGCCTGCCCTTCTTCCATGCTAGTTTTGCCTCTTAGTTGCAAAGGGAGAGTGGGTTCTTCTGCATTCTCACTGTAACTTCCTGTAGAGTACACCTGAATGTCAGTGTGCTGCGGCAGCTCAGTCCATCCTGGCCTCACAAGGGACCCTGGACAATGCTCCAAGAGGGGTTTTCCCAAGGAAAGAAGGGTCTGTATCCAAATTAGCTTTCTGAGCCCCACTGCCCCTCCTCACCACCAAGACGTGCTCAAGAAGGTCCAGGTAGCCAAGGGTGCACTCCGTTCCGTACCGCAAGGCTCTGGTGCGCACCTCCTCGCTGACATCAGGGTGGAAAGATGCTTGCTGGAAAGAGAAAGGAATAATGATTTGTTAAAATAGGCTGGTGGGGGTGAGAGGGGTAAGGTGGTGTTCACCTGCTGGATCCAGCAGCCCTGGATCCAGTCCCCAAATCTGGAACTCCCTCTGTTTTATCCCTGGTGACTTCCCTGAGAAACCTCCCCTGAGGCCCTGTGTAGAAAAGTTGGTCTGCTCCATGCTTTCCTGCTAGTTTTTCCTGCCCCGTGTCGATAGCATTCTCCGACCACAGTTTGTGTTTTGCTTTTTTCAGAGGCTTTGGGACCTGACACACTGAATCTTGTTCCTCTGTCTTTCCTTTCTTTCCCCTGCCCCTCCACCTTCCATTGAAATGTAAGAAATTCCACATACACTGTAAAGTCCAGCAAAGACTCATGATCTTGCACAGAAGACATACTGCCCCAGGGTCAGCCTGCTCTCTTTAGCAACATGAGGACTCCTGCAGCCACCTCTCTGTTCACAGGCTCATCATGCCCAGGTCCTCGCCCCATGGCCTGACCATAAAGCAGCCACAGGAGTCTCCAGACCAGGGACTTAGGTCCTGGGAAACTTCAGATAGCGAGCTCCCAAGTGCCCTCAGAGGCGTATAAATCACTCATTTCACATTCTACACGTCAAGATAAGTAACCCAGAACATATGGTTAACAGAGCATCTTGTGCTTTTTTCTTGTACTTGTAACCTGCCAACATGAATTATCATTTCAGATGACACACCCACTCACAGGGGTTGTCACTTTAAATTACAAAATGCCCAGTTACATTTGAATCCTAGATAAACATGAAATTTTCTTTTGTAAAAGTGTGGGATACTTTATTTTTATTTGCTCAATCTGGCAACCCTATTCATTTAGGCTTTCTTCCTTTTATTATCCCACTTAAGAAAGAACTTGAGGAGGCTTATAAGAATACACAAAGTAGAAAACTGCAAATAAATCACAAATCAGGACAAATACAAATCACAGGTTAGAATAATAGGAGTTCAAGGTAGAAGGAGAATCCTGGGTACCCTTCATGAATGCAGCCTTCTATTCAAGCTCCTCTCCCTGGACGAGGGTGATGGTGGGAACAGCTGTGGGTATGCCCCTAAGCTGTACCCCAGGAATGGGGATAATTCAAGTAGCCAGCACATATGAGTCTGCTTTTCTTTATCTGGGACTAAGGGGCCTCAGAGGTAAGAACTGGGTGGCCCTGCGTCTGGTTGAATGAGACAGCACCGTGGGAGGATATGGGCTATGTTGCTACTCAGTGCCACCTCTACTTGGTGGCCTAAAAGGCCCTCATTTAGAGTTGTGCGGAGCGGAGGGTGAGGGGTTCTTGTCTGCTGCTGGTGCCTCCGTGACTCGGTGGGCCCCTTTGGCAGAACAATCACTCTGAGGATATCATACTTTTTGATCCCCTAGTTCTACTTCTGAAAGTCTTATCTAAGAAAATAATCCAAAGCACAGAAAAAAACAGATCTACCCAAAGATGCCCACCACAGCCATGTTTATGCTAAAAAAATACAGACAATCTAACTATCTGACAGTAGGGAAGATATTATATTTATTAATATTTTGTGGTCATCAAGAAGTCTGTTATAATGACACATGAGAACTCAGAAACAGCCCCCAAACTATTAATTCTATTAGTTGATAGAAGATTGTGTCTAATACAAACATATGTACACGAAAGGAAGAACAGGAAAAATGGTGTAAGAACTTAGGGCATAGAGAAGTCCTTGTCTCCACCTGACAAATCAGTGATAAAACAAGCACTATCTACCTCCCTCTGCCCCAAAGGCACTGCTTGAATATGACAGCTTGGCCTTCTGCTTGGCATATCAAAGTTCTTGCTTTTATTTATTTGATTTTGTTAATTAAAAAAAATTTTTTTTATTGAAGTAGCATTGGTTTATAACATTATGTGTTTCAGTTATACAGCATGATAATTTGACATCTGCATAAGGGTCCCTTCTTAATCCACCACTCAGATGCCTGGGATTCTACAGTCTCCTCACTGCTCATCCTTTCTGGCAACATGCCTTGATTCCTGTGGACAAAGGAATGGGGAATACAGGAGACCAAAGGAAACACAAGCATGAGTGAATGTGCTGAGTGTGTCCTAACAGGAGTCTTAGTGCTCCGCATGTATACTTGTCATCCAGTCTGGCTCTGGCCTGGGAAGCTCTGGCTGCTATGTTGTCCTACAAAATGAGATCCATGAGCAAGACTGCAGAGAGGAGCCAGGGATGTATAAATGGAATCTGTATGTTGATCCTTAACCTCCTCCCTTGAAAACAGCAGAATGTGGGTTAAGAGACTTAAAAATATGAGCTGCCTTCCATTTCCAGCTTAATCAGCATCCTTTTTAGTTTAATTTCTCCTTTTCATATTTTCAACATGGAGACAAAAATACCTGACATTCATTAATTGCAGTGACCCTGGGCATTATAACTGGGGAGGCCACGAGCAGCCGAACAGACTGGTTGTGAGGTCAGAAGACCCAGCCTTAGTCCTGGCTCTCATAGCATATATTTGTGCGAACTTACCCTCTCCAAGCCTGTTTCATCATATATCAGTTAGGATAATACCCCTGGCCTACCAACTAAAGTCAAATGACAGAATATATGTGGCAGGCTTTGCAAAAGGTGCCCTGCATGTCACACATACCACAATGGCTTTCAGGCTGAACCTTGCTAGGTAAATACTATTCTCTGAGATTGTGACCCTTTGGGAGTGGTTGCTTCTGCAGATAGATTCCATTAAATGCATCAAAATGGCAAATACTCATGGCCTCAGGATAAGAATCTATACCTGGCCCAGCACACATGGTACTTCATGACAGTGGCCCTCCCATACCACCCTGCTACCCTCTCCTGGTTCCCACCCCCACACTCAATTACACCCAAGAAACTAGTACATACAGAGCCATCTTCACACCAGGACCTGCATATACATTCTTGCAGCCTGGCTGCCTGGCCCTCCTGTTACCCACTTACCTCCAACTCATCCTACTCCCTGAGGAAACTCTGAGAAGCCATCAGCAGAACCTAGCACCAGCTGCTCCACTCATATCACCACAAAGAATGGTCCTGTTCCCTCACACCCCAGGTTGTAATAGCCAGTTTTCAACTTCTGTGGTTATATCCCCTCTTGCTCACCACAGCAGAGGTTAGGGAGGCAGGTCATCCATCAATCACTGGGCAGAAGTCAGAATTCCTGGGGCAAGGTTGACCCTAACAGGGGTCAGGACTAGAGTAGGGTTGCTCAACTGGATGTGGGGGATGGAAGAGTCTTAATGCTCATTCCTCTGAATAGATAAAAAAGAAAGTAAAAGTGATCGAGTTCAGGTCTCCACAGCCCCCTTGTCAGCAGGTTCAGGGCTGCTCAGGGCAGCTGCCACGGTTGTATATGCTTCCAAGGTTCAGAAGCATTTCTCCAAGATGTCTGGCACAGAGAGTAAAAGGGCAGTCTCCCAAAGCTCTGTTCCTCTCACTTCCTCAGTTACAGCAACACGTCCTGGCACAGAGTGGTGGCCTATGGAGGCAGGAAGTGTGCTGGCGGAAGAGCAGTGCCCTTTACATTTGGAAGATCTACAACAAAATGCCCCAGTGCCTCCTTACTGCTGAGACAGTGGACTCCAGTACACTCCCTGAGAAGGTGTCCCTCCTATTAAGGAAAAACTTGAAGGAAAAGTGGGAGGGTTGTCAGCAGGCTGGCTGTCTTCTCGCAAACACAAAACTACCCTGAAGTGTCACTCCCATGGGCGGATGTGCACAGCCTTCAGCGTGCATTTTATTACAAAGTTTAAGGTAATAGCTGCTCCTGTCTACACATCCTAGTCCCTCCCTGGCTCCAGATGAAGCCAAATAACACCAGTGTGAGAGATCACTGTCCATGTATCCAGATCAATGCCAAGTCAAGCAATGTCAAGTACTTTTGGCATTTTCCTTTACCTTGCAAGCTGTCAACATATCTGCCACAGCTTTCCGGCTCAGATTGGCGGTGGCAATCACATCCTCCTGTCTACATGAGTTCCCAGCTGCCACAGCTTTGGCTGTTGCCATGGTGATGCCTTTCGTCATCCTTATTGATTCTTCAGGTGATGATGTCTTCTCAGGTACCTCTTTTGACTGGAACACCTGGAAGTTAGAAATAGAAGAGCTGAAAAATATCAAAAAGGGAAGGACAAAATAATTTATTCTTTTTTGACCAGGCTGCAGCTCAGTGCCTGAAAACTCAGCCAGCAATGGAAAGAAACTATCAAATGGCAGGAAATTAGAAATTTGAGATAGTTATATCATTCTTGCTTTCAAAATCCTATCTTGGGTAAGTCTTGCACACCTGTACTCAGTGTTCATGGAAACAAAATGGGGAGGGAGACAAAGCCACAGCCTTAACCTTAAGTTCACCGCAGAAACTGATAGTATTTATCAATCATCCATCCCAGGAAGATTTTGTGTGACTTCCCAGTTCTCTTGCGCCCTCCTTGCTGGTGCTTCAGCTATTCCAGAAACTCCACAGTCCCACTGATGGTTCTGGGGCAGGACTGACCAAAACACTTCACTCAATTCACCTCTCTCTCTTTCAAAGGAGGTGTGGTGCTGGGGGAATGAAGAATTCAGTTTCTTCTATTCTAGCCTGTCTTACAAATAAAACTGCATAATTATGTGGGGGTGTTCATGTCGAGTGCACCACAGTGACACTTTCAATTATTTAGACCACACATACTCTCTTTAGAGAAAGTGAGATAAATTCACCAGGATAAGAGAACATCCTACTGTAAGTTCTACCTGTTGGTCTAGCTAGCTAGCTCTGCTTCAAGTGCAGTCTGTCTCGTCTAACTTTTTTTTTTTTAATAATAAATTTTATTTTTATATTCCCCATACAATTGCAACCCCCCCTTTCTGATCCCAATCCCTCCCCTCCCGCCCCCCACCCCCCCAAAAGTGTCTCTGTTTCATAGTTTTTTGTTGATTCTGATTTTCACTTTCTTATAGTTATTCCAAAGGACACAGAAACATCGTCTAACTTTTATACCCACACCTGTCAGCACATGTGTCTAGACTTTTGGAGGAAACTCTCAGTCTCTGCAGGTACCTGTATATTTCAGTGTCTCCTCTATGTGAGAAGCGAGCCTAACATCAACCAAGTTTGGATTTATTAAAGACAGAACAAGACAACCAAGGCTCCATCATCAAAACTCAACAGAACTGCTCACTTCTGTTAACCCTCAGAGGCTTGTGGCCTTCCCAGGTATCTCTTCAAAGATGCAAAGCAGCTGGCACTGAAGGAATGCCCCCCAGTCTATCCTTCAAAACAAGTGCAATTTGTGATCAGGCCTCCAATTAAAAGAAACCTCAGTTTCAGCTTATTTCTGTTTCTAGAGATTAGGAACAGTTAGTTCACAGTCATCACAGGATCAGAAGAGTAGATAATACCCACATCCAGCAATACCAGACATCCTCACTCTACCTACTGGCACAAGGCAAGAAAGGACAGGGTTAATTTCCCCCAGATCCGACACCTCAAACAGGAGAAAGCTGAATTTTAAAGGAAAGTGTCTCCTGTAAATGCATCCAGGTTTTTCTAACTGTAAACCCCAGACTCCAAAATTTACAAAGTACAGCAGTGTGAATTGTAGCTGACAAAACAGGAACCAAGGGGCCTGTGTGTGGCTATACAGCAAAACACTAATCTGTAGGTGAGTACAAACAGCCAAAACTACTTTTTCTTTTGCCAGTGATCTTCAGTAATGCTTTGGTTTTGCGTTCCCATTTTAGTAGAATTAAACCTGAATAGTTCTAACTGATACATTTCAATTAATTCCTCAATTATAATTACAAATTGATCTTAGCCAAACTCAGAAAGTCAGTTACACATGGGCTATTAATTCTACAAAGCTATCAGCAGGCAGGGGAGAGCACTTGCCCAGTTCAGGTGCTCCAGGTAAAACCAGTGCCATGCTGAACAACTCAAAGAAGGCTGTGCTAAGGCCAGCTGTGGAACACTGTGCCTGAGGTTGGTGGCTGCTGGCTCCTTACCGTGAGCTCCTGCTTCATGTACTCGATGGTGGCCTCAAGTGCCCGTGTGCCCCGGGTGGCCTCGTCCTCTACTGCCTTCACAGTCTTGAGGAGGGAGGTGACATTGGTCACCATTACCTGCATAGGAAGGAGGCTAATATGAGATCTGATCCCTACGCCTTTAGCACTGAATCTAGTACCAAAAAACCATCTGTCCTTAAGAAAGGAGCTCAGATGTGTGCTCTCCCATTATTTTTCATTCTTTTAAAAAAAAATTATCAAACATTTTTATTTTGTTACATCATTGTTCATTTTTGTACAGTATTTGATTTCTCATCTCAGGTGTGGTCCTCATCAGTCTCCCACCACTACATCACCCATGAACAGTCAAAATACAGAATGTTTCATGAATTTCTCATATTGCTCTAATTTTAGTATATGTGTTGCTGACGTGAGCACGCTCCCATTATTCTTGTGTGCTTCTCATCCAGCACTCCCTCAATATGCCCTTCCCCCCTAGCTTGGACTCCACTCTACCTTGGCAGCCCCCTTGAGCTGGTACATGGAGGGGTCATCAGCTGGCTTGCTGGCAGCTCCCTTGGTAGCACCAATGAGATCTGAAAGAGCCTTGGCCACATCTTTGATGGCGTTGATCAACACCACCTAAAAGATAGCAAGAGCCCAAGTGAGTGGTCACCTGCTGGCTCCATGAAAAGCCTTTAGCCTGAGAGCAGGTTGGGAGCATGCAAGGGGCAGGACTTTAAGGCAGTGCTTCTGAGGCCTGCAGCACAGCAGAATTCCTGGGAACAACTGCTGAGATTGTGATACAGGAATCTGGGTGAAGATCCAGCACCCAGACTTTGAGAAGCTTCCCTGGGGGCACCGATGCTTCACCAGAGACAGGGTACATATAGGATGTTCAAACACGTCCTTGCTGGCAGCTAGCTGAGAGGCAACACTACTCATGTGTGCCCTGAACTCGTGACCAAAACCACGAATGTGCAAGCCTATGTGGGTGGGCTACCACAGAGGCCTTGCAGGCTGGGATTGAGGCTTGCACATTCATAGTTTTGGTCATGAGTTCAGGACACGTGGCGCAGAGGGTTGAGTGCAGCGCTGTGAAGCTGTCTGCAGCTTCTGCAGCACAGGCTCAATTGCCAGCTGGCCAGGGAGATACCCACATGGTGTGGCAGACCTCTCCTGCCTTGCCTGCTGCTCCCCTCAGCAGTATCTTCAGTCCGCCTGCCTGTTCTGCTCCCCATTCTGTCTCTGGTGAATTCTCTCACTCTCCGGCATCTCTGGCCTGTACCCCAGTTCTTGTATAAATAAAATAAATCTTTAAAAAAAAAGAATTTTCTGACTCACTCAATATGCTGCAGGCACACGGGTCTTCCCTTCCTCACCAATGGAAATCCCAACTCATTCCTACCCCAGGGCCTCTGCTCTGACTGTTCTGCCTGGAACCTGGCTCTTCCCACCACTGGGCTCAGCTCACACATGTCCTCAAAGACCTCTCTCACCCTCCCACCCCCAATACTGGAATTATATTAGCCTTCCCTGTTTTATCTGTAACACTGACCAGTATGTGAGATTGCTTTATTATTCATTTTTTTTATATACCATCTTCTTCCCTGACTTTTGCTTAGAATTGGGCCTGGCAGGTGGCAGGCACTCAGTAAATAGTTGTGGGACAACTGAATACACAGATTATCCACATGACACTGGCTGGAATAAGTATCTTCACTCTTCTATTTAACGGTATATTCGACCTGGAATCTGAAATGGCAGTCATATTTAGGAATTACATGACATCGGACATTGCATTTAAGTCTTCTTGGCCCCGAAGCCCCAATTACAGCAACATCCCTTTATTGAAGGAAATGTGGAGCCAGGCACACTACACACAAGCTTGTTTACCCCTCACTACTGCCAGTTCAATTGGGAACTACGAAGTTTGTATCCACACTCAGAGAACCTGGGAGAGTTAGAGCTGGGATTCAGACTCTGCTAAGAGTGATCTCAAGGGCCAGGTTTTAAACTTCACAAACTGTGCTCTCCAGTTCTGGTTCCTCATCTACAAATGGGATTGGCCTTCTCAATTTCAATGCACTGATGAGAGGATGAATCAAGATAGCACACATGAGAATGAATCAAACTCTTGAATCACCAGTGATACTGAGATTTGATAGCTTTCTGCCCCTTTCACCCTCTCTGTCCATTCCATGCCTTCAACCCACAGGGCGCCCGGAGCCTTAGCCAACCCCTGAACCACAGAGCAGACTGGGTTGTGACAGAACTCATGAGGAAGACTGACACGTACAGAGGTCATGCTGATTCCTGAAATCACAGCAGGAATAGAGAGGGGAGACAGAGGCACAATAAGCAAAGGTTTGCTGCCAACATCTGGTGCACTCTGTCTCACTGGCCACTGGACAACTGATGAGTGGGGATATTTTTCTGTTGGGATATTTTCCACTAGAGGTCTCATTAGTGGTTTCAGGAAATCCAGACCATTTGGGCATTAAGGCTCTAAACAAATTGATACATTTCTCTGTGTTCAAAGATTTAAATCCTCCACAACCCATTCGCTTCTCCTAAAGTGGGGCTAGGCTTGGAAAAACATGGGTTCCAACCCATGTGAAGCATTTTTAAGCTTTCTTTTCCTCTATGGGGGTAGAAAAACCACCACAGGCAATAATGCTTTGAATTTTACAGGGCAGCCAAACTGACTTCTGATGTTATCAAAAAGATATCCAGCAGAAAGGATAATATGGCAGTATACCCGGGGATATCAGGAAGAGAAGGTCACAGCAGCCATGATGGGGCTTTGTATTAACCAGAATAGCAGTTGTTCTTCATGCCAGCATTCACTCTGTTTTGTCCATGTGAGCCTGAATATGGCATAAGCAGTGAAAACTTAAGTGTTTACCCTTTGATGGTGCTGGGATAGAGAACACAGAGATTTTTTTTTTTTTTTGCTTAGATTATAAAAGTATTGTATTATTTTATTTTTTTTTTTTACATCATTTTTCATTTTTGCATAATATATGAATTTTCATCCTGGTTATAGTCCCCATACAATTCCCACCCCCCTCTTGTTTTGATCCTACTCCCTCCTCCCCCCATCCCATAGTGTGTCCCTGGTTTATAGTTGCTTGTGGATTTTGATTTTTAATTTATTATAATTAGTCTTTTTCCTGGTCCATATACAATGGAATATTACTCAGCAATCAAAAAAGATAACTCATGCAATTTGCAGCAACATGGATGGAGCTGGAAGGGAACATGCTCAGCGAAATAAGCCAGTGATTTTTGATGTTTGCACTGGGGAATGTGTGGCCCTCAGATCAACAATAGTAGAACATATTGAACATGCTGGGTGTCCAGTATGCTGGGAGTTGTGCTGTATGCTTAGCTTTCAAAGATAATAAATAGTGGTTACTGTGTTTGAGATGCTGGGGCACCAGGGTATAGGCAAATAATTTCAATGAGATGGCTAAATCCAAAGCAGATTCTCACAGGGATCTTCCTGACCCCTTGGTTTCTCTTCTCTACCTCCTTTGGAGGCAAAATTCTCAAGTGAGCTGTCTATACTTGCTGGCTTCATTTATTCACCCCCCCCCCAACCTGGTTGCTGCCACATTCCACACAGACAGCGTTTGCTGGGTCACTGATGCGCTCCATGGCACTGGGCTCTCAGACCTTCAGCTATGACTGGGTCTGTCCTCTGCTGGGTTGAATTGCTACCTCCTCTATAGATCATACCCCCGTGGGCTGGCTCCCTCAGCTCTGCACAAGCCCCCTTCTTCATGCCATATTTTTCCTATCTCATGGTTGTACCCCATCTATATGGCAACAACCCCTTAATCCACATCCCTATACGTGATAGGCCATGCACTAGTTCTACTTGCATATATCTGGGATTCCCAACTCAATATGAACCCCTGCCCCAGCTAGCTCTCTCCTGGGAGCTCCAGCTCCATACACAAGGCCATCATCTTACTGATCTAGCCTGAAATTTGGAGTCGTCCTGGCCTCCTCCCTCACCCTTATCTCCAAAGTTCGCTATGTCCATTCGCCTAGTCTGGCTGAGTCTTCTTCATAGATTCACCACAATCTGTGGGCTTGTCTCCATCCCCTCAGTCATCAGCACAGTCTATTCCACTGTCTTGCCTGGATACTCGCTTCCTACCATCTCTCAGACCATGAACACACACACATACTCAAAAGTAACTCCTTTGCCTTTGGTTACTTCTGAGGCCTGGTGTACAGTGCCCATGGGATTATGAACATACCCTCCCTCCCACTCCCCAGGTCTACACATACCTGGGTCTCAGGGTCATCAGAGCCCAAGCTGGCGGCCCCCAGTTTGACCACCTCGGCGAGCTGGGTGATGGTGGCTGCTGAAGACTGGGCTGCCTGGGCCAGCTTCTCTGGCGTGGATGCAGCCCCTGACACCAGGAGTTTTGTGTCTTCTACCAATGCCTTGGCTGTCTTCAGAATGTTCTCCCTGAGAAGGAGGGGAGAGCAGAGAAGAGAGGGAGAGAAAAAGGGCACAGTTTAGTTACTCATACTTAGGAAGGAAAAAAACTCTTCATGCAGGATTTTGTGGACAGACTTTGAAAAAGAGGTTCCTGCTCTCATCTTCCATGCAGTCAAAATTGGGAGAGGATACAGTCCAGAGTCCTAGTTCAGCAGTAAAGCTTCAGTTAAGAGAGTCAGTCCACCAGATTGGCCTGCAGTGAGACGCTAGGTCAGTTTCATTCCCAGGGCTCCATTGACCCCAGAACACACACCCACAGAGAGGACTTGTGGGTCAGGGCACATGGTCTGGGATATCTGCCCCAAGCACTGGACTCTAGAAGGGAAAACTTAACACTGGGAATCTCTTCCCTGGCCCCACCCACAAGGGAAGAGAGGAAAAAAGGTACCCAACACTTGGTGAGGAGATGGGGGGCTCCAGCAGCAAATACCGGAACCCAGCACGAACCTTCTGAGTGGGGTCTGAAGAACCAGCCCAGGAGACACAGTGGGTTCTGAGCCCCATTCCCCCAAACACGGTAAGAGCTAAATGTGCCTGCCTGGCTGCTCCCAGGCCTGCTGGGGCTGGTGAGTTAGAGACATAGCACTTTAGCTTAGACATTGAAAACCAAAAGCCCTCCTCTGCCAAAGCAGGCTGAACTTTAGTTCTGAAAGGCAAGCTCATGCCACCCCATATTTACAGCTGGCTCAAGGGGCTTCTCTTAATTACTTAGAGGGGTCATCGCATTTTCAGAGTCAGTGTGCCTTGCTGGCAGCAACCTTGGTAGCACTGGCACCTGAGCATCTTGTTGAAATCAAAATCGATAAAACATATTTCTGGCTTCTGCACAACATCTCTAAAGTCAGTGTGGACACCTCCCTGGCCAGGAGTCCCCTACCTGTGGTCTGCAAAGGTCTCATTGTTCTCAGCATTGAGGGTTCCTGCAGTCGCAAACATGATGGTGGTGTCCAAGTCGGCAATGATCCCAGACACGGCTGTGGCGGCTGTGATACATGCTTGGGTCCCTTTGTTCCCAGCCTGGAGAGCTGAGAGCACCAAGGACACCTATAGACAGAAAGGGACTATCAGGGGGAGGAGGGAAACAAAGGACTGTAACTTCAAGGTGTGCTGATTGTGAAAATGCTGACTATTCTCCCTGATCAACACTCGTGTCGGGTCCACAGCCTCAGAATACCAGCTTTCCATTTGCTGTATGATGTCGGGCAAGCTGTTTCACCAAGGTTTCAGTTTTCTCATCTGTAAAATGGGGTTATTATACTTCCTACCTATCAGGGGCTTGGGGAGGAAAAAAAGGTGGGAAATGTATCCAAAGTGTCTACCATGGTACTTGACACATATATAACATGTGGTTGAGGAGATGCTACCATGTTCGTGACACTGCAGAGAGATGAAGGATTAGGCTCCTGTGAAAGGTATGGTCATTGCTGTCCACTCTGTCTGATTTTCCATAGAATGCTAAGAGTCTGCTAACACTCTTCCTCCCAACTCTTGGTTGGAATTGTTCCATAGTGGGCTGGAACCCAGAGGGTATCACCATGTGTAACCTCTCCACACCAACACTCCCCTGAGCATCACCTGCCACCAAGTATGTCCCGTGATCTGGGGCTCCAGTAAGTTGGCTAATCAAGCTGGTGTTCACCCTGTTGTCTTCCGCATCAGAAACGCTCTAGCACCCCTGCTACTCCTTTAATGCACCCTCTCTGTTTCTAGAGCTCCCTCTCTGCCATGAATATGGCTCCCCCAGCCCAAGTACAGATCTCTCTCGGCAAAACTCACCATACCCCAGACTCTTGCCAGCCTCCTACCTCATCTTGGCAGCTCATGACTACATGAGCCAGTTCCTTACCTCTATACACACCCTGTTCCCCCTCCTCTGAGACTCCCCACTGCTTGCAATGCCTCCCTCACCCCCGGTATCCTAGTTCCCTAGTCACTGGACATTCATCAGCCACTCATCTGCCTTCAAGCTCTAGCTCAAAAGTCCCCTCAAAGAGGGACACCTTCCTGATTCCCCTTTCAAGAGAGTTCCTCTGCCTCTGCAGGATCCCACAGCATTTACCACAGGTGAGAAAAAGCATGCACCCGGCTCAGTGTCTACAAATGTTTTGTGATTACATTTTTTAAAAAGTGCTGAGGAAGACAGGGAGGCACAGCATCAATGAAAGGCACAGGGTGTGACCCCTCACCCCTCACCCCCACCCCTGTGCTGCTCAGATCTTAGCCATGACCTACATATAGATGGCAAGAGGGCAGAGGGCCAGCTCCTGAGTGCAGTCCACAAGGAAGTGTTTCTCTTCTTCCCTGGCCTGACCTGCCTTTTCAGAGTTAAATGCCACTAAGTCCAGGAAAAGACATATCAGAGTGGCAGAGAGCTGGGCTGGAAATGAGAGAGCTAGGGGAGAATGGCCAGAAGATGAGTGAATAAAGGCCAAGATAAGTAGTCAGAAGTCCGGGAGGGAGAGTCTCAGTCAGGGTAAAGGAAAAAAAAAAAAGAGTCTAGAAACAGCGCCCCACCCTTATGAAATGTGTGCAAGTTTGCAGGTGTTTACTGAGGGACAAGCACACAGAGGTGAACAAGTCAAGGGGGTCACACCTGGCAGGGGAGTAAAAAAGACAGAACCCAGACACTTAAGAAAGACACACCAGGTGGAGTAGGAAGGGCAGGGACATCCAGCAAGTTACCACCAAGAAGGCTGGTTGCTCGGAACTAGCCACCAACCCCGCTTCATATCCCAGGGGTCCTACATGAGGATCCCATGTGAGAAGTGGGAAGGCCAAGGCCAGCTCAGGCCTTCCAGGTCTTTTATCCCAGCTCAGGTCTTCCCTGGTGCTTCTGCTACCAGATCTTCCACAGGGGAACTTGACAAGAGAAATTTCAGCAATAAGGAAGGACTCTGAAGGGAGGGAGAATGTCTTCCTTGAGCTGAGATTTATTTCCTGGTACTGTGGAGTCCAGGGGAGGCCTGGGCAGTTGAGTGGGCTGTGGGCGAAGGCCAGACCGCGGCTCAGCTTCTCAAGGGGCCAGTATAGAGCAGCCTCTGTAGAGGCAGCTTCCAGGTGAGGGGTCCCCCACCCAGCCCTTCAGGCCTGCTGCCAAGCATCTGAACAGTGCAGAGCTCTATGTCAATTGGGTGCAAGTGAAGGGAAGGCAAAAGCAAGCCAGCAAAGCAGGGATGCTCTAGCCTGCGTTCTTTGCGGCTCATAAAATAGCTACCCCGAAAAATGACTCAGAAATAAGCATGGCTAGAGTAGCATTCTGTGGGAGGATAAGGAAATGTTAGAACAAGGCATTGTGAACCAGGGAAAACTTAGGAGAGTGTTGGACGACAGTTTATAGAGAAGAGAAGCTAGCATTTATTATTAAATGTTAAATTGTGTGTCTGGCACCATGCCAACCACTTTCAACACAATGCTACATTTAATCCATAGTCCTATGGGCTAAGGATTATATTTCTTTATCCTCATTTTACCAGGAAATTGAGGCTTGGAAAGCGGAGTAATTTAGCTGAGACCCTATAGCCTCACTCACTACACTGTATGCTTCTCTCTTTAAGTTTTAGGCAGCAAATGCCTTGCAGGCTCCTGCTCTTCTAGGAAGGTGTCCCATGACTCCCACCAGGGCACTTAACCCTCCCCAACTTGTTCTGTTAGGGAAGGAAGTTTCTTGCTCTGCCCTTAGTGCCTGGGAACCTCCTTGAGAAGGAAGAGCAGAGGGCAGAAAAGTTCCAAAGGGGTTGCAGGGAGGGGTTCCTGGTGCTGATTGTGACTTTGTTGGAAAGCGAGCCCTCCAAAAAGGTAGAGCACTGGGACCCTGACCTCTAGAGTACAGTTCTTCTCGTGCTTTCAATTTCTTAGGGTCTACTGGTCACCCCCCATATTGCTGGTGCACTCTGTCCCTGCGGAGACCCTGTGTGAGGGAAGATGACTAGTCCTGCCATTGCTGGACTGCTTTGGGCTCAGTTCCTGCCAGGGTCCCTCCCTGATCACACTGCAGTCATCATGGCTATGTGACCCGAGGGCTGCTCCTTACCTTCTCTGTGACCGTGCGGGCACACTCGATCAGCTCCCTCTTGGTGTAGCTGTCCGTGGGGCACACCTGGAGGGCCCCTGCCTTCTGCACCAGGAAGATGCAGCCGTGGCCCAGGTCCTGCACACGAGTGCGAATCTGGAAGCCGATCTGTGGAGGCAAGCCCAGGGAGGGGAAAGAGAAGCATGATGGCCATCGAGGTCTTCCCCATGTGGAAAATTTCCCCTACGTCCTAGGGGAGGCTGGTGAGGAAAATTCCACTGCTGTTAGGAGTCTGTGTTTGGTGAAGTATGGAATTTGGTTGATTCTGCTTCCCTTTTTAGAGACTGTAAAATGCCCACAGTGCCCAGTAAGGAAGTCTGCATCTTGTCATCCTCACCTTCCTGATATTTGTCACCATTGCTGGTTTATTGTTTATCTATAGCTAGCCACCTGATAAGAATGTTAATTAGGTGACCTCTGTGGGATAACTGGTATTCATTCAACAAGCGTTTATTGAGCCCCCAATGGGTGTCAGGGTCTCTTCTAAGCAGGTTAGGCACTCAGTTTCATTTATTCTCATAACAGTCCAAGAGGGTAATTACAAGTTTAAAATATCTAGCTTAGTTTGAAGCATATTTTAAAGTGTTCGGATTCTTGCAAAATTGGTAAGTTTACCAACCTGAACACCCGCTTCCTCAGCTGTACCCCATGGTGAGAGCAACCAGGCTGGGCCCCTGCTTCCTATCAGGCCAGGTTTGATATTGCCTTAAAAAGGTACATTTTTAGAGCTAAAGGCTCAGCATGCAGGCATTCCTTTAGTGACCTCTGGACTGTAATTGTAAAGGTACTTTGCCTAAAAGAAGTCAAATTGAGCTCCACTATGGATAGGCTGCCAGCTGTCTCTTAAAGGTATAATAAATTCCATCTCCCAAAGTTTGCATTCCTCTGGCTCTGTTTTGCATCAACTTTAATTTGATCAATATAGCTGCAATAATCTCCACTCCAGCACAGGCAAGTAACAAAAAAAGGTTTAAGTTTGAGTCAGTATGTATTACTTTCAAGAATTCACAATAGTAAGAGACTGTGGCTTATCTTTCCAGTATCTATCAAGAATAGTTACTGCCATGAATAAAACCTGGGAGATGAGGCCACATGGATGTTTTCTCCCATTATCATCCACTGGTCAGAGTCTATTGGTGACTTTGGGGAGTGAAGGGAACTGCGAAGTGTTCACTTTCAATAACTGAAATGCGCATACTGCTTTTAAGGAAAAAGGCTATTAATGTAACTCTGTAAAGTCCAAAGGACATCTAAATCAACCTATTAGAAAATTCTCTTGATTCATGGAGTTGAGCTTCTGCTTTTATGTGTGCTCTTTATTATACTTCTGGTGCTGTAAAAGCTTCACAATCAGACAGGGTGTCTTATATTGATTACCTCTACAAGGAATACAACTGAATGGCATCCCAGGATCATGCAACCTGGCAGCTCTGCAAACAGGTCTGGACCAGTGCAGCAACAAGGCTGTGCTGAATTGGGAAGAGACGCTTTCCTTCAGCCCACACAGAGGTGATGCTGGTTAAAGCACAGATCAAGCCAAAGGAGGGTGCCGCATTAAGGCTTTTCAGACCCATATTGTTGAAACCCAAGTATTCAAAGGTCAGAGTTAATGCAAAAATGAGAACTTTGCTGTCAAGAATGACCACAGATCTCTAAATGCTAAGGGCTACTGGGAAAGTCAGCTAAGGGGCAAGTGGAGGAAGAACCATTAATAGAATTTCAAAATAAAAAGAGGTCTTACCAGCTCAACCTCCACATTTATAGATGAAGAGACTGAGGCCCAGAGGTATTGATTGCCCCAAGATCACACAGCCCTTTCCTGGCCAAGCAGGATAAGAATGTAGGTCTTTAATACAGAGCACAGTTCCCTCTTTGCCCAATAAAATCTTTCCTAGAACCTCAACATATAAAACAGAAGTTTTTAATTCTTCTATGACTTAAAGTTTACAACCTTAACTCAATAAAAGGCCAACAATGAGACTGGGTGACAGAGTTTTAAAGATGAAGTTATGAAGACCATTTATAGACTCAGTCACCATCTCATCTCTGTATTTTACTTTGGATGTAGTACTGAAAATCCTGAGAGATCCATAAATAAAACAACAGGAGTTTTCTTACAGTTCCCCAATCATAGTGGGCAGGGCAGAAGCTGATTAGTCTGAGGTCTATATAGAGCCACCCAGCAGCCTGGGCTAAGGTGTCAGTGGCCCACAGTAGGTGATCATTTGGTCCAAAATACACTTGAGTATATACAGTTTTTCTAACAGTTTAAAAATAGTTAAATTATATTTTAAAAGTGAGTTGAGTCAAACATGTGCAGAAAGTCCAAAGCCCCTTTGAGGGTCAGGGGTCTGAAAGTAAGGTGTGAAATCACTGTTAAAAAATGAGCCATTTCAGGGAGCACACTCCATGTACTCCCCTACATCCTGCAGAGAGCCAAGTCAGTTTCTATTCAAAGAATGATGGGCATTGGGACATACACAGGTCTCTTAAATCAACCTCCCAAGTCACCATGGGGGCAGGAGGAAGGGACCTGCTTCTGCTGTTGAGAACCTGAATCCTCTGAGTAGATGTGATCAACGGTGGGAATACTTGCTCAGTAACACTCTCAGGCTCTCTCAGCTCCCCTCAAAAAGTCTGCTATAAAAAAAGAAAAAGTCTGCTATAAAAACAAACCCAATGTCCTGATGCTCAGTCCCTTTCTTGGAAGTGACATCATGCATGCAGCAGGGATCCTGTAAATGCAAGGCTGGAGCTAGCACAGTGGTCATGAGGGATAAAATTCCAGTTTGGAAGCACTAAGGAAGATCAGCATCAGATGCAAAGACCTGGGAATAAAATAAGGTAATACAGTTGCAAAAGCTCTTGAGGTTCTTTGTTAAGCCAGGCTTCAGGCACAGGCAGTCAGATCTGTGCCAGGTCACACAATTACCTTCTACATGCTTGAACACCTCCTTGAGGCTGGGTCACACAAACCTCTTGTATACTCAGCTGACCAATCCTATTTGGACAGCATGAAGGAGGGATGTAGTATTAAGAAAGACAAGCTGAAATAGACTTAATTCACTCATTTTCAGCAGCTAAGAGTTGAATATAACAGGGAGGAAGGGACCTCGGGATCCCCATCCTGCTCTACTCCTGTTCTCAACCCTTCACCCATGTGGGTGGGTAGTAGAAAGGGCCCTGGACCTGGCTTCCATCCTGCCCTTCCCTGGTCACTAGATATACTGGGCCTGCTAACCTAGCAGGCTTTTGCTGCCTCACCTGCAAAAGGAGACAACCAGCCTGACTTACTTCCCAGGGCTGATGGGTGACCGAATGAGTGGTGGGAGGGAAAAAACCCCACAAAGTAGAAAGTTGTGAAAAGCAGCAGCCTGGTACAGGGGACAGAGCACAGGATGTGAAGCTCAACAAACCTGGCTTCAAATTCTGACTTTTCCACATATTTACTTCTTAATTCTCATCCTCATCTACTTATTGGAAACATTAACTAATTTCTAAAGGTAATGTAAAAGGACTTCACCGTTGTAGCTGTGTGACCCTGGGCAGTTTAAGGTCCCTAGGCCTCAGTTTGCTCATCACTGAAATGGTATGGACTGGATAAATGGCTCTCATTCTTATTATTTTCCCTGGGCTCATGGAACAGTTAGAGCACTTAAATGAGAGGACAAGAGGATCAACTATTCTACTGCGATTTCACAGAACATTCTGTACTGTTGGAGGTACACTGAGAAAGGGAATGCATTTATAAGACTGAATTTCTAACAGATAAAGACTTTAAACATACTAAGCTTCTCAAAGCAACACTAAACTTCCCAGCAAAGATGAATAGCACCTCCCCTCCCCCGGCTGATCCAACTTATGACCAGTGTTTATTACAAAGGCATGTTGCTCAAAAGCATAAACTTGGGGTTTTTAAATTGGGAACTTTAGTAAAGTGCTACTTGAACCTCAAGAAAAACCCTCAATTCCCTTCTTGCTCAAATAAAAGTAAAACAGAGATCATCTTCTGGTTTTATGCCCTGAAGGATATTAGAAGCCCGGGCTTTATGAAGTTTTGGATCAAATTTCAGTTGGAAGGGCATTAAGAAATACTGATCATATTTACTGCTTAAAACTAAACACAACATACCAATTTTTCTCAGGTATTAAGAACAATCATATCTGAAACCAAATATAAATTGGCTGGGACAGTTTGGGAAAGTTGGAAAGAAATAATAGATATTACCTGACAAGCTTTACAGTTTCTCCTTATATAGGAAAAAAAAAAATGAAAAGAAAGATCGTGTGTACAACGGAGGAAGGGTAACACTTCCCCCTAAAGAAAGTGTGTTTTGGGGTGGAAAGTTTCAGAGATCTGGAGCAGACACCCATCTGATCTGGGGCAAAGGCTGTAGTCTCCCCACAGTCTCTTGACAGATGTTCCTGCCAGCTTTTAAGACAAGCAGTATTATAAAGCGGTTACAGCCAAGTGTCCTCAGAGACAATGCTGCAGCCGCGGAATCCTCCCCCCAGCATTTACATTTAGAAGCTATGGCTCATAGGACCTAAATTTCTTTCATTTTTCTAAAGAGAAATCTAATATTAAATAGCAAACGTTGCCTGAGGGTTTTAACTTTTCTGAAGAAAGAAGTTTTTCACAGTGATGTTAACAAAAGTTTGAATTTTCCATGGAAAAATAAGCATAGAAAGCTCCTGCTTTCTGTTCCGAGGGCAAAGCTATGACTTTTCCTGTAATTGTCACATTCTGGCAAAGACCAAAACGCTGACTCGGCACAGCAGACTACAGCGAAGGGTGTCTTATTTGCCCTGGATATAAATATTTGCACATGCTGTGATGTGGGGCCCTCTTGGGTACACAAATAATTCCATAGTCTTGGAATAAAAAACTACACTGTTTTAGGGATCTCCTAACCTTCTCAATTTCTCCCCAAATATCTGTCTGGCAAATGCACACAAAGAACTTTCCTTAGCAAGCCACTGGTAATTTTATATTCTCTCTGCCCGTTTTTGCTGCAGGTCACACTGCTCTTGTGCCTGGAATGTAAAATACATTTCAAGATGTCATGGCGAAAAGGGAAAACCTTAATTAAAATGTCAGCTACTACAAACACAGGACCAATAATGAAAAAAGCTTCTTGTTGTGCATAAAGCAACGTCCCATGAGTTTCCTGGATGTTTTGGCATTATTTTACATTTAGCTACAATGGTCTGAGCTGCAAAAAGAAAATCTGTTGGTTTCACACAGGGGTGGCTATGTCAGAAGACCTCAGATGTAGAAAGGGCTCCATAAGATCAGTGGAACTTCACTTGCTAACTCAGGCATGTCAACATTTAAATTGACCCAGCAAATGCTTCTAGAATTTATTTTTAAAGAATCTGGTGACAGAGATCCAAACTTCCCTTTAAATTGCAGTCTCTTAGTTATCAGTCCCCTCAAAAAAGCCAAATGTTTCTTTCTTTTGCCAAAAATTTTTCTTACTGCAATGTAGGTTGCCTTAAACTTGTTTATGAAATTCAAAATCACATGTTAATCAAATGAGTTAGAGTCCAGATGATTTTACTAAAGTAGGAATCTATTTAAAAAAATAAGACCTGTGCATAGACTCAACAGAATCCTGATGTGGGTCTCTGATCATTTTTCTTTCTTGGTAGTGACTTAACAGACTCATTATCAACAGAATTATTCATGCTACAGCCTAAATAGTCACTCACTGTAAAATGTGAAAATGCAGGCACCGTTAGAAACTTAAGTCATCTCATGCTAGATATATATGTGTGCAAGAACATATATATGATACTCCTATTTACATGCACTGTTACAACATAGGTTAGAATGTGATTTTGATTTTGGTCTTCATTTCTGTATTCTCTCTGGGAATCTTTGTTAAGACATGCTTAGACCTTGGATCCCAGGAGAAACAGCAGCACTGAGTGTCGCAGGGACAGTGACTGTCATTGCAAGGAGAAGGGAAGACCTGCCACAACCTTCTGCCTTGATGGCCCAGTTCACTGAGCAACATCGTGAGAGGGTTTTTGCCCAATAAACAGCTTGTTGAATCTCATGGAGGGCAATTACCTTCATCTTCTCAGTGTGTCTGCATTCACTCCTTTATTCTTTATCTTAGGTTGAGCTTTCTTTCTCTAAGGAGCAATGTAATACAGCTTGGAACCAGGCCCTTCTGCCTGTTAACACTGATCCAGGAGCAATCAGACCTCTGAAACTCTGTCCCATGAGTTTCCTGATGGGCAACTCAGTTTCTCAGAGTGTTAGACATGGCTTTTGGTGTCAAATTTTTACTATTTAAGACTCACATGGGTGTATACATTTCTAAGGCAAAGTCTGCAGTGGCCACTAAGGAAAGTGAGTTTAGGCAAAAAAGGACAGATAATGAAGAAGGGTCCACAGGTGGTATGGGACCTGGGTAAGTTCTTAGAAAGCCACCAATGATATTTGGGCAAGACTGTCACATAAGCAGGCTACACTTTCTTTTCTCAAGAAAGGGGCAGCTAAATCCCATGCTTGGACCTTCTAAGACTTCTGTGAACCTTCAGAAAAATAAAATAACTGAGGGGGATATGCTAAGTGGGATTAGGAAGCAAGAGGAAGATGGCAGAGCATGTCTTGTCCTTGCCATTAGGCAGTGAGCTGGGGGAAAGCTGAGCTGGCAGAACACAGTCAACAGAGGCCTTCTGTCTGACAGCCTGCCACCCGCACCATCCCAGATCCCAGCCAGTCAGCTTCACAGAGGACAGTGAGCCTGGAGCATGGCCTGGGGCTACGGGCCTGAAGCTGCGGGCTGGCAGCACCATAGCAGGTGCTAGCCTGGCTCTAGCTATAGGGCTGAGGTCTTCTGAAGTGGAGCTAGATGGAGAGTCCCCAGGAGTGGGCACCAGGGTATGTGGATTTCTGAAAACAGGGGCTTAAGGTGGCAGACCTCCTCTGGTTCCGCCGTGGCTGCTGCCATCTGGCCCTGAAGAGCCAGGTGCCCATAGTCACTGGTCATTTGTGAAGCCAGTCCTCCCAACTCCTCCGGGTTAGTAACCGACTTAGTCATCTGGAAAAAGAAAACAAGCAAGACACAAACACACACACACACACAGAGAAAAGCATGAGAACCACGTGTTAATACCACTGGAAGCCAGAGTGTTTCATTCACTTTTAAGCTCTTGACTTGCATTTGGGGCTGAACATTGGAGAGGGCAGTTCAAGCAAAGCCCATGCTGTGTCACACACAATAGGCCAGGTTGCTCTCTGGCCAGCAGGTGCCTGCTAGGCCAATGGCAACAAGCTCAGGTTCAGGCTGTGCAGCATGGAGGCTGGGCCCTTGGGTCCACTCTGGGAGGTGAGCATGGCAGCCATGCCAACCCTGCCTGGTGGGTCACCAGAGGAGTCCCCAGGGAGCCCTGGCAACAGGCATCTGTAGAGAGCTTGCAGATTTGGTCTCTGGGAACCAGAAGCAGGTCTCACATCAGCAAAAGTAGGTATGAGGACAGGCTTGTTAAGGAAATCGTGACTGAGAAGTAAATGGCTAAGCCAAATGCTTTGGAGAAAGAAACTCACAGAGAACATAGGCTTATAGTAAATTTGTGTCAAAGAATGACAAGGTTTCAGCCACAAATTTAGTTAAGAGTATATGGTAATCAATTTCTACCCTTTATCAAGATAACAATTATTTTCTTCCTGTTTCACTGAAAATCTTAACCCCAGTGGATCCTACCTAGCTAATGTGCTAACTAGTTCTTCTCTCACTAATAAAAATGGTTTAGTACTCACAACAGGAATTTTATCAAGCCACCCAGAAAGGTGTCCTTGTCCTTCTTGGGTCAGAGGCTTCCTTCCTATCCTATCTCATCTCTGGTTCTGCATAACAACCATTTCTCTCTGTGTGGCATTTGAAGACGAGATTTCTATGGGCTTTTAAGAAACCCTTTAAAATGACTCATATCCACTGAGGCGGGACAGGAATGTCCAGCTCATATAAAGCACATTTACAAGAAAGCGTCACAGTTCAGTTGAAGCTAAGACGTGGGTTCCCAAGGAACGTGTCCTGAAACCCAAGAGAGCAAAGCTGTACCAGAAGTGGCTTCACTGAATCTTGCTTCAGAGTGCACAGTGGTGCTGGGGTGACCTGCTTCACTGGGTTGAAACTCTGGCTAATTCAAGGCTCAGGTCAGTCCTCCCAGGAGCAGCAAGGTAGCTCCAGGTTGGACTCGTAAAGAATGTGGACAACAAGGATCAAGAGGGGCCGGCAAGAACCTAGCCCAGGAGATGGACCAGAATACCATGAGGCCATTCAAAATGGTTTCACCCCCCTGTTGGGCTGTGCTTCCCCACTCAGAGGAATAGGCATTGTGGGGCTGCCAGACTCTACCAGTGAGCTGCCCCTGAGCTCCCCCCAGACCCCCACCGTGTAGGACCAGCTTGGACCAGACTCCAGTCTTTTCAGTCACTGAGCTGGGCCACATTCTACCTCCCTCCCCAGCCCAAATTCTTTTCAACAACAAGGCTGGCACGATAACAGAGTTTTCTAAGAAGGAGCAGCAGCAGCCAGGGAAGCCTTTGTGGTCCAAGCTCAACCTCTAGTGGACACATGACTACATGACAAAAGCCTGACGGGGCGGGAAATACTCAGTGGCTCAGGCTGCTCCCTCCAGTTGGGAGGCTACTTTGTCCCTCAACTCTGGCTAGTGTGCAGCTTCAAAACACCTTTCAAACAGCTGAGTCTTCAGAAGTCGAGAGGAACTTTCTTACTATGTATTCCTATCAATTTAATTCTTTGTGGAGACCATTTGTCATCTTTGCACAACTTGTTAACATATCAACAACATGATATGTTAACTGTGTCTCAATGCCATTTGGAACTACAGAGTCACATAAAACTATCTGATTACAAAAAACCAAAAATATCCAAAAGGTAATTGTCTTCTGTTGTCAGGAAAATATTTAAAATATAACCATGTTGTTTCATTTTGCCTGAAAGACTGGAATATCTTGTCCAAATACCATCATTAAATCCATCAATTTGTTTTCTCTCCAAATATCTTCTTTCATAGTGTAATTTTAATCTATAAAGATGCCTCAAGTCCTTTGTGAGGTGGGTAGGACTTTTCTTTTTCCTTAACTCCACCTGTCTTCTCATTTCATCTTTAATTCTCATTCTCTCTCCTTCCTTTGCCCCCCTGTCCTCATGCCTTTAATTCCCTCTTGCAGCTTTTTGATGAGGTGAGACGCCAGCAGATTGGGGCATCTATGCCACAGGTTGCCAGAAAAACCCAGGGTAAAGGACAGAAGCTGGTGTCCGGAAGGAAACAGAAACATGTAATGGTTTCCCTCTAACACAGAGACCGGCTTGAGGCTCACTAGTGGCAGCAACAGTGGGTGGGGCAGCTCTTTTTCTTCTTACCATTTCCTGAGCTGTTACCGCAATGGCTTTGGAGTATTTAACCACAGTCGTCTGATAGTCAACAAATGTTCCCTTTGGCTCTGGAGGAGTGCCTTCATCCAGCTACAGAGGAGAGGAAAACAGCCCAAAGGTCATACAAGGCCTGCTAAAGGGTGGACTGTATTTACTAGAATTAGGAACTTTAAACAATGGAGAAGGCCTAAGAATTTCCCTGGCCCACAGTCAACAGAATCCCCCAACTTTAGCATAAGGAATTCAATAGAGGAACTTCAATAGATGTTCACCTAAGACTCTTGGGGACACAGGCAAGGAGAGGTCCCCATTTTTTTGGAGAGGAGTGAGAGTGTTTTCCAGAAGACATTTCTGCAAAGTCTGCCTTATATACAAAGTGGAGAAGATAGCCCAAGGAAAGGAAATAGCATTCAAGCAAGTGGAGGTAGGAGTGAGCTGGATATATTGAAGGAAACAAAAAATGGCAGAAGAGAGGAGGGTGAAGAGGCAGACTCTAAATCATCATGGACATCATAGTATTGCCCATAAACAGATACACCCTGGAACTCTTACTTATGATCCCAGTTAGGAAAGAGAAGGAATAGGAAGCACAAGGGATAATGGCCTCTCATCAGATTCTAAGTGCAAACAGTAATTGAGAGAGGAGTTGGAGCAAATGAAACAGTGGCTTTGTCCCTTGAAGAGTTGAGGACATATTGGTTCAGAAGACATGTTTTGATACCTAGTTTTAGATTTTAGGCTGATTGCTTAAATACTCTTAGTCTCTTATCTTTCACTGGAAACTTCCAAGTGCCTAAAGGCTACAATAAAAATCAACTGAGACTATACCCAGTCAAAAGCTACATGAAAGCAGAGGAGATGATGCCCATGATACTGAAGATGATAATGTCAATCATGACTATGATGAAGAAAAAGGCTACCCATCATCACCACCATTATCACCATTATTGTCACCACTGGGTGCTGAATGAGATTCCAGGTGAGGAGACAAGGTGAATAGAAATGAATGATGAGTGAGCAGCATGAACAGAAGAGGCTACTAAGAGTGTTGGCAATGAAAATGGATCTGTTTGAAGAAGAACCTTGACATCATGAAGGAAATGGTGGAATCTGGAGTCAGCAATGGCGTATTTGAGAAGATGTCCCTGTCCACTCTTTGCCTGATAATTTGCAGTCAGGAAAGAGAATAGCAGCCACGAGGACAAATAAAATATTTAATGGAGTCTTTAGCAACATCTACATGTCATGAACAGGCACAAGCTACAAAGTGAGTTGAAGGAACATATCACATGTAGTGCAAGCCTGGGATTTCCACTAAGATGTTAATACAAACTCCAGGCTAAATTTTTTAAAGGTTTCTTTTATCAGGGAGACAGAGGCTGTTAAATATCTTCATCACAGCACGGAGGCCCTGTGGTGACATGAGGACTGAGTTGTAGACTCACTCACTCTGTGTAAAGAGATTGGATTTCTAAGGCTCAGGCGATGTGTGAGGACCCCTCATCAGAGATAGGGTGTAACTGCTAACATGCCAGGCTGCTGGAACCAGAAGACAGCTTAGAACACTTAATCCAGTGGCCATTAGCCGTTAAAATGAACCTTTTACCAGTTTGAAGACAGTGAGAAAAGTAAAAACAAAGTGGTTTTCTTTTCAGATTTCAAATTTATTAAATTGAAAAAACTTTCCTCTAGCCTGAGATTACATAGACTTTCTACTTTTTTTGGCATTAATATATCTTTCTTCTATGACATAGATAGTGGGGTTTTGTTCACTTTGTAATTTTCCTTCCTTAATAAAAAAGAAAAAAAAAAAAACCCAAAACAAAGTAAAAAGCAGACAAGGAAAAGTCCTAGGGCACACAATTGTGAAGACTGAGAACCGCTAAATTCATGGAGTGGGGAAAATAAGGTTCAGAGTCCTTGAGTGATTTGTCCAAAGTCACTCAGAAAACTGAAAACTTTGTATCCACCTCTTAGAATCTCAAGGAGACCCTTGAGAGAATCAAGGAGACTATCCAGAGAAGAAGGCCCAGCAGTGTCAAGAATTGCTTCCAATTTAGAATCAATTCTGCTAGTCACTGCCACTGAGGATTTTAGACAATGATTCTAACAGTATTTCAAGTGTTTTAATCAAATAACCAAAATGCAGATAGAAAACGTCGGATTTTTAGTTCTTTGTGGCTTGGTGGCCCGAAGTACTTAAAATATCATTTAACACGAATTCGCTAGTGATGATATAAAGGGCAGGTAGAGGATGAATCAAAGGATGAATGAGGAGGCGGTATTGTGTGGTGCAGTGGGTGTCAGATTGGGTTTGGTAAGAATTTAGGGGTACCAATGAAAACCTCAACTGCGTACTTTGTAGAACTGAGGAAAAACAGGTTTTGTGTCTGGCCTTTGTGGAAGATGCGATTAGCAATTCCTCATAACTGCTATCCAGTAACACCAGACTTGTTTCCAAAAGAATCAAGTGTCTCCTGGATTGAGAGCACGGCTGTTGCTCCACTGGCATCAGCCAGCACAGAGCTGCTGTCATTGTCAGGAATGTGCCACAACAGGCAAGGCTCACAGGTGACCAGAAAGACTGCAGAACCTGACTTCCATCTTCCAGGCACAAGGGAATTCTTCCCTGGCATTAGAGTGATTTTTGAAAAACACCTTTTCATAAGAAGAAAAGGCTTATTATTAGGATTTCTAATGTGTACTGAGAAATGTAGAGCCATTATTTAATACCCTTGGTAAATAGAACTTATTTTCAAAGCAGTTCTGGTGGTCTAGTGGCCTGTAAACCAAACAAACAAAACCCAGAGGACTTGAAGAAGGCAAAGGTCACTCATGTTCTGCCAATGTCCATATTTGAAGCATGGGAAGGCCGCGGCAGAAATTTCTGGAGTGTTTTGACAAGGCAAGTGTGTAAAGGAGCCCCAACATCCCAAATGGGCTTGTGACTTTATCAGTCTGATGATGACTGCACAATGTTTAAGGAGAATTATTCTAATTATAGTTTCAGGCTATCATCTCTTTACGGAGATAGGAACCAATCAATCTTCTCTAAATTAGCAATTAAAGACTGCTTATTATCCTGAAAAAACATATTAATGTATTCACAATCTGACAATGGACATTTCAAAACACAGATGATGTCTAAAATTCTTGGCTATGCTATCACAGGATGGCAATTAGATGTTGATGAACAATTGTTAATTCTAATGAATATCAAACTGACAGGACTTAGTGAAGGATTCCTTAGGGAAAGAGCAAGGGATACAGGGTTGAAACTCTGCAGCTGAATTTCTTCAAGTCGTGTCACTAGATGAGAAATGATAGGGAAGTTAGTTCCTGTAGTACACTGCCTACCAAGGTTCACTGAGGGTTTCTACACACACTATGTTGTGGGTTTCTGCATCAGGTCAGCTACCAGAAGCATGGGGAGGCTTGAAAAATACAAATGGAGATTTTTAGGCTCTGCTGTATAGATTTCAAGTAAGGAGGGCTGGGCTGCGGCCCTGGAACGTGCCTTCTGAAATGCTCCCAGTAGCCAGTCCAAAGACAAACACATGGGAATCACCTCATTATTTCATTTTGGAGTTTGTTATCCACAACAACTCTATGAAGTAGAAAAGGGAGGTAAAGAATTGTTTCCATTTTATGAATGAGGAAACCAGTGATATTTCCTCCACTGCCATTGTATTTTCTGGCTGTATAAAACTGCACTGGCTTGTGAAGATACTGAATGAATAATAAAGAGAGTAATATGTGGGCCATGTGACAGGATTATCTATACATTAATCTGAACCCTAAGAAGAGAGGAGGATAGTCTGCATCAACTCTGACAGCTCCTTAGAGATGTCATCTGTGTTTTGAAATGTCCATTGTCAGATTGTGAATACATTAATATGTTTTTCCAGGATAATAAGCAGTCTTTAATTGCAAGTCTGAGTGAAGCAAAGGAGGAAATTGGGTCCAGGGGTGAAAGTGAGCTTCTAGGGGCCCAGACCCACCTTGCTCATGGCTTCTGCAATGGCATCGACCATGCCCCCCACCAGCCCCACTTCACTGGCAGCTTCATTCAGGGTCACCATGATGTCGTCCACGGCCTCCTTCATGAGCTGGGCGGCCTCTGTGATGGCGTCGTGGGTGTGCTGGGCCTGGGAAGGGAAGGGGGGCAGAACACTGTGAAAGGAAAATATGTGCTCAATTTGAAGAATCACTTCACTTCTTTTGAGAATAACCTTGAAAAGCAAAATATAAAACTGTATCTCCATAATGGAGCACAGCCAGGAATGTTACGATTTTTCCTTTCTCTTATTATTCTTGTATATTTATTTGCAAAATAGATAAAAATCAGAAAGGCAAAGAGAGAAAAAGATATCTTTTTACAGTCAAAAGAAAAATAAAACTGCAATATCAAACAGCATCTATGACATGAGTGATTTTATATTACTACATTCAGTGGGGATCAAAAGAGAATGCCACTCCCTCCTCAAAAAAAAAGTTGATGGATTTAAATAAGGAAAACTAATAGAAAGGGAACAAATGAGTTCACTACAAATGGACTTCTCTTCACAGCTACCGATACATAATAATTTCCTTTCTATAAACAAGATTGGAACATGGAGACAGTAGGCACATAGAGTTCCTAATAGGTTTTGGAACTATGTTACAAATCACAAGGCTATAAGGCTGGAGAGAGAAATGGGGAAAGTTCTCCAGAGACAGATATTCTACAGGCAGAGCAGAATAACTCATGAGTCCCCCAAGGCAGCGCTTCAGAGATGCTTTAACCAATACAGGCATTTCACATGTGTCAGGCACACAGCAGGCTCAGGGGTGAATGAATGAAGGAAAACATGAAACAACAGCAGCAGCCAGATTCCCTTAAAGACATTTCAGATGTTATCAAGATGCAGGGGGAAGAGCCAAGGTCATGGGGTCAGAAAAACCTAGGTTCTGGTTCTCGCTCCCCTGGCTACTAGCTTAAGTGGTCCTGGGCTTAGCTTTCTCCTCAGTGAAATGAAAATAATTATAAAAATGCCACACAGTGGAGTTCTGATAAGATCATATGAGTGCAGGCATCTTACATTTATACTGAGCAGTATAGTAGAGGCCCTGTGACCTTACTGGGGAAATCTGATCTAATGCTCAGTAGTTAGAATCAGAATCATACCGCACCCAGGCACTGTTCACCCATGCAGGGCCCAGGGGTACCCAGAGCCACCTCAGTCAGGAGGTGACCCCTTCAAAAGGCCAAGTAGTTGCCTCTTCACACTGGTAGATGAGAAGGTAAAGGAGCCAATGAGAGATAGTAAATGCTAACTCTTTGCAGTGATGTATAGAGGAGAATTCCAGGAAGAGGTGAGGTGAGCCATAGGAACCAGCCCTACTTCTGGAATTGGAAAGCCATAGAAATCCAGAAGAGCTCTTGAAATACTGTATTTGATGAGATGAAAAAGAAGTAAATCATGGGTGGTTATCCTGAGGCAACTTAATCAGGTTACAAACATTAATTATTGACTACTAAAATTGCTTTAGAAGGTAACAGTGAAAAGTAACATAGAGGAACAAAAATTCCTTAAATCTTTACCAGACCAGTGTCCACCTACCTATCCCTGAGGCCCTCAATGGGGCAAGAAGGTGGCTTTCCTCTCATTTCCCTTTCTTCCTGGAGTCCTGGAGACACCTGGCCCCAGACTCCTCACAACCACATCTCATCCTCTGCCTGCAGTGACTGGTCCCATTTGCTTGTTCTCTTCTTCCTCCATTCAACTCCTGGCCCTGTTTCAAGGTCCTAAATATCACCTCCTTCAAGAAGCAGTGCTTGAGTTAATTTTGTTTTCAGCCTCTCATCAACTTCTTTTTGGATTCTGACAACTCTGAGCATCAACTCTAGAGTCAGAGAGTCACCAAGACTCATAAAAGACAAGAATGTGGGGAATGATGTTGTCTGACTTCTGGGGCTAAATGGAAGAGGACACAGTTTCTGCTTGATTCTCTCTTAGGCACATGCCTTTGAAGACCATAGTCTGTGCTTTGTGGGCAGACTGCAGTGAGAGTACAGAGATGTAGGGAGGGGTGCCTAAGAAGTCTCCCCCATTCTAATCACCCAATGTCTGAGTAATTTTAGTCCAGTCACCAAACCTGGGAGTGATGGGCCTGTGAAGACTGGGTGAAGTAACAGATGTGAAGTGCCTGGCAGAGTTCTTGGCACAGCTCTTGCCCTACTGTGTCTCTCCCCACCCCAGTCTCATCTCTCCAACCAGATCAAGGGCTCCTTACAGTTCATTCTGCTTCTCTCTAGAGGCACCATGTTCACAGGAATTGAAGGGCTTGATAAAAATCACAGGTGGGAGAAAAGATAATGGGTGAGATTTATATTTATTTTCAGAGATATTTTTACCAGGTAACCTTCACAGATTATGGGTGCAAACTTCTTCTCTAGAGGAGTCATTTAGATATAAATGAAACCATCTGTTTTCATACTATGTAATAAATGGGTGGCAGAGCTGATGGTCCAAACCACGCTTGGGGGGGATAGGAACAGGTCTGGCCTTCCCTCCCCAACCGTGCTCACTCAGGCTGTGATGACATGCTTCGACTCTTCTGTCTAGACCAGGAACACCTGCCGTCCCTGCAGATGCTGGCAAGACACCACCAGCTTGGGGATACTTCATCCAATGCAAGAGCCAGTCCGTGTACCCAATGTGGTTTTTATACCAGTTTTCAAGTCTATGTTCTATATCTTAAGTCCGGTATTTTAGCATTTTACAGATGATGCTTCATCCTACACAACAAGGGGAGCCATGAATAACAATAAACATCAACCCACATAATAGCAGCAATAGCAAAGACAGCTGCTGACCTTATGAGTGCCTCATCCCCTCCCCGTGCCAGGCATCATGCTGGCCACTTTTGTGTCTCTCTCCTTTAATCTTCACAGTCCACTGGAGTGTGCGAATTGGATGCTGTTCCTGCCAGGGACCCCTGTGACACATGCAATCTGAAAATGGGAGTTTAAGCACTAGAGTTCATGAACCTGTTGGAGGACAACAGCCCCCGACCAGCTGGCCATCTGCTGGACCTACGCCTCTGGTTAAAAAAGGAAATAAGCATACGGCCAGATCAGGTCAAATTTATTAGTACTACTGAAAAAATAAACCTTAATGCAGGGAATATGCCATCTACAAGGGAAGTCTTCAGCCTATCCCCCTGAATAGTGTGCAAACAAGGAAAAGCCATGCAGGTTGTCACATGGTAAAGGCAAGGGACCTCAGCACCTGCCACCACTCCCAGAATTTGTCTGGGCCACTCTCACTCAGTGCCCTCAATTCATTTCAGCATCATTCTGTCTCAGCTCTCTCAACCACCGAGGGCTTAATACCTGCCAATGAACTTGGTTCCTGTTCACAGTTCCCATCTTTGCATCTTGGGGCTTGCCAGGCCTAGCTTGTATGTGTCTTCCAATTCCTAGAAGCTCACCACCAGCTAGGCCCTGGCCCTGGTGCCTCCCCGCAGTGTTGTATAATGAAACATTTGGCTGGTCTTTGTCTCATGTACCTGGGAGAGATCCTCAAAGCCCTTGGCATTTCCAGAGTGATCACAGGAATGTTTGTTGTTCATGCTTAGTTCAAGCATAAATAAACTAATATGTTTAGTTTATGCTTACAAGGTGATTCAGAGGGTCCTTGTATAGTTTCAGGATAAGGACCTTGTATAGTTTCAGGATATAGTTTCACCATGTGATGAGAGGGTGATGGCTGGAAACTGTACCTTTGGGCATGTGCTGAACTCACCCACTTAAGCCTACACAATGACCCCCCCCCAAAAAAAAAATCAACAAAAACAAACAAGGAACAGCAAAGCTGCAGTCATTTCTCTGACTTTGCACATCATCGGGATGGGAGGGTGACACATCCTAAGGACATGGAAAGTTCAGGTTTGGGACCTTCCCAGGTCTTACCGTCTGTATCTCTTCATTTGACTGGTTTTATCCTTTATAATAAAGCTTTAATTGTGAGTAGAGAAATTTCCTGAGCTCTGTGAATTGTTCTAGCAAGTTATCTAACTAACCTGAGGTGTAGTGGCAATCCTTGAGTTCGTAGCCAGTTATTCAGTGTGCTGGGGAAACCTGGGGTTTATGGCTAGTGTTTGAATTGAGGGCTGTCTAGTAGGGGCCTGTCTCTTACCTGGGAATTCTTACCTAATACCAGGTAATTAGAGTCAGAATCACACTGTACCCAAGCACTGGTACAGTGCTATGCCCATGCTATGCCCTCACCCATGCTATGCCCTCAGTTGTCCTGAACACTTTTAGAAACAGGTAAATTTTCTAACAGTAGATGGTAGATAAGAAAGTAAGGACAACAGTGAGAGATGGTATATAAGAACTCAAATGATTAAATGAAGGAGGAGAATACCAACAGGAGGCTATGTGAGCCACAGGAACCAGCCCTGTCTGAAGAATTGGAAAGCTATGGGAATCTAAAAGAGTTCTTCAATATGACATCTGATGAGATGTGAAATATGCAAATTGTGGATGGTTATCCTGAGGCAACTGTGCTGGAATGCTTAGCTCTTTTGGGGATAATACGGAGTAATAGGGTAATTTAGGTTGATTGCTGATTTCATGACACAGATAAAGTAAAACAAAATGTACAGATTGCTTTATTTTGACGATGGAAGTCTGAAAGGTGACCTCTCCTGTATGGAATCCTCTAGAGAGAACATCTCATACAAATACATTTTAATTTATTCAAAAAGGTAAGAATGAAGGGGTGTATTTCTCTAAATTCACTGAGAAAGACATGACTACTGGGAGCACAAAAATGCCAATAATTCTACCCACTCAAATCAAGACAAAGTACACCTTTTGGGTTAGAAGTAAAAGCTGTTTGCCAAGTATCTGCTCTCTCATAAAGTTATCAGAAGCAAACTTTGCAGATGGCAATAGTAAATCACAAAACTGCTCTGAATTCGTTGGAAAGTATAAAGGACATTTTCTCTACACCTGGGCACCAAAGTCTATAAAACACATCCTTGCCCTTGGCTGTCCCAGAGATGAATCACCTTCCTGTCCGCTTGAGCTGAGAAATTCTCTAGAAGATCTGCTCTCCTTCCCTCCTCATGATTAAGTTTTACAGATCCCAAATGGGGTTAGCTCATAGTCTGCCTCTGCTGAGAAGTCTCCTCTAATTCAGGCCTCACTGGAGCTGCTTCCTCTAACTCCAATGCAAACCACAGTTTAGTCTAAATCACATGCGCAGGCTAGCTCAGCACACTAGATTCAGTCACCCAAAGGCACAGCAGGCTCTCAATTAAGGCCCAGTTAAAGGACTGATGGGCAGTGTGGTATGGGGAGCCAACAAGCCCAACAAAGAGGTCGTTATTTCAGATTCTGGGGGGCTCCTCATGGCACAACACAAGAGAATCAGATTCCATTCTTTTTTGGAAACATAGTTGAAGTCTACTTCCAAGTGAGCCTTATTTCTTTAGTACAATGCTTCAACTACAAAGCCCAATGGAGAAGAAAGAGACATCACAGGAGTTTGGAAACAGAGAGGGCTCCAGGGGGACAGATCTCAACTTTAGGAGAGGGAAAAAACAAGGAATAATTAGAACTGCCAAACAGTGGAGAGAGCTATATATTTGCCAGCCAGCTGCAGGCAGAAGCTGGAGGGGCCCTTCAAGGATGCTGTAAGGAGGGAACTCAGTGGGGCAGGGGTGAATATAGAGGGGTTTGGTGGGGTGAGATCACACAGCAAAGCTTTTGTAACCATATGATTCATGAACACCAGATTCTGGGGCTGTCACTTAATTTCTTTTAAACAGCTGCTGTATCTGATGCAGTATCTCACTGAATCTCTGCAACTACTCTAGAGAGGTATTAATCCTTAAACCCATTGTTTAGATCAAAAGACAAAGAAATGAAACAATTTGCTAGGAAGAGGCTGAATTGGGATTTGAATCCAATATTGTCGGCCCCTAAAGTTTGTGTTATTTTTCAGCAAATAAAAGCCACTGACAACCACTTAACCACATTTTCTCCGTAAAGAGGGACATTCATCATCTAGCTCGTGCTAGATGATCCATCCATACACCACCAAATACACAGCAAACAGTTCCCAGCAAGTATTCGCCCAGGATATTAAGTTTGTGTGTTAAGCTTCTTAGGAAAAGGCCTAAAAGCCAACTTTGTAGTGTCCAAGGAAGTTTTTTGAGACAATTGGTCAGGGCACAGGTTGAACATTATCGGCGAGGAGATAGAAGTGGACACCTATTTTGCTTTAGCTCATCACGTGCCTTAGTTCACCATCCACTGAAATCTATTCCTGCTTTCAGCCACCACTTCGAAGTAGAAGGTGTCATTATAAATCTGATATGACCATAAAAGTTACATATGTTCCCAATCAGAAGGTGCCTTGGTATATAAAATTCTATGGAGACCTCTGAACATGCAATCCAAGCAGATGGACTAACATTTTAAAAATTCAGAAAACTATTTTGAATTATTCTGCTTGAAATGAAACTCTCTCAGGTAGGAGTGGAGAAAAGTGCCAGTAAATAGCCCTAGAGTAAAGACAACTCAGAACTGGATCAGGAAGTCATGTCCTGGTTCCCTTCAGTTTGAGGAGGGTGCCAAGGGTGCTGGCCCAACCTTGGGGCACCTATCACTAATCAACAATAGCCATGGCTATTTTTGTTCTTGTTCTACTCCACCATTTCATCAATAAGACTTATTTTTCCAAAAGACTCAGAGCAACTTGAGAGCACTGGCTGAATTAGTATTTTCAGCATCCCCATCATTAGGATCTTACAATTTCCAGACACATGATTCAAAATTGACCATAGAAAATGCATGTCCATGATGTGTTTCTAAAGTATGGACTGGTCAGTGCTACTGCCCACTACTTACAACAAAGGTCAGATTCTTGATTGGAAGAAGAAACTGTCACAGCATAGCTGAGTCTACCCTCCTGCGCGCTGTCCACACACACTGCACATCCCATACACAGCAGGCTGAACGCTGTGTGTTCTGCTGGTGTCACAATCTTTTCATAACCCAATGTGTGACTTTGCATGTGCTGCCCCTCTTCCCAGCATGCCTCACGCCACTCTTTGCACCAGGTCATTTCCTTTTTGAAACCAATCAGCCAATCTCTTCCCTGCAGTGTTCCCTGACCCTCTCCAGTCCTTGATCTGGTCAGAGTCAGTCTGGGTGTCCATGGGCAGAGGTTCAGCCCTGACTCCACACCCACCACTCCTGTAATCCTGGACACCTCATCTAAGGCCTCAGCTTCCACGTCTCTAAAAGAGGAACCTTCCTACCATTTTATGAAGGATCAAATTTTATTAAGATCAAGTAAGATGAGGATAGAAGATATGGCAGGTGACATAGAATCAGCAATTAATGTTAGCTCAGAAATTACTATTTTGTGAATTTGACCATTAATAAAGTCTTTTCCACTGTACCACGATATTGATTTAAAGCCTTACAGATGCAGCAAAAATACATCAAAGAATACTTGAAACATAAATCACTCTAGCTTGGAGTTAAGTATGCTACACGAATCCTTATGGTGTCTGCTCCCTGCAGTTGGCCTGTTTTAGGTGGGGATACATAAGAGCACACTGATTGTGCAGGGCAGCGGGTGGAAGGTACAAACAGCAGGAGGAGCGCCAATCTTCTCTCCAGGTACCAGAATCCTGAGGAAACTTAGAGCGCATGATGGCTTTACAAGTAAAATAATCACTCTGACATAAAGATTACCTCTGAGAGAAAATGACATGCTGTCATCATCTTTGGCCATTTAAAGTAGCTGGGTGACACCTTAGGCCAAATAAATGTTTCACTTGCAAATTGGTAAGAAAGATTTTCTTATTAAATTGTTGTCCCCAATAGTAACACACATGACACGGTGACCTTGTACAATGTTTTGCTTTAAATTTGAGTACCAGGAATGGAAACAACATTCTCTGGAAAACAACAGAGCTTTGCTTTGTGCAAACTTGGTGTCAGCACGAGGCAGGTATTGCAGGTTTTCTTCCAGTAAACCAAACATGTTATTCTGCCCCAAAGACATTTGCTACACATTCTGTCATGGAAAAAATAACTTATAACTAAGCTTAATTATATCTATTTCTTGATTTCCTCTTAAAGATCCCTAGGAAGCCCAGTAGATCATTTCCCACAGGAAACCAAATGCCACTCACCAAAAAGTGAAGGGAATGCAACAAGGCAGAATAAGTGATAGCTTCCCAGTGGTCCTACACCAGTCCCTGCCAGCCCCCACTGTACCTTGGGGTTCCCTCCACCTTCTTTGGCTGCGTACAACATCTGCAGGGCAGACTCTGCGAGTGTCTTGGTCTGGTCCAGCACTGTCATCTGCTGCTGATGATCCAGGATCTTAGAGGCGACACCAACTGCAGCTAAGATCAAGGGCTCAAAGTAGCTTGCCAGCTGTGTCACCTTTTAAGATGAAAAAGTCAAAGATACACCACGTAAATACATGTGTCTTCATCAGGGGCCCTGCCAATGGGGAGGAGGCTGGACAAGGATGGGTGGAGAGGCAGAGCTGCAGAGCTCTAGTCCCCTCACTCCACTCCCACAGTAATGGTTCCCTTCTTAGCTTCAATTTTGTTTTCTGCAGTTTTAGCTACCCATGAGCAATGGCCATCTGCAAATATCAATCACAATAAGGTACCTTGAGATAGAGACCTCATTCAAAGAACTTTATAATCATATAGTGTTATAATTTTCCATTTTATTATTAGTGATTGTTGATAATCTCTTACTATGCCTACTTTATAAAGATAACTTTATCATAGGTATGTTAAATATAGGAAAAAACAGTATAGAGTTCGGTACTATCCTTGGTTTCATGCACCCACTGGGCGTCTTGGAACATATCCCCTGCAGATAAGGGAGATACTGCATACAATATAATATCACGAATTACAGTCACCATGTTATACCAAATAGTACATACAAGCTCACCAAAGTTGACCAGCTGGGCACCACAGGGCCACATACATGTCAAACAAATGTTACAAACATTTACTGGGTGCATCCCACATGAAAGACTTTCTGGTAACTGGTTACCATATACGTTTCCTTATGTAATCTCTGCAAAAACTGCATGAAGAGGCTAGGACAGGTGAAGTAATGTGGCCAACCTCATGCAGCTGAGATGTGGAGCCAAGACAGGAAGCAGGAATTCCACTGTAAAGCCCAGGTCTTGAACACTGCTACTTTTAATTTTTATTTCAGTTCTGCTACAGTTATAATACTGTGTTTTAGAATATTGTTATTTTTTGCTTTGCATACTATTTGAAATAAAATCAGATATCCAGTAGATAAAAGGGATGAGGGATGATGGTGGGGAAAAATAAATAGACTGTGTGTAAAGATTCAACTTTGCATATAAGAAAACAAAAAAATGGAAAGACACTTATGCAAATGTTCCAATGTTCCACAGTGTTGTTTGGTAAAGTAAGAATTTGAAAATAAGCATGATGTCAAATGGGGCAGAATGAATAAATTATAGTTCATTAAAAATGAGTTATATATGAGTTATATCTATAGCTGCTATATGTGTGTGTGTGTAGTTACATGGATAGACATCTAATATTATAAGGGAAAAAGGCTGAACATAAAATTGTGTTTATATGTTTAAAATTCTTTTTGAAAGATGACTGGTACAAGTTAAAATGGAAAAATGTAGATGCACTATACTCACAACTATATAAAAAATCAGGAGCAAAAAAATAAAAAATGTAGTTAGGAAAGATGCAGAATGAAAGACGTAAAGAAAATATGCAAAATGCCAAATGCTAGAAGTAGTGGTTGTGTTAGAGTGATAGAATACAGATTACAGTAAATTTTCTCTTACTTTTTGTATTTCCTATATGTTTCTCATTAAAAAAACAGTAAAGTTAGAGAATAATGCAGCATTACTATTACCTGGCATCCAGAATATGAGATTTTAACGTTTTGCTATTCTTGCTTCAGATAACATAATCTATTCCCACTCAGAAAACCATAGAGATTACACTTTTCATTCCACTTCTCCTTTTATCTGGCAATTACTAATTGCTAAATTAGTTCCATCAAGTGTATTTAAGTTCAGACCTTTAGTCAATCAATTCCCTTAATGCCTCTTCCCATCAGGTGGAGAGAGGCTGGATGGTAGGACTGAGGTAAGAAGGCCACTTCACCTGTTCAATGGCTGTCATTGAGTCAGATACAAAGCAGGGGGAGGGAGGTGGCCTTTGGGGGGTGTGGTTAGGGACAAGATGGGGTTCCAAAAGCAATTAAAGTTCATTAGAGCTAATAGTGAGATAAGACTACTAGCAACAAATACTCTTTTACTTTTTTTAATCCTTGAATACAGTTATCTTTGAAATGGTTTTCAAAGCATTTGCACAGGGCTGCTACTGGATCAGATGACACTTTGTAGGAACCCTAAAAGGGCTCCCCACCTTCTGGGTGGAAATGATGGATGCTAGGGCAGACAACTTGGCTGGATTTCAGACCCCACTCTGCACACCACAAACACCTTTGTCAAGGCCCAGGCTGCACAACCCCAGAGCGGGGGCAGAGGGTGGACAACCCTACACATTGTGCACTGGAGAGCCTCCTCTTCCGCCCGGAAGGATACTGGGGTGACCACCAAAGGGAACACAGTACTGGTGGGTCATCAGGGGTAAGGATTCAGGATGGGTCCTCTACGTACTGACGGAGCAAAATGATTGAGGCATTCAAATCTCACGTTTTCTAGATAATTTCATCCTTTTAAAATTACATTTCATTAATGCAACTATAAAATGTCAAGGGTTGCTATGTGCTGGGAATAATTAAAACACAGATAAGCTGGTGCCTGACTTAGTCGAGGTGTGGGTGATGGGGAAAGCAAATTCTGGTTTCAGAGCCTCTGGGCTTCAATCCCCCCACCAGTTCCTAGTTGAGAAATCATGGGCACCTTGCTTCCTATAACTAGACTTCACTTTCTTTCTCCGTATAACAGGATTTTTTAACAGCTCTAAACTCATTAAGATTGTTAGGAGGATTGAATGAGGTACATAAAAGCACTCCCACAATGCCTGCTATGTAGCTCTCAATACATGGTCAGTGTCATTAGTCTTGACATACTGTAGGCAAAGGTTTTTGAAAGGATGTGACTTTTTCCTGACTTTTGTCTGCTCCCCACCTCCCTCTGTTTCCAGTGTAGTCATGGAGCACGGGGATCATGAGCTCCTCAACATTCATAGTCCAGCTCCTCTGGATAGAGGCCTCTAGGTTGCCTCTGTTCAGAACTCCCTTTTACATGGAGAGAACAGTTTAGACAAAGGACCAAGAGAAAATCTACAACTCAAGTGAGACAAATTATTTTTCCTTCAATGCCACCCTGACTTTGGAATTAATGTTCCATATATTTACAACCTTTCTGCAGACAAGGATATTTCCCACAAAGAAGTCTAGAAATTTTCTTACAAAATTTTAAGTCGTATCAAAAGTGATCACTGGAGTGATGTCAGGCTTTTCTGCCAAACTCAGTTTCTCTGACTGATGTATACAGGCAGAAGTCCCTACCTACAGGTCTACAGAGCTCTAGCCTCCAGGCCTATCCCCCACCTTCTCAAACCTCTTCTCACAGGTGGGCAAGTCCTTTTATTATCACGAAGGAACTCAACTCAGAAATGAAATTTGCCACACTTGAAAAGGTAGAAACGAACTGGCCATTTTAAATTTAAAAACCTCTCCTTAGAACCAGTAGGAAATTTAGTAGCCCCTTAAGCTATTTTATAATTAGAAAAAAGCAAGAATATTGATTTTCTGAAATCAATATCTGCAGAGATTTTGGCCATGGATTTCTTGACATGCACGCTGATACTGATGGCTGCAATGATAAATGCTAGGAAACCCCAAAGGTTGTTAAAAATCCAATTTCTGTCCTCTCTTCTGAGGCACAGGCTGCTTCACATAAGCTAACTCTCCTTCAAGGATTTGCAAAATGAACTCCAAACAGGCAAAGTCACCATTCATCGCTTAAATAACGGGGATAGGAACTCACAGCCGAAGGGTTACTTTGCCTGTTTGACTCTCCAGAGTGAAGCTGGCATGTTTGCTTTGCTTCCTCACATGTGAATATAGACTATACGAAAAACCATGGAAGAACAGTGTACTCCCCAAACATACCACCAGGATGAGGCGAGCTACCAGGGAGATCAGGCTAGGAAAGTCACTTCAGTCTCTGGCTTAGTGAACATTTAGAGCAACAGATACATACCTTGCAGTAGACTGCAACCAGAAAAATTGTGTTGCTATTTTTGTTTTAACTGCAGGTGAAAACAGATCCTGAGGTGGTGATTTTTGGAGAATAGGCCAGAGATGCTGCATAAGCCAGCATTAAATCCAGGCACAATACCTGGCTCTGCAGGCAGGTATCAACAGCACCCCCTCCCTTCCACAATCTCAGTGGTTTCCCCTGGGCCCACATTACCTTATGTCCCAACTGAGCTGCTTCTCCCCGAGCCGCTGTGGCAATGGGGTCGATAAGGTGTCCGATTTCCTGGACCACCGATGTCAGCTGCTCCTGCAGGGCCTGATAAGGAGAGGGAGCTGTCAAGTTTACCCCATGATAACTGTCCATGTAGTTGCATTGATTTAAAAAGGGCTTTGGGAAAGACAGTGGAAGCCACAAGAAATGGGCATCAAAATGCCTGGGCATTGCTAAGTGGCCATTCTACCCTGTTCTTCCCAGGGACCCTCACTCCCTAGACTTAGCCCCCATCCCTACCTTCTCTAGTTCTTCCTGTGAATGACAAGAAACAGACCTGAAGAATGCTTTTTTTCCCCATTGGCTTCTCAATCCTGCCAACCACAGTGACAGCCAATGCTACTAACATTTTTATTTTGGGTTATTAGCATAATTACTAGAAATGTGGAACATCCATAGTTTTTCAAGAATGGAAGACAACTTTGTCCAGATTGAGAGAGCTAATGGTGGGGAGTGAGGGAACATCCAGGCCACCATGTCCTCAGAATTAAGAACCCCTTGCTTTGTTGTTGTTGAGTCTCATCAGCTCTTTGCAGATTTTTGTGATCAGTCCTTTATCATTAGTGTTGGGTGCAAAAATGTTCTCCCAGTTGGTGGGGTTTCTTTTTGTTTTTGTTATTGTCTCTTTTGCTGTGCAGAAGCTCTTTAATTTGATGTAGTCCCAGCTGTTTATCTTTGCCTTCTCAACAACAACAAAGAAAATAATCCAGTCAAAAAATGGGCAGAAGAGCTAAAAAGAAACTTCTCTGAAGAGGAAATGCAAATGGCCAACAGGCATATGAAAAAATGTTCAACATCACTTGTCATCAGGGAAATGCAAATCAAAACTACCTGAGATACCATCTTACACCAGTGAGAATGGCACATATTAAAAAAACTAGCAACAACAAATGTTGGCGAGGGTGTGGAGAAAAAGGAACTCTTCTGCACTGTTGGTGGGAGTGCAAACTGGTCCAACCACTGTGGAGAGCTGTGTGGAGATTTCTGGACCTACTAAACATAGAGCTTCCATATGATCCAGCAATTCCACTCCTAGGTATTTACCCAAAGGACACAGAAACATCAATTCCAAAGAACACCTGCACCCCTATGTTTATAGCAGCACTGTTTACAATAGCTAAGCTTTGGAAACAACCCAAATGCCCAAAAATAGATGACTGGATCAAGAAGATGTGGTACATATATACCATGGAATATTACTCAGCATTCAAAAAAGATAAACACATGCAATTTGCAGCAACATGGATGGCGCTGGAAGGGATCATGCTCAGCGAAATAAGCCAAAAAGAAAAAGAAAAATACCGGATGGTCTCACTCATAGCAGGAATCTAGAAAACTTAAATAAGGGACCAGGAAAATGAATAACTATAAGAAAGTGAAAATCAAAATCAACAAAAAACTATGAACCAGAGACACTTTTAGGGGGGCGGGGCGGGAGGGGAGGGATTGGGGTCAGAATGGGGGGGCTGCAATTGTATGGGGAATATAAAAATAAAATTTATTATTTAAAAAAAAAAAAAGAACCCCTTGCAAGAAGAGAGAAGAGATATGACATAAAAGTGAGATCAACAATATGAATGCAGGACTAATTCCCAGAGAGCAGAAAATGACAGACGTGATGCTCATTGAGCTCAGCTCCAATCCTTGGCTTACTGAATTTGTTGATGAGGATGCAAATATTGAAAACAGCACCTTCAAGGCATTTATTTCCAGGTTTGAAAGATTAATCTCTCCATCTCCAATAAGTGAATTCATGCTATAAAGAAGTGTAGTTCACTGAGGGAGATGGGGAATTCAGTGGTGGAGATCACTAGGTAATAGCAGGAAAGATCAGGTCCTTTGTAGGAATCTTCAAAATCCTTTGTAGGATTTTGTTCAGATGCTGGACCTACCACACACATCAGCAAGGAATGGGGTGGTTCCTGACAAAGTGACAACGTTCTCCTCATCAGAAATGAGACAAAGGGTCTTTGCTACTTTTCCATTGAACAATGCACACAGCTTGGGGGGTTTTGAGCAGAGGTTAGTCAATGAAAGGGGCAGTCTAACATGCAAACTTAGAAACAAAATCCTGGACCAAAAAAAAAAAGAGAGAGAGAAAAGGAGAGATGGAGGCAGGTGGAGAGATGCCCATAAACTTCCAAGGATCTTATTTACCCAATCACTTCTCTTCCCACTTCCCATTCTTGACTATGTGACCCTAGTCAAGAATGCAAGAATATTTCAGCAACGTTTTCTTATTGTGGATGGTTTGTTAAATTTGCCTTAAACGTTTAGGGAGCACACACAATACAAAGGGAGTGCTTTACTTCCTAGGGAGGAAGTCAAGACAGTGAATATATTTTGAGAGGATGGTAAAAGAATGGGGCATTAGGTGTTCCAAAGTACTGGTCATCTTCATTTTTTGGTCAGATTGCACTGAGTTGGTGATAATTCATCATGCTATAACATGCCTCTTGGTAGTCACATTATACTTTAATAACCAGTTAACAACAATTTGAACATTTTGCATAGAATGAGAGTGTGAAGTGTGAAGCTGGCGTGACAGAGGCAGCTTTATTAATAAAAATGAGCAGTATCAACTCTGGGTCCACTGGTTAGAGAGAGGGGCCAAAGTTCATTGTTGATGAATTTAGTGGTTATAAGGGAAACATCAGTAAGTAGACCATCCATATTTATTAAGCACCTTCTGAGTGTCAACAGAGAGAAAGAATTAGGGGTCTTCCAACAGGCAACAACAACAACAAAAAAACATAGAGGAACAAAATAGGAAAATTCTATTCTCAACTTTGGGAAAAACAGCACCAGAAAGCAAACTGGCTCAGAAATTATTAACAGAATGAAAAGATCCCAAATACTAGATAATGAATAGCTGAGGGGAGAATCCTTTATCTCTGAATGGAACAAATTTAGTAGTTTAATGTTAGATTTGCTCATTAGTAAAAAAGTGCATTGATGAAGCATACAGAGAAATGTTCATAATGGACACACACAAGTTTGCTCTACTGGTGTGTTAAACTGAATATAATAAGCCTACCTTACTGACACACTTTTGACATTGATAATTTTTCCTTGAATTTCAGCCACATTTCAACTTTCTGTTCTAGTAGTGCATGTGATTCCTTCACCAAAACACCTCTCTACTCAGCATTTGCCTCATCCCCACCAAAAACTTTCCAGGAAGTTTGGAAGAGGAACGTGGTCCAATGATGAAACTCTAACATCAAAAACATGTTAGAACCATTTCCCTAGAATTTCCAGTGGGTTCCAAGTGTACCTCCACAGAGATATCATCCCTTGTGGCCAAGCTCTGGCTGACAGCAGCCAGTGAGGCCTGTTCAATGTCCCGTATACACCGATTGATGCCATCGATGGAGTAGTCACACTCCCTCTGTCCAGGGGCCTTGTCCCTAAAAAGACAAAGGCAAGACAAACACAGGCTCCATGTGAGTCCCACAACCTGCTCCAGCACTGGTAGATCAGAAGCCCTTGTCTAGTTTTTAACCTGACTCAACTACCTTGTTTAAGGAGTGACTCCCTGACCCTCACACTTGGCATTGCCTCTCCACATAGTTTGTACATTTCTTAATTTAACACTTATACTAATGCTACTTATTTTTGATGGGAAGAATATAGTGCCGCCCTCCATCTCAGGCTGATGCTAGTCAACTGCAAATGAAACAATTTGGATTTGGATGCTGCAATCACTGGCTTCAGTATTGAACCCTTATTTGAAAAAAGGTCCATGCTATTTCCAGTGCAAACATACGATGGTCTCTATGTTGCATACTATTCACAAAGGGCTGGGCTGTGGCGGGAATTAAAATATTGAGTGGATTTTCCTCGTAAGAAATGAAGAAAGCTACTTATGGTTCCAAGTTTCAAAAGCAATAGGAAAACAAAATATACTAAGGAATGGGATGCATCCTGTCATGGGGGGTATGAACTTCAGTCAACTTCAAAATGCTATATATTACTCAGGGTTATTTTTTCACCTTGCTAACACCAGGAGGTCAGAGACACCACAGTTACTGTGAAATCTATAATATTTTTTTTTGCTTATCAAAATAAATTAACACCAAATTCTGTTAAATAAACAGTGGTGTTCTCTGTCTAAGCTCTTAGGTACAAACAGCATGGTACAAAGGCAACGAGGGCTAGAACTAGAGCCATCAGACCTGGGGATGACCTTGGAAATCTACACACTGAATTTTCTCATCAGCAAAATGATAACAATGGCAGTATCTACCTTACGAGGTTGTTGTGATGCTCAAATAAGATTATACAGGTAAAATGCTTGGGATAGTATCTGGCATAAAATAAATGCTTAAGTTAGTTATTGTGACCAGTGCTAGCACATGTCCCAAAGAGATAATGAAAAAGATGATGTTAATGATCAACCAAATTGGTATTAACTAAGTCTTGATGGGTTTACCCTCCTTCCCTTTTCAGTGTAGGCACTTACGGTCTTTGGAGGAGAAACTAACCTGATAGATGTGATGAGACTCTTGATGGAGTCAGACACAGTATGGGAATGTCCAGCAAGCACAGACCAGGTGGGCGGGTCTTTGGGGTTGATAGCCAGTGAGCGTGCAGTGCGGATGAGGTATGATGAGCTCTCCAGCATGGTCTTGGCTGAGACCAGAATTGGTTCCTGTGCCTGTGAGCCCTGGGATAGAAGAGTAGAGAGGTTAAGGGCGGAGCACACAAACTAAGTGAATGAGTTGGTTGGAACCAACTTTTAACAAGACAGTTCCTCTCTCCTTTGGAGGGAAACACAGAGGGCAAGGAACCATCAAGGTTGACTCATATAGGGCCTAAATGATGGGGACTTGGCTCATTTGCTCCTTAAATAACATTTTTGAATGTGACACACACCAAAGATCAGCCTCAAACCTATGCACAGAGATTGTTCTCAGCATGCAAAACTTTTAAAAGATGTGTAGACATTGAGTATCATTAATCTGTGCAAACATTGTCATCAATATCAATAGTAGTACCTAATATATTGACAGAGAGCTTAGAAGTTTTAAGCTATTCATGCTCATTTAGTGCCACACAAATCCAGGAAAGAACCCCGTTTTACGTTTACTGCAAAGACCCCCTACCTCAGAGCTTATCTGGGCAGGAACACTGACAAACTCAGGGTTGGAGGCAAATGCTGTCAGGTTCTCCACAGCTTCGATCAAGGGTGCAGTGGCAATGCGGCACTTATTGCGGTTGTCTTCAGAGAAATCCCCATCCAGGGCCTGATAGAAGAAAGTTCAGAGACCTCATTTCACTGAAAAGCACAAAACAGTCCTGGGCCACAGTAATAGGAGTTGTCCCAGCAGAAGAAGGTGGTTTAACGGTACTTCTGAACATATTTGTGATTTCAAAAACAATAAGAACTGGATTAGGAGATCTCTGCCATCAAGCAGAGGGACCCAGTTAGTCACTGTAAGAAATAAAGCTGATTTGGAAACAGCCCAAATGCCCAAAAATAGATGACTGGATCAAGAAGATGTGGTACATATACACCATGGAATATTACTCAGCATTCAAAAAAGATAAACACATGCAATTTGCAGCAACATGGATGGCGCTGGAAGGGATCATGCTCAGCAAAATAAGCCAAAAAGAAAAAGAAAAATACCGGATGGTCTCACTCATAGCAGGAATCTAGAAAACTTAAATAAGGGACCAGGAAAATGAATAACTATAAGAAAGTAAAAATCAAAATCAACAAAAACTATGAACCAGAGACACTTTTAGGGGGGCGGGGCGGGAGGGGAGGGATTGGGGTCAGAATGGGGGGTTTGCAATTGTATGGGGGAATATAAAAATAAAATTTATTATTTAAAAAAAAAAAGAAATAAAGCTGAGCATGTGGCTCACAGGACAGCTGATCTCACAGTCTGTCTATTTTCCATTCACACAAGGGAGAAATGTGAATTCAAGTAGTGCCCTGCTCTTCATGCCCTATGAGCCAGGTGGCCAAACCTTGCAGCTGAGCCACTTTCTTGCTTACTTTGAGACTATAACCCTTGGGGTCTTCACCTCTATTGTGACTCTATTAAGACTGTCTATTCCCCCAGACTGTAAAAACACTTCACATTGTGTAGCACTTCCAACTTTTTCTAAGTTTTACCTGAAAGTCATTAAATAACTGACATATAAGTAGGGCTGGCATATCCATTACTCTGAAATGAAGAAAGTGAAATCCAGTGGGAAGGAACAGATTAGAACTATACCCAACAATAAGGAGAAATCTTACAAATATAGTATTTAGCTAAAGAGGCTGAACCCAAAAGGGTCCTACAGCATGATTTAATTTGTGCAAAGTATAAAAATAGGTGAGACTAATTTTGGGTGTAAGAAAATAGGTTACTCTTTGGGATAGGTAAGACTGAAGGAGCATAAAGCGGGCTTCTAGGAAATGGTCATATTGTGTTTCTTGATCTGGCCATAATTATCTAGGTGTATTCAGCCTGAAAAAATTCAGTGAGCTCCACACAAATAATGTGTGTTTTCTGTCTATGTATCTTATCTCCATTTTTTTTTTTTAAATCAGCAGCAGTTAATACAGTGGCATTGAATGATTAGTCATCCTGCTGATGAATGAATGGCCTGGATGGATGCAAACCCAAGTATGCAGCCTGCGATCCCTATCATGCTGCCTCACAAAGGGTTAACATTTAGATTTAAGGTTCTCCAACCCCAGTCTCTACCTCTTCAAAAACAAGACTGTGAGAACCAACAGCCTGTGACAGCAATAGCCACCCCCCCACCCAACTCCCGCCCGATGCTTCCCAGCTAAGGGCTACATTTGGGAAGGCAGTTATGTTTGCAGAAGAACGTAAATTTTCTTGTTAAATGACCAATTAAACTTTTAATTTAACCACTATGAGCAATATATAAAAGCCAATTTAGATAATTAGTGAACACCAGAGGCACCAGCATTACAAAACTGAGCAGATCTAAGATGGGAGCACTGCTGTTTTTTAGTGAGGCAAGAGTAGGCAGGCATGGTCAGTTTAAAGGCTATTTCTGAATAACAACTACATTCCAATCAAGCCTTGGCAGCTTGGGATAATAATTATACATCTGTAATGCTAATATTTTCAGAGGAATTCCCGAGAGTCTGGTTAATTCATCATCATTGCTAACACAGTGCATGGCTTGCCTCTGCTCACACCCTTCCCCACCATTGACCTCTACCCTAAATCTCACTGATTCAGCATTTCTTCCAGACCAATGGAAACACCTATGTGCCTGCAACTCCTTGCTTTATACTGTCGCTCATGTCCTTAGTAAATGTTGATTTCGCACCTGTTACCTGCATTGTGCTGGACTCTGGCAGTGAAGAATGAAAGGTCTTAGTACTCTAATCTTGTTGCACTATAAACATCACTGATTCCTTGAGGTTAGTCCCTACCAAGCTGCAGAGCAATTTGGAAATACATCGGGAGACAGGGTGGGTGCCATATACCAGGAGAGTGGCCTCATCCCAGGCACAACACAAAGCATGCAGATGGCACAAGTGGATGCAGGTGTCCAAGAAAATTGGGTGCTAGCAGCACCAGTGGCTAATCACACCCCCTCCATTTGGGATGATATGAAATTCTAGCTCCCTGGAAGATACCAAGCTTTCCTGTGGTGCTACTCACTCCTGTTTTTATAATGCTCCACACTCTTCCCACTCCCCTTTCTACCTTCCACAGTCCTCTCAGTCTATTAGTGAGGGAGGCATCTGAGCAAGCCACCTGTCTTTGGTTGAACTAATTTCAACTGGAAAGATGACAATCCAAGGTAAATCACAAGGAATTCTTTTCTAACTACAGTTTCATAAACTGCATCAATAGAATAAAGAAAGAAATTTTTTAGTCTTTGAGCACGTGTCTTAAAAATCAAATATCAGGGCCTCCCCAGTGGCGCAGTGGTTGAGCGCTGGGTTGCGAAGCTGCCCGCAGCCTCTGCAGCACCGTTTCGATCCCCGGCTGCTCCCCGGCCACCGGAAGAGGGTCCCACATGGCGCGCAGACCTCTCCTGCCGCCCGCTGCTCCCCTCAGCAGTGTACTTCGGTCCTTCTGCCTGCTCTGCTCCCCGCTCTGGTGAATTCTCTCACCCTCCTGCGCTTCTGACTGTACCCAGTGCATGTACAAACAAACAAACAAATAAATAAATAAATATACATGCCTCTTTAAAAAAAAAAAATCAAATATCATATACCCCTTTGGTCATTTACAGTTCAGCACCTTGAATAATGTGGGCTAAAATGCCAAGTTACATCAACTGTTAGGTTTAGTGCCAAGCAGAAATTGTGCAATAATAGCTTTTATTTTTCTGAGATGTTGGAGCATGGCCTTACCCCTTATAGCAGAGTTGCAGTTACATGAAAAAGTTCCATTATTTTTCATCATCTTCAAAAGGAAAAACAATTTCCTCCAAGGGAAGCTGCCACTGAACATCAGAAAGGATGGTTTGCGCTTGTACTATTTCACTTCTGAATGCTGCTTCCACTCGGAATCCCTGAGCCATCCAAGTAAACTGAATACACAAATCTGCCCACTGCTGCAACTTTAAGTAGCCTGGTAGTTTCCACATAGTAATTCCATATATGTCAGTCATAACAGTGACAGTTACAATCCTCTCAGTCAAACACACGGGTTCTCTCTCGACTGAGGAGAGAAAAACAGGTAATTGTACATAGTGACCAGTAGAGAGAAGCAACTGTTGTCAGGCATCCATGTGCTTCTAACTTGCCTGGCATTTAGAACAAACCCTGGCAGGAAGCAGGGTACACATTTTTACTGAGGGCAATCGTGACCCCCCGGGGCCACTGTCTCTGAATGTTCTCACTTAGCAAAAAAAAAAAAAAAAAAAAAAAAAAAAAAATCACAGGGGTCTGGGAACAATTTTTGCATGTGCATCAGAATCAAAAATTCATTTAATCCTAAATCCCTCATTTTTCTAAGTAATATAACCAATACCTAAAAAGTGTCATGCCTCAGATGAACCCAAGACTCCTGGCTTCCTGGCCCCCTTCTCTCCCAGTGATCTTAGACAAAGACAACAAGAATAAGAACCCAGAGAAGTTTAACTATTTTCCCCCTCTTTCTCTACTGAAGAAACCCACTTTTCTGAACCAAGCATAAAAATGACCAAGAAAACATATGTATAGCCAAGTTAAACTTAATTCATGAGAACTGGATCTGGTGTCTGGTATACCCTGGAAATGCTTAATCGCAAAACCCTGAGCTTTGACTCTGCTTGAGAGGCAAGGCCATGCTCCAATTTCTCATACAAACAAAAGCTGTTGTTGCACAATTTCACTTGGCACCCAAACCTGAGTGGCTACACATTTAAAACAACATTCCATTCCAGACATCTGATTTGAAGCAAGGTAATGAATCGACTGAAGAGAGAAAAACAGGAAATTGTACGTCGTGACCAGTAGAGAGAAGGAACTGTTGTCAGGCGTCCATGTGCTTCTAACTTGCCCAGCATTTAGAACAAGCCCTGGCAGGAAGCAGGGTATAGATTTATACTCTTACTGAGCAGTGCTGAGGGAGGGTTTTAAAGAACACCATCAGTAGAGACTTAAGATTCCTGGAGACACACGTTCTACTTGGGTACCAACAGCCAACGTTCCTCTGGCTGGGCTCCTCACCTTTCTTTGTGACTTAGGCTGCAGCAGCTGGGATTTAAGCATGGGCACATTCTCATTGCTCAAAACAGAAAAGCAAGGACTAAAAAGCATGAAACTTAGAGCAAAATGCAACTATGAGAACAGCTGTGTTAGGCAGGCAGGGATTTAAATATTCACTTGTTTTGCTATTTGATAGGATTTTAAACCATCCCTTGAAATAGAACATCTATTCCATATATAGCACAGTGTGCTACAATGAAATGGCCTTTACAATTTTCTTATTAGAAAATTAAAACAAAGCTCACTGTCCCTGGCAAAGCCTGCTACCTGATGGAAAAAAATAAGCACATTTTGACACGGTGAGGGATAACAGGTTCGTTTCTGCTGTTCCTGCATTGTAACAGACTCCCAGGGGATGGAGGGGAAACAGGCCTTCATCTCCACATTCCAATCACCCGCTTTCCTCCTCTCATGTTTCTGCACAGGCCTATCTGTTAGACCATCACAAGAGCTCACTTGCTGCAAGGAACTGCAAAGAGGGTCTGACACTATGAGAAGAATCTGAAAAGAAGGTGAGATCTTAACGGAGATGCTTTACACAGAGACAGGTCAGGATTTAACACCAGGGAGGTCAGGAAGGAAAGGGTTCCAGGAAATTCTATAGAATAGTTTCTCTCCTTTGCCACCTCCCTCCCACCCCCTTCTTCGCCCATCTATAAATATAGTCTGTTTTTTAATGATCAGAAAATTGCCAACTTTAACTGAAATATGTCCTTTATACAGTAACCAACAATGATGTCACTTATTTTCAACTCTCTTGCTGTCTTTTCATCTCCGTCTTCTCAAAACCTGCACACAGGCACTTTAAACACATCAAGGATTTCATCCCATGTTGGCAAGATTAATTAGACTTCTCATGCCAAAGATTTGAAGGGCATATCTGGAGTAAGAGCAGGATCAAGAGCGGAAAGAGCAGGGACTCTGGGACCTGTATGTGAATTCCAAACATTTCTTTCCTGGCTGGGTCGTCTCAGAAAGTTACCTCCTTGTGCCTCAGTGCCCCATCTGTTTATCGAGGATGATAAGCTCTGGGTGGTTGTGTGGACTGAAAGAGTAACATGCACAAAACACTTGCAACAGGCTTTATACAGCTAAGCATTTTAAAAAGTAAGCTTTATTCACTGCTAATAACAGGAATTATGGTGGTAATTGAGGTGAACTGCCAGCAGGATCCTAAGAATATCTGGGCCCTGGCTTTAATTTATTTGTTAATGTCCAACCTGTATTATTACTGCCTTCAAACAGGAATATTTTTGATTGCTTTCTTTTTTTTTCCTTTAAGACTCTGTTTAAACAGCTAAGAAGCTCCTGATTGGGCTATGCACCCTGGGCCCTCACCTGCCTAGGACCTCACCTGATGGCTCCCAATTGCTGCTGGGCTGAATGTTCTCTACTTTGCTTTTGCTTGGCCCAGCCAGTTAATTAAACTGATTTTATGTAGTGAAAAGAAAATGATATGTGTAGTGTCACATCTTCTGGGGAGACCAGGGAGAGGTCACATTACTCCAGGACTGGTCCCAGCTACAATGCAGGTTATCTTCCATGAGTATGAAAATCCCTAACTAGCTGCTCTGCACTGCATTTCCTTTCTGAGCATTGGTGTTTGCACAGACTGGTAGTTGGCTTCCCATGACACTCTTCTTTGGAGGCCTGGAGGGGGTGCTGGGCTCTCTACTGGTGGTCTCTGTTCAGGCTGTTGCTGCTTCGCTACAGGGTCAGCTACCTACTGGGTCCCAGTTCAGGGCAGACTGTGGTCTTATCGCCCACCTACCAATACCATGGCTCAGCCATTTAATTCCCTCTTCCTTTCAAGGGCAGCCTGCCCAACACCCCTCACAACTAATCTGAGGCCTATCACACAAAGATGAGGTAGGTGGCTATGGATATGGAATACTCCATTTTAAAGTTGATATTCCACTTTAAATATTGAAGAAGAGAGAAATGGAATAAACACTACAGAAGCGATTAAAGTGGTATTTTTTAGATTACAGTGATTTTCTCACAATTTCCCATTCCCTTCTGCCTCTAACTTTTCTCCTGGTCCAGGTTTACTTAGCAACAATGACAGAGCCCTCTGACAGCCCTCTCAAACTCACCCCACATAAACACACAATTTAACACAGGGCGTTTGCTACCCAAATGTGATGCCAAGAAATACTCCACAGCATCCCCTTCCAACCAGATTTCTGCCCCTAAAACTTTTTTTTTTTTTGCATTTTTTTTTTTAATAGAGGCATGTTTTATTTATTTATTTATTTATTTATTTATTTGTTTGTTTGTTTGTTTATACATGCACTGGGCACAGTCAGAAGCTCAGGAGGGTGAGAGAATTCACCAGAGCCAGAGCGGGGAGCAGAGCAGGCGGAAGGACTGAAGTACACTGCTGAGGGGAGCAGCGGGCGGCAGGAGAGGTCTGCGCGCCATGTGGGACCCTCCTCCGGTGGCAGGGGAGCAGCTGGGGATCGAACTGGCGCCAGAGAGGCCGTGGGCAGCTTCGCAACCCAGCGCTCAACCGCTGCACCACCGGGGAGGCCTTGGCCCTAAAACTCTTATGCACAGAATTTGGGGTCCTCCTTCCACTATCTAGGTTAGTAGAGCTCAGGGCTGTTGGTTTTTCAAGATATCTCCTTTAGTAAGGGACTCCTCCTCAAGAATATAAATCATGACATCAAATTAGAAGTTAATCTTCTCTAGATACAAGTCTTAGCAGAGCAGAGCTTAAATCCTGTATTCCGTTCCCCTATGTAACAGGGTTGCAAGTACTATGAAGGCCTCAGTTCAGTGACCTACCTTGATGGTCTTCACCAGGTTGGCGGTGCTGTTGGCCACTTCCTTGGCTGATTGGACAAAGTGCCTCTTGGCCACTGGGTTGGCCGTCTTGGACGAGGCAATTCGGCAGGCATTGCACAAGGCAGAGGTATGCTTGGCGACAATTGTGGCGGCAGACAGAACCTAGAAAGCATGGAGCTGCGTTGGGGGCACACCATGTTTCCCTGTGGGGGTGTCCATACATGGTCCCGAGCCCTGGATTCCTCTTTAATTCACATGTCAAGAGTCAATGTAACTGCTACCTTTGTAGCTAGGTCTGCTGCCCCCAGTGCTTAACAGCCACATGAAGCTAGTGGCCACTGTGCTAGTAGGTCCAAGTCCAGGTGAGTAAAATAAACATCAAAGTTCAGCAGCTCCTTCCTCATCCACAGGCGGGCTGTAGGTACCTTTTAAAGGGGTCTGGCTCAGAAACATCAACAGGCTCTACTTTCTAACACCAACTGCTTTCTTGAACCTACCTGATCCACTTTGCTGAAGCTGGTAGCACCTCTTTGACCTTAACTGGACAGGCAAAGACTGTCAGGCCTGCTTTAAGTCCATATGGTCCTGTATTGTCCCTTCTACCTGAGTCTTCCTCCTGCCTCAAGAAAGCTGGCCCAGGGTTCACAGTGGACATGGCAAACACAAGATGCCTCTGCTTCCATACAGGCCGACTCATTCCTTTTACTTAATAAGAAATGAGACTCCATGCTACTCAGGTGTTAGCAGTGTCATGCTGTCCCTTCTGTCTAGTCCTGAAGTGTCTCTGCACCCCTATTTATGTGCTGAAATTCTAACCCAACCCTAAGGCCTGGCTCAGTAACACTATGTCATAAAGTGAAGCTGACAGCCCCTAAGAATTTATCACACCCTCTTCTGTGAATCCCTGGCACTGTCATCATGCCCCTGTCACTGCATCTTCCAAGCTTTAACAAGACTAAGGGCCAAGGGCCTAGGAAATTGGGTCCTCCTTGTGTTGACCTTTAGTGCAGAGTACAAAAGAAGGCCTCAATACATGTCCCTGCACTGAAAGGAATCCTAAGACTCCTGATGAATCTCATTGTGATTACTGCATTCCCACTGCCTTACAGCAACCAATTTCAAATACCTACACATTTCCACTTTCACCATGCTTTGCAATATCCCCCTCCCACCTCTCAACCTGAGCCCCCAGTCATAACCCACAGTGCTGTATTTAGCCAGCTCTGAAAGAAGAGTAATTTTGATAAATTTCTCTTACTCTCCCACATTCCACCTACAAAAGCTTAAAGACTTGCAGATCTCACATCCTCATCCTGTGGTTACCTGTGAGGGGCTGCTGCTGGGATCCACCAGGTTCTGGCATGCCATCTGGATAGCCTGGTTCGCCCTGGCAAACTGGATGGGGTCTACAAGGCCCTGGTGGCCCGCCTGGCTGTTTGGATCAGAGATGCCAACCAGGTATGCTGCCTAGAGAGGAAGTAAAAAAAACACAGGGCAGATTGCAGGTCCAAGATGAGCCCATGGGGGATCATGGCCCTGTGATGACCACACAGATGCTCAGATTCCTTTTTTCAAGTGGCTCAGAGTGATCTCATCCCTCTTGCCAACATGGGTCTAAGGGATGGACAGGCCCATGCCAGCTCAGACCAGGGACATACCAGCAGAGTGTGCTGCAGGCTTCTGGGAACAAAGTCTCCTTGTTCTTAAGAAACCCTCAAAAAGTTCTTCTGGGTGTTATTTACCAGGATGGATGTCTGACTGCTTTAGTGAACTATCGTATGCCCATGAGGACAGCCAGCCTCAGCATGAAGCTGCCTCTTTTTTTTTCATTTTTATTTATGTATTTTTACAATCATTGTTCATTTTTGTACCATGTTAGAGTTCTCCTTTCAGATGTTGTCCCCATAAATTCCCACCACCAAGTCACCTGTCAACCATCATCATAGTCACTTTGCTCTTCCCTCCTGTTTTGATCGCACTCCCTTCCCCTCCCCTGTTGAATGTCTCTGATTTATAATATGAAGCTGCCTCTTAGGTGGGAAGATGGGAGAGGCAGAAAAAAAGTGGGTGTTAAAATATTTAAAAGAATCTTAAAAAACGGGGAAAAAAAGTGTGTGCTAATGACATAAAACTGTTGGGACACCCAACCCAGGGACATGCCCTACCAGAGGGATTCTTCTCTCGTAGTTTAGTGCATCATTATTTAGGCTAGTATTTCCAATAATAAGTAAAAAAAAGAGTAATATGGCTCAGAAAAAGAAAAGACAATATTTTGTCCCCAAGAGCACAAAAGGCTACAGGAGAAGATTTTCTCTTTAAAAGTCTCTGATGTGTCAGACAAATAATAGGGAGAATATCATTTTATGAGCAGGAATTTTAACTTTAATTCACTTCTCTTGAGATCTGAGGGGCAGGATGAGGATACCAAACCTCATTTCCCAAACTAGGAATGTTTGTCCTTGGTTCAGTAATATCTTCCAGGCTCAAGGCACTGTCACATGATAAATCCTTCAAGGTAAATGCTGACATTTTTGAAGCATCAGTCACAATAATTACTGGAAAGGCATAGGACTGTCAGAGAAGAGCGAGGAACATGTCCAATCAGGACTCTGCATGATGGCGTATAATTTTTTCTCTCTTTGTTCCTGATAAGAGCAATCCTAAAGCTTTAGAGAGCATTTGAATTAAATAATGCCTACTGTTCCCCCCAAACAGCATATCTGTAACAAAGACCTTAAAAAGTAAAGCTGGTCTCTGAGTCCTCAGGCTGGCTCTGCAGTGCTTGGTCTGTCTCACTGTGCCCCCAGGTTGCTTTGCTCCTGGGTTAACTCACTGATGTTCTGTCCAAATGCCCCAGGCAGTCCAGGAGCCACCACTTTTCCATGGTTTCTGTGGTGGTAGCCAGAGAAGTTAAAGTTGCAGCTCCCTCCACCTCCCAAAGGGATCTGGGTACTTCTGATATTTGTAGATGGCACAGTAGGGGAACCCTTACCTGGGCTGCGGCCTCTGTCAGTCCACAGAGAGCCTTGGATGCAATCCCCACACACTCCCCAAAGGCAGGGAGGTCCCCTGTTTTGGCATTCTGTGAAATTCCTGCCATCGACTCGCCCAGAACCTGCAAAACAACCAGTGATAATCTCTGATCAGCATTCCTTCAAGCCAAGGGGCAAAGGGGGCTACATTCCTAACTTAACATCAGGCCACTTAATTTATACTATTTGCTATTATTTTCCTTTATTTGCATGAAGAAGAGATTCAAGAAAATTTTATTGTTTATGTTCCATAAAGAGAAATGAGTATGAAAGTATTATTCTTTCACCCTAAAGCTGTCCATCTCTCAAGTAGATATGGTTAATAAACACAGATCAATACAGAAAAATTTATACAGTTCATCTCATGGTTGAATGGTCTACAGTGTATTCCCACAATATAAAAATCAGACAATCCTCTGAGCTATAAGTCAAGTGATACCCAAAAGAAGACACAACTTCCCTGATATTATTTGTTTACCGATTGAAAGTGAAATATAAATATGCTTTTGTTAAGATGTGTATAGACAGATACTCTGGACATTTTGGATGTTTCCTAATTTTTGTAAGTATTTCCCTTTATTGGGAAAACCATTGTTGTATTTTTTTTCCAGAGGTCTTTAAAATAAGAGCTAGAAGGGATTTTAATATTCAAGAGCCAACTTAGAGAGGTCAAGCACTGACGAGAAGGTCACAGAGGTGACATGGGCCGAGGCAGGGTACCTGCCAGTGTCTGGTGTTCTGTCTTCTATGGGAACTCATCAGATTCAGAAGGGCAGGTCCTACTTTCCAGGGTCATAGATGTTCAGCACAGCTCTATGGGGAGATTGGGCATTGCCAACTCCAGAAACTAATGCAGAATTCTTCATTTCTCAGTAAGTGATCTTGCTTGGGGGCATGAAATACACTCCCTAAAATTGCTTATACAAAAATAATCCAGTTTACCTAAGGACTAGTGAGACAAACAAGTTAGAAGTTATATGTATGTATAGTAACTCCCTCTTTCCTCTAAACCTCACATTACCTAAGAAGAACAAATTTCTTTGGCTCTAAGTATGTGGACAATCCATAATACCATAAAGTATCCTGTGTAGTCTTAGCCCACTGCAAAGCGAGTCCTCCAAACATCACCAGTATAGATATCACCTCCAAACTCATGTAAAAATGATGTAGGGGCCTCCCTGGTGGCGCAGGCAGTTGAGTGCTGCGCTGTGAAGCTGTCCACAGCCTCTGCAGCATGGGTTCGATCCTGGCCGGCTGGGGAGAATCCCACATGGCGCACAGACCTCTCCTGTCTCACCCTCTGCTCCCCTCAGCAGTGTATTTCAGTTGATCTGCCTGTTCTGTTCCCCACTTTGTCTCTGGTGAATCCTCTCACCCTCCCACACATCTGACATGTACCCCGGTTCTTATATAAATAAATAAATCTTTAAAAAAAGTAATGTAAACAAGCTCCTGTGCTCCAAGCACAAAGCCAGCATATAACTATTCAATGTCTCACCATTTATCTCACATGCATTTCACTTGAATCTTCTGCTTCTGAAGCAAATGCAGGAGACACTAGTATGACCATCATTGGTCACTATTTCTCAACCTTTTTCCCTTCATGTTTTTTATTTATTTATTTGTTTGTTTGTTTGGTTTATACATGCACTGGGTACAGTCAGAAGCGCGGGAGGGTGAGAGAATTCACCAGAGCCAGAGCGGGGAGCAGAGCAGGCAGAAGGACCAAAGTACACTGCTGAGGGGAGCAGCGGGCGGCAGGAGACGTCTGCACGCCATGTGGGACCCTCCTCCGGTGGCTGGGGAGCAGCCGGGGATTGAACCGGCGCTGCAGAGGCCGTGGGCAGCTTCACAACCCAGCGCTCAACCGCTACGCCACCAGGGAGGCCCTTCCCCTTCATGTTTTTAAAACTTCTCCTCTCCCAGTTCCAACACCATCAAATCAAACATTAAGAAATGAGATTTTCCTGAGTAGATTAAGAATTTTTAGGGATACACAAATAAGTGTTATCTTAGATTTTTTTCATCCTCACCCCCAAATTCCCCTTTCCCCCCTCACAATTTTCACTGCCCTTGAGAATGTATGCCATGGATGGATGGCAATAAGAACGCCAACAAGGGTCTCACATAAGCTAAGGTCACTGAAGGGTTTTCCTCAGCAGGTTAGTCACAGGTAAAGAGAATGGCTATCTGTGATAGCGCATAAGCAGGCACATTTATGTATAGTAAATTATGTATAGTGTGGCTCCTGGGCCACACAGGCAGGACCTGTTTCTTCTTAGATCTACTGGCTCAAAGATGGGGGTAGTGGTGGTGGTGGGGGAGGTGGCACAGGGTGGGAGCAACCTGTATTTAACAAGCCTCCCAGGTTATGCCAATGTACAATCAAGTTTGAGATGCACTTGAGCAGAGAGCACCACAATAAGGCTTTGTGATACATGCAGCCAAGAGGGAGGCCACAGGCAGAGGCACACAGGCAATCTACATTTTCTCCACGCCAAGAAGCAATGTGTACTTCTGAATGGTGGCACAGACAGGCTTACCTTGGAGTTTTCCATCACGCTCTCAATGCAGTCAAAGTAAGAGAGGTCACTAACAGGTTCATTAGGATTGTCCAACATCCCTTTGACAGTCTGCAGAGGAGCGCACAACATCAAAAACAAGCAAGGGTTACAGAGCACAAGAAATTCAATATAAGTGCCAACTGTCAACTTTCCCTCCACATACAGGAATCTAGGCATGGTTTTTCTTTTATTCACACATATAAATTCTTGAGGAATTGAAATCAGAGTATCCGTGTCTTCAGATTTCCTGTTAGCTACCCAAGCCTGATTGGGGTTGAGGAGCAGGATGGCATCTCCAGTTAACAGAGAGAGGACTCTCTTGTTTTTAATTTTGAAGAAAAAACATGCTGTCCACAAAGGGGGGAGATTTTTTCCTTAAGTAAATCTGAAAGGCAACATATTTATGCAAGGCAAAATATTTAATTTCTCTGTTGGATAATGCCAAGGAGTCCAAATTTCAAGGATCCATTAATTTATTTCTTCATGATGAGTAAAACCTACAGTTTTCAATTCAGCAAAGTTAAGAAAAGGCATGAAAGAAGGAAACTTTGCAAAACTGCCCCCAGGATAGTTCACTTGTTTTTAATTAAAAATTATACAAACTATCCACTATTGTTTATATCTCTATCAAGGAAATGGGCTTGCCTCTTCTTTGTCTCCAGGCCACTGAAGATCAGTTACTAGCTTTCATGTTGCAATGAAGTTTCTTCACTTACAAGGGAGGAAAGTCTGAGGATATAGCTATTCAATCTCTTCCCCAGTAAGTGAGAACATACATCACATCTGTAAAGGACCCACCAGCCTTTGGGGTACAGCCAATAAAAAGACAAAGTCATCTGAATTACAAAGGGTCAGTAAAAAATAATGGTGGAAACTGATGATTACTTAAAAGATTTGAGGGAAAAGAGGATAGCACGGACGAGCTCATTTCATTGAAGAACCTCATGCCCCATATTAGATAATCAGTTGTTTTAATAATAGCAATGCTAAATTAATCATAATTTTGGCAACAAGGATCTCACTAAGGGACAGAATTTGCATGTAGGCCAACAGAGACCATTTAAGTCAACAGGCCATGTAACATTTTTTATTTGCAAATGTAAACATCATGAACAAAATAGTCACCCGACGTATAAAACAATGTCCACAGTTTTCAGAATGCTTCAGAATGTAACTGCCATCATCAGACTGGGCCTCAATCAAACCCTTCAGTAGATGCAAGGGATATACACACTGTGCCAGATCCATGCTAATTATCCAGAAAACTGAAGGTATATTGAATATAACCAACCCAAATCCATTTGGGTTGTTTCAATGTAACTTGCATTGGTTAAGAATACTTTACTTGCAAGTAGGTACACTGATTTTGTTTAACTATATTCAATACACTGAATGCGACATACATTCAATACTAATTTTCATTTATAAACAAGTCCGAAGTATTAATATAAATTTAAATAAACCCACACTGTGTTCTGAGCCACTAGAGGTCCCACAGTCACCTTGATCATATAATAAGTGTTATTCTTGGGTTTCCTCTTATGTGCCTCCTGCATGTCACAAAATAAGATGCATGGTGAAATCATTTTTACTCAAAAAGGACATCTATCCCAGCTTTTCCCAACTGCCCTGGAATAATTACTCCAAAATGTTTTAGGTAGAGATTGTTTATCTTCAGCCCAATACCATAGGTCTCTTTGTGCTTGAAATAAGGGATCTTTTAATAAAATAACCCTTATTCTAGCAGAAATAGGGAAATAAGGGATGACAATCCCACCAAATCTAATGCTTCTTCAGTTTTCTCCCCACTTGCATTGGAACTTTGACGCCAATAGTTCCCCAGGAAAGATACTAGGCTAGGACAAAGGAGAAGCAGGTAACCTTGTGGAAAGGACATACATACATTCTTAAATCTTTTCCAGGGACTTACCTCGAGCTCCCGTAGGGCATTATCACACTCTTTCTGGCCAGGAGCTTGTTGGGTGCATAGAGTGATGAGTTGATTGATACTCTCTGTCACAGCTCTGTAACAGAAATGCAAAAAGTGTGTTTTGTTTTGTAAAGATCAATGGTAATTTTTCCAACAATACTTCACAGGTTCAATAGAAATACAACTGATTCACTTTAGAAAGCCTGGGGTCTCCGTGAGAGCTCTTCCTCAAGGCTCTGACAACCCAAAACAAACCACACCCAGGAAAGATAAAATGAGAATCTCTACCTTCCTTCTGACTATTCATTTGATTTAGTCTTTAAGAGTATTGGCAGCTCTCTTAAGTATGACTATCTTTTAATAAATTCATAAGAAAGAATTCCAAGGAAGTAGCAAATAGCGATGAGATCATATTCACATTGTCTTTTAAGAACAGCCTTTTCTAGCAGCCCATAGAACTAAGATCATATTTTGGATCGCATACATATATACTCTGTATTTATAAAACACTGTATATTTTAAAACACTGTAGACATATAGTAAACTGTCTATGATTTTAAAATCTCTTCTTTCCATGAAATCCTACATGAATGATTTGTTCCTAGTTGCTACCCCCGAATTCTTTAAACTAGCCATTTTCTTTGTGAACATTTCTAGGAGTTAGAGACCCTGCATGATTTTACATGTGTTTCTATTCTTCTTAGAATTTAAGATGTCAGTCTTGATGTCTTTTTTCTTACACTGCAAGGATTCCAACCTTCTGAACAACTCTTGCTGTTTCATCTTAGGTAAAGACATAAATAATTTAAAAAGTGTCAATCTATTTTTAGTTAATTTTTTTAAAAGATTTATTTAGTTATGCATACAAGAACTGGGGTATAGGCCAGAGGTGTGGGGGTGAGAGGATTCACCAGAGACAGAGTGGGGAACATAACAGGCAGATCGACTGAAATACACTGCTGAGGGGGGGCAGCAGGCAAGTCAGGAGAGGTCTGCTGCGCCATGTGAGTTGCTCCCTGGCCAGGGATCAAACTCGTGCTGCAGTGGCTGCCGACAGCTTCATAGGTTGCATCTTAACCCCTTGCGCCACCAGGGAGGCCCTGAGTTAATTTTTTTAAATAAGGTGTGCAATATGGTCAAGGTTCTTTTTGGGGAGGAGGGGAGACATGAAAATCCAATTATTCTAGTACCAATTGTTTAAAAGTTTACCCTTTCTCCACCAAATTTCTTTTCTTTTTTTTTTTTAAAGATTTATTTATTTATGCATACAAGAGCTGGGGCACAGGCCAGAGATGCGGGGGGTGAGAGGATTCACCAGAGACAGAGTGGGGAATAGAACAGGTAGACTGACTGAAATACACTGCTGAGGGGAGCAGTGGGCGAGACAAGAGAGGTCTGTTTTGCCATGTGGGTTTCTCTCTGGCCAGCCGGGGATTGGATAGTGCTGCAGAGGCTGTGGATTGCCTCACAGTGCGGTGTTTAACCCCTGCGCCACCAGGGAGGCCCTCCACCCAATTTCTTTTACAACTCTGTTGAGAATTAACTTGTCCCTATCTGCATGGGTCTACTTCATTCTATTCTGTTGATTTATGTGTCCATTCCTTCACCAATATCATACTGTTTTGATTATTGTAGCTTTATGCTGGTCTCAAAATTAAATACCTTTGCATTTTATAAGTGAATAAAGCAAAGAAGCTAATCCCCTAAGGGGCTGTGACAAGAAAGGGGCAGAAATGACCTATGCCTGTCTTACCCCAAAGCAGACTAGTAATCACTGTTTAGCAGGGTCATAATATCCACACTCTGACAGGGCTGCTAACAGGCAACTTAAACAAAATGAAAATAGGGCACATATTGCTGTTAATCATTAACACCACCTAATATAAAAGATGCCTCATTTTAGTAGTTAAATTAGCTTTGCAACTTTCCACAGAATATCAAATTAGATGGAAAATGATGTTGCCGATTTACAAAAGCAACCGGCTTAATTATTTGATGAGGAGATACTGCTTTGAAATCTAAATTTAGTGAGGGTGATGGTAAGAAGAAAAACATTCCTGAACTCAAGAAAGAATCCCCAAATAGTTTTTGTAAGACTGACTCTGGTGATTCATTTACTTGGGAAATAGTGGTTAATTAAGGTGTCATTGGGAAGTGCTGTATTCTTCACAGTGCAAAGTGAAACAACAAGTGAGACAGCAGGACAAATCCCTTGTTGCTGCCACCTTGCAGGGGCTAGTCCATAATGTAGTCACTCCAAGTGACACTCAGAGTCCACCACCATGTCCTGTGTTGTGGCCTTCAAGACACACCTCTGAGAGGACAGGTCCATATATGACAACATGGGGTGAAGGGTGTCTTCCTGTGACATCATCACTGGAAAGTACACTGAGAGGTCACACAAGCTTTCCATTTAGCTGCTTTCTTTCCATATTTTCTGTTTGATTTTTTGAAAACAGTTTTTATATAACAATTTTTTCCATTAAAAACTAAGTGTTTCTCATTGGTGAATCGAGAGAATATAGAGCTATTCGGGGTTCTATTCTTGTAACTATTCTGTAAATATTTTTTAAAAATTTTATATAAAAATTTGGGTTAAAAAGTCCCCAACAGACTGAGGATTTGTGGTTGGGTAATCCACAGAAATGCCAGCACAGTATCGTATGTCTGAGGGAATTGCTTGCTTAGTATTGATCCCAGACTAAGGACTGTTGTTTAGGTAACATTTATTCCCAAAACTCATTTTAGAGTCTGGAATACATAGTGAAATAAGAAACTAGTGGCCCGGAGGCAAATGGTTATGTATATTTGACCATAAAAAATAATATTTTTATGTTTCAAATCACAGCAGTTCTTTTATAAGAGTAAAGGACTGGCGGCAACCCAAGTATGCAATGATAAGGGATTGACTACATAAATGTGGAGTCTACAATAACATTCTATTAAAAGTCATAATGCATAGCATATTACTAATGTCAGAAAATAAGTAAAATAAAATTTACAACAGTATAAACAATGTGAACCCACAATTGTAGATATGACTAGAAAAATGACAGAATGACAAATATCAAAATGTTAACAGTGACTGTATTAAAGAAAGAATTTCAGTAAATCTACCAAAAATTATGAATTAACCAAGTTACATTATCATAAAAAAGAGGGGCCAAATGGGCAATATTTTCATTCTATTCTAGATACATCCAAAACGGCCTAAACTGTAGCTTTTTTTCCACAATGATTTTTAATGAGAGCTATATGAGTTTATTTTTAAAAATATTAGAAAGTTAAATGTCATAACTCTACCATAAAGAGACAGCATTTTCTTTTATCTTATAGATATTCTTATGCAGGCATATCTAGCCATCCTCGGTTTTTAAGAAATTAGCACCTACAACCTCAGAGGTTAAAAAGGGCTCTCAAACCTAAGTGTCATTTCGTATTCAGAGACACTCATTTGATTTAACTAAAGTTTGGGAGCTCTTGTGGGAAATTTAAATAGAGATGAAATTGGGGGTGTAGGTAAGAGAAGAAAAATCAAATGATTCATGCTTGTGATTACATATTAAGAGGCTTAGAGGGAAAAATCAACATCAGACATTTCCTTTCCTCTAAGGAGGTGCTTGAGAAGAGAAAGAACAAACCAAAATCCAACTGTAATTTGGGCCTGATGTGTACAAGACTTAGGGATTCAAAAAATATAGTTTGAGTCTCTCCAAGACAGCAAGTTGCTGCAATCTAGTTGGAGAAGCAAGACTATGATTAGACAGGACACAAAGAAAGTGAGCTAAAGGAAGCAGTGCTGGGTATAACAGCAGACAGGACACATGGGACTTGGGAACTCTGACAGGCCAGACACTGATGGAACTTGCAGGAAGCACAGGAAAAATTTTAAGCCTTGCCTTTGGGTGTGGGCTCTGCATGGAAGGGTGCCCCTGACATGGACTGGAGCAATCAGAAAAGTCAGATCTGAGTGAGCTCCTGATTGGATAACAGGAAGAGAACATTCTAGAGGTTAACAATAGATAGATTAAAAGACCAGTTTACATTTTTCTCTTTTATAGAATGGAACTGCTGCTCACTGGCTCCTTTTTCACAGTCCTTGGAGACAGGAGGGAGTGTGCCAGACAGGAAGCTCAAACCAAAGGGCAACTTGGAGAGAAGAGTCACTAACAAGGTGTGGGGGATCATCCTCACTAGGCATCAGAAACCAATAAACCAGGAACAAACAATACAAGTCAACTGACACAGGAGCAGGGCAGGGCTGAGATGGTCCAGGCCTGGGTCTGCACAGTGACATCCCTGAAGGGCACTTCATCTACATGAAGGGCAGTAGAGTTTGGGTGTGTGAAGAAGAGGGAAGGCAATAGGATCAGTGCTCAGCTGATCCCTAGTGCTCAGCTGCACATCCACTTATATGCAGGGCTATTGTGAGGCCCAGACAAAATGTGGGTGGTGGAGGGGTGGTGAGCAAGATCTCTGTGTATATGCTCCTTGCCCCAGCTGCACCAGGGCCAAGCCATGTTTTATTTACCCATTGCTGGGCTTATCCCATATTAGGCAGGTAATTTAAGTCTGTGTAAAGAACAAATGACTTAAGAAATTGAATGAATGCCCCCAGTCAGGCAGATCTCTACCTCCCAAGAGGAGCTTGCCTGACTCACCTCACCTGGCTGGAGCTGACCTGGTAAATCTCTAGAGAACAGATTTGCAACATGTGCCAAGAAGCCAGGAGGAATGTGCCAGCATCTTGCAACAGTACCATCCCGAGACAATCATTTTACATGATGATTTTTAAGTTCTCATTTGGTTATGAGACCGTCAGACAAGGAACTCCCTATCAGCTGCTGAAAGCCAGGACAGAGGCAAAGTTTCCCCCAGGTCCAGGTCCAGGTCCTTCCTCAATGTCACCACCAGGGGGCCTGAAGCTACCCACAGAGTCAAGGCACCAGCACCACTTTTGGATTTGTTTCCCTATCTCCTTTCAAAAGACTAATTTATACTCTCCTTTTTATTCTACAATTTAAGTGTGAGTAACACATTCTAAGTTAGGAACTGCAATCTTGAAATGATGCAAAAACTTAAAGATAATGAAAAACATCTGAATTCAGATACCTGGAAACATCAGCTGCTTTATCCAAAGGTTCTTTGTAGGAAGAAAGGGTGATCGAGAGAGGGTTTTATATCAGAAACAGATGTTCAACAGCACAGTTTTTAAAAATTAAGTAGAATTGAAGCTATGCTCTTTAAAATCACTAATCTGCACATTTTGAAAAGGTTTTCAATTATGCTATACAAACTACTGCCCTGCATTATGTAGTCACCTCTCTCACTGTTGTCACCTCTCCGATATATAAAAAAATGCCAACTAATGCTACGAAAACCACCACAGACATAAAAAACCCCAACCTCTGGGTTTAGGAAAACAAATGTGCAATTGTTAATATGAGGGCTTCCTGGGCAGTCCCTGCAGTTTCTCCACATATCAGCACTCAATCAGCAGTTATTGAACTAAATTGCCCATGTCCCTGGAGCAGAAACTGTATTATATTCTCCACTTCGTTGGTGAAAACAATAGGAAAGGAGGACACTGACATCATCCCAAACTCAGATTCACGTTCTAGTATGTTTTCAAAAACAATTTGTTCCCACCAACATCCATTCAGGTGAAACTCGAACCTTCCTGCATGTGACAAATTGGACATGTTTAAATCCATCTAATTAACATTGACGCCAGTCGCTGAAAAAGTGCTCAATAAATGCTGGCACACTAGTTGAACATTGTTTTCTCTTTTTATACTTGTGTTTTCTGATTTCTTTTCCTAAGAGCATATATTACTTTCATAATTTGAAACATGTGACACTATTTTAAAAAACCTAGTTAAGTCATCATTTCTATATATCAATGGGGGCCTTATGACTAACCAAATCCTACTGAAAAGGAATTAAGTGAAAACAGAGAGCAAGGCACATGAAAATGGGCCAATAAAATACCATTATCTCCATCACACTTGATTCTATCTCTGCCAACGTAAGGGCAGCACTGATTCTTTGCACAGTATAAGCAGCTGGGTATCGGCTATACATTTCAAACACTAGCGCTGTTTATCTACACACGAAAGCACATTTTGTCCCGCTCTTACCTTGCAGCTGCAGCCAGGAGATTTTTTGCATTGGGGGCTCCTGGATCCACAGAGAGAGACTTGGCTGCTAACAACAGCTTGCTGGATGCCATAGAGATATTCTTGAGGTTCCCTATCACTTGGATCTGGTCTTCTTTCGTCTGGAAGGTCAAAAGGGGCCAGAGTATTTAAAGGTTATCTACTTCTCCTAGGAAGTACTCAGAGCACTAGGAGAATAGCCATAATGGAAGTGAGTTATCTGTATAGGCTGCATTTAGCCCAATTACTCTGCGGATGCCTAACTTGAGACAGTGACCAGTGTCTATCTTTCTTCAAACAGATACACAGACCAAGATGCATGCAACAGGGCAGAAATCATCCCCAGTGGATCAGCAAAGAGCTGCGTTGCCTCATAAATGGAGGCTGGGGGGGGGTAGTGGGAGGAGGGAGGAGAAAGGAGGAAGAGCAAGTGCGAGAGAGCACGTCAGTGCACAGCCCAGGCCACGATTCCAGCATCTTGCTCAACAATGCTGGAGCTGGAGTGGTCCAGCAGTTCACACAACTCAGCCTGGCAAGAGCCATAGGCACTGCCTGGACATCCAGAGTTGATGGTGTCCTAGAAGTTCCTGAATCAGGAAAGAACACATTTCTCACCTAGCTTGCCATCTGAGGGACAACCTTTGTGCAGGGCAGAGCAAGAAATACCCTGGTTATCTTTGAAGGAGTTCACAGGCGCTCAGGAGAAAACAGCCCGATAAGCTGACACCAGACTGGTCATGCTCCCTTGTTCTGAACAAGAGGATTATCTATTCATCACAGGGAGGTAATTTTAAATCATTTCACACTCAGTATTAGACAGTCCCTTAAAATGGGTCCAATGAATCTCAAATCCATGATTTTTTACTATATTACACTACATTTGAAGTATACAGGATGCAGAGGTGTATTGATCTCTGCTAAATATTCTCTTTCCTTCTCCCCCACTCCCTCTAAAAAGTCAAAGAACAGATTCTGCTGGAGGACCGTGGGAAATGTTATCCTTCATCTCCAAGAGGTACTTCACACACAGCTGATAGCATCTTTGGGAATACCTTTCCTGTGAGGTCATGAAGCTTTCTGAAGCAGCAAAGAGAACATGACGGTGTGGCCTCACTTCTACGTGCCCAATTAGCCTCAAGGGTGGACAGTTCTCAGAGCAGAGAGGCAAGGGTTAATTCCAGACACCCACCTGGGCTTGGCCTGCCATCTCAATACCAGCATCGAGGAATTCGTCGAAATCATCACTGAACTTCCCGGATGCTGCAGCCAGCTCTCCACTCTGGCCCCGGGTGGCATGGACCACTTCCCCAGCAGACTGGTTCAGATCAGCTGCTGCTTGATTCAGTTCACTCTGGGCTTCCTGAAAAGGCTTTGTGCTTGGAGGTAACTACAGGGACAAGAAGGCACATCCATGAGAAATTTGACAGTGTATGAGATAAAGGAAATGATAGCAGAGGGAAGAAAAACTCTCTAGGGATACATTTCTGAATCACCAAGACTAGAAGGCCCTGTGTTCTGAGCCCATGTTATGCTGGACCTTCAATATACATATATTCGTACATTATTTATATTTATTGAACACCTATTTCAGTGCCAGACAAAGTGGATCTAAAAATAGCAAGGACAACTGTCCTTAGGAGCTACAGTCTCCAAAGGGGCAGCATCAGGATTCATTATCTGAGTGACTGGACTCCAGGATCCACACTGAACAATCAGTCTATTTTGACTTTCTTACATGGAAATTCTCAAAGCTCTAACTCTCTAAAACTGAAAAGCAGATGCTATTAAAGATCAAGTGCTAATCTTCCAAACTAATAGCCACCAATGTTGTTTATTAGTGGTCTTTGCTAATAATATAGCTATGTAGCTTTGCTACAGAAATGTCACTAGCAGAACATTAACAAGTTATGAAAAATTTTAAAGAGTTAAGATAGACTCTATAAACCTCTCTGCATACATTGCTTGTCAGGCATAAGGCAGACAAGAAACAAAGATGAACGCACACAGCCCATCTGAAGGGGGCTCACAGCTGAAATTCTTGACTACTTCCTCTGAATGAGTCTTGGACATTGCCTGATTGACACTAAGACGCCCTGATAAGAGGTTAGATGATCATATACTCTTTCCTGTCTCACTGGATAACCCCTACTACAAACAACAAAAGGGATCAAAGGAAAAGTAAACTTAAAAAGCTGCACCTGGAAACTTTGCAGATCAGAAGGAAAAAGGAAAAGGCAAATTGATGGGAGAAATAGCACTCCTACAAGAAAGATTAGCAGCTCAGAGATCCCCAGGAGGAGAAGGCTGAGAGCTAAGGTAAGTTCAGCCCCGATAAAGCCCCTCTCCAGACCAGAACCTCTCACCGAGTCCACGAGCAGCTTCTTGCTGGACTCTCCGATGCTCTTCAAGGCCACATCTACATCCTTCTGCCCAGGGAGGCAGTTTACACAGTTATTCAAAGAGTGAGAGACAGCTTTGGCCACCTGAAAAGGCAAAGAAAGAAAAACACTGTAGGAAATCAGCTTTTAGTGCAAACAGTTTCGCACATGTGACAAGGCGCAGTGACAGTTCACAGAGCAGAAAAAGGTCAGGAAATTATCAGGCAGTATCTACCGGACACTGTTTACTATGTTAAATCACCTCATCAAAGGCTGCTTGTCCAGAGCAAAGCCCCATCCTCCCACTAGGGTTAACATCCTGTCTTGGCAAAGTCTCTGACACAGTGACACAATACACCCCACCTGCTCTCCAAAGCCTCTCTCAGCCATGTGTTACGGTTCAAAAACATTCAATATTATGTCAGGTTCTAAAACAAAGTTTTCTGATAACAAAAGCAATAGAAGCAGCTCCCTTCTTGAGGGCCCCACTGAAAGGTCATGGAATGGAAGCAGGCCTTCAGTTCTCTGGGTAACAGAGAGGCCTATGGTCAGTTTCTGCTCAGCAACCCTCTAGCTCCATCACCTCCACATCTTGCTATGCCCATGAGCAGGTGGATGCTTTGAGCACCCTGAAGTTACTCACATGCTAACTTAAGGGCTGTGAGGGCTCCCTGTTTAAACAGGTATTCTCAGGTAAGGGTAAGGTTTTTGGAAGAGAGCCATACCAGTCCCTTTAATCTAACCATCTTCTTTCCAACTAACTCCTTGTCTAGAATTTTGCCTCAATAGTCTCTAGTCAACTAGTTTCATAAGGTAGTCAAATACACAGCCAAAGAGTAAAGGAAAAACAGATTTAAAAACTTTGAATGGATAGACCAAATATTTCTACCTCGTCTCCCAGGCTAGAAAAAGGACCACATTTAAGCATGCATAGGCCCAAAACCAACATCTTGTGTCCTGGATCATAATGTTTTACGGACAGATTTCAACCAGGCCTCCACAATCTCTGTTGACTGTAAATTAAGCAGATCTCACATTAATGTGGGAAGTACTTAGGTGAGGCTTACAGAAGTGAAGAGCATGTATGGACAGCATTGCTATGGCACTTCGGAAGGTTCTGAAAATATCCACTTAGTGAAATGTTCACAGTAGGAAAAAGGTGTCCAGGAGACAGGCTGCCAACAGTTCCACACTGATGCTGACCACAATTCCCAATTCCCGACCCTACCTGGGCTAGTCTCTGTTGGCTCTCTGCATCACCAGGGGCAATCAGGGCCTGCTTGGCTTCTTGAATGAGCATGGCCGAGCCTTCCATCACGTCTCGAGCAGAATCCAACATGGCATGTGCAGCTGCAGGGTCGTTTGTGGATGCAGCCACTCCACGGGCAGCCTGGGCCAATGTTTTCAGAGCTTGAGCTGTCTCTCTAGCAGCCACCCCTGGGGATAAAAGTCCACCAGATTTTTCCATTAAATTCCACCTAAAAGTCATATGTGTACTTGGGAGTAAGTCCCTAGAGGGAAGCCCCCTGGAAAAGAGAGAAACATCTGGGAATGTTCGGCACAGGTGGGCTCCACGTTTCATTTTACGAAATTTGGTTCTTGTACTTCTCAGTGAAGTAGCCCATATCACTGGCTCTGTTGATCTAAAAGAGATGTTGTAATAAATGCAATGCTAAAGACAATTTTCCTTTGGCTCCCTTTACTCCTACTACCTCCTATGTCCCTAGACCTAAAACACCAAGTCCTAGGACAACATGTAGGCACAGATTTCTGAGAGATCATTTAAATTCACTTTGCTTCCCAATTGTTTTTACTGGGATATAACTTACAGACAATAAAGTGAACAAGTCTATGTATACAGTTCAATGAATTTTTATCTACGAATACATCTACATATCTACCATGCAGAAGGAGACAACATTTCCATCATCTGTGTCCTTTCTCTGTCAATAACCTCTCCCACTCCTAGTTTATATCAACCTTAGATTAGTTTTACCTGTCTTTAAACTCCATGCTGATGGAACCACACAGTGAGTATTCTTTTGTGTCTGGTTTCTTTCTCTGACCACTGAGAGATTCACTCATGTTGTTGCATGTAGCAGTTCATTCCTTTTTCTTGCCATGTAGTATTCCATTATATAAAAACATCAACATTAATTTAACTTTAATTCTGTTAGTGGATACTGAACTGTTTCCTGTTTGGAACTACTAGGAATAAAACTATCAAGAGAGTTCTTGCACATACATGTAGGTGGATATATGCAATTGTATTTCCTAGATATAAACTAAGAGTTGAACTGCTGGGTCACAAAGTAAGTATATACAGTCACTCATTGTTTATCAACATTTCAGTTAATGACAGACCATATATATGGCAAGCAAAACTTACGAAAGTAGGCTTACCATAGCCTTGGTGTGTAGTAGGCTATATAACCTAGGTATATGTAATTATACTTCATGACATTTGCACAATGACAAAAATCACCTAATGATGCATTTTCAGAATCTATCCCTAATATTAAGCAATGCATGACTTTAGCATTAGTGGATACTACAAAACTTCTCAAAATGTTTTATCATTATACATGCCACCATCAATGTGAGATACCAGTTGACCTACATGCTAGGCAACACTTAATATTGTCAGATTTTTAATTTTAGCCATTCTGGTGGGTGTGTAGTGTTACTGAGGTTTAATTTTCATATCCCTATTGAATAATGGCATTGAGCACTATATCATACATTTATTGGTCATTTGGATATCCTATTTGTGATTGTTTATCTTGTAATTCATTCCTAAAGATGATGGAATTTGGCAAACAACTATGAATATAAATTGGTTCTTAAAAATTATAGTGCCACTGCATGTAGAATAAACATTAGCCTTCCCACACAACATAGCCAAGAAGAGGATGAGGACTAGAGATTCAGGGCATGAGACAACAGAATCGAAGAAATGCAGAATAATTGACTTAAAGATAGTAACTTTAATTGACTTAAAGATAATAACCAACCTTGAGATAATCATTAAACCTATTTCAAAATGATGCCTGAGAAGTATCCTGTCCATGAACATACTTTATAGGCAGCACCAGATCTAGAACTTAGGTTTCATAAATTTGGGTCTGATTCTCTACACTGTGCTCTTTGGGACAGAGAATTATGAGAGATTCTTGTTACAATACATAACATCCAAGTGAAATATGCAAATCAATTTCTCCCTCTCACCAAACTTTGAAGTGACTATTTTCTCAATGTTGAATGTTCTTTGGGCACCACTGAGTGTGGCCTGTACAAGTAGGGAGACTTCAGATGAATTAAAGCAAAAGTGGTCCTCTCTTTACTGAGGATGAGGCCCTATGATATAATAAAGAGTATGAAGGGTCCCAGATCCTTCAAATAAGACAGCTTTTCAGTGTTGAAGACTTGCTAATCTGTAAATATTTAGTGACTCACACAGCTGGGACATAACTATACAGTCTAATCAAGGAAAATTACAAAGCAGCCAATACATCATTTATTACATAGTACTTCCAAGTATAGCATGTGGAATGAAAGAATTTTAAACAAAGTGTTCTTTATGGCAGAGGAGAAGCCCAGAAGAGAAAATACAAAGGTAAATATAACTAGAGCAAAGGAGAGAAACAAGCTGAGTTAAATGGTCATTCCATTTTATGTTTAGTGACATGGGATTGAAGGTTATTGCTCAGAAGAATACCAGATGTGGTTAAGGCATCATCCAGCTCTGGCTCTGCTGCTCATTAGCTGTGTAGACTAGATTATTGCCTTTTCTTTCTGGGTCTCAGTTTCCCACAGAGACTGAGAGATTCCAGCTTTGACTGTTAAAAATTCTAGGCTATAATTTCTAGACCTCTCCTTGCCTTTCCATTTATCATATAAGCTCTTGAACCCACTTTGAATTGAGTTGTCTAAGACTCTGGAAGAATAAAAGATTTATCATATATAGCTAGGAACATGCCTGTGCAAAAATCATTTATTGAAAAACCATTTATAGACTCTTCTTTTTTTAAAAAAGGCAGAAAGCAGAAGAGGTGAAGTCTGAGAGGGTTGGCATTTTCATCGCCACAAGCTTTCTGCCAAGGAAATACTATGAAATCTCAAGGCACATGGTGAACCCTTTTGGAGGGACCAGGTTTCTTAAAGAGAGGAAACCTCACCCTCAGAAGGATGAAACAAGGCCACTAGAAACTCTATGGCTGTCTACGGCAGAATTCACAGTGACATTCTCAATGGTAATGATGGGAATCATGAGAGTCAGGTCTCCATGCAAACACTATGTTTCAAATGCAATTATCTTTGTAGTCATGATACCAGAACTGCCCACTGGAAATACTAAACATCAGTTTCAATAACCACAGTCCTTTGAAGATACAGATTACTTTCACAGAATCCTTACCATCTGGACCTTAATTTATATTCAGTAGTAGTCTTCAGATCACACAATGGTGATACAGTGGAATTCTTTATAATGGTAGCTATTCTCAGTCCAAATGCATGTAGATTATGTATTGAAAGCATTAAACCATACAGTAAACTCACAAGGCAAAAAGCAGGTATGACAAAATATTTTTCACTAGTCCGTGAATATCTCAAAAGATTCTATGTATTCTGTCTATGTAACTGTATTCAGCTGAGCAGAAATGTATTTTGAATACTGTGCTGGCCTACCAGAAACAGTCCAGGGGCAGCTACAGTGTAATTGTGAATATCCCTCCCACCTCAAGAGTGGGCCCAAAACAGTTGACCACACTTGTGCCTTCTCTCCTTGCTTCGCATCCATTCCTCAATTTTCCTGAAACTGCCTTTAGCAAGGAGAGGAGACACCTTATTTTTCCTAAAGCTAATGGATGCTTAAGTCCCTCTTTTTCTAAAAAAAGATTTATTTATTTATGCATACAAGAACTGAGGTACAGGCCAGAGGTGAGGGGGTGGAGTAAGAGGATTCACCAGAGACACTGGGGAACAGAACAGGCAGATCGACTGAAATACACTGCTGAGGGGAGCAGTGGGCGAGTCAGGAGAGGTCTGCTGTGCCATGTCGGTAGCTCCCTGTAGGGGATTCGAACTTGAGTTGTAGTGGCTGCAGATAGCTTCATAGGTTGCGTCTTAACCCCTTGTGCCATCAGGGAGGCCGCTAAGTCCCTATTTTTTGTGTCTTCACTTCCCTGGTTGTAGAGACACTCCTCTCTCCTGGATTCCTGGTTCTTTCTGAGGCTATGTTTCTGATTTCTTTCAAAGATTTCTATTGCTCAACCTTCTTCAATTCAATATATGGTTTCCTCAGGGGTTACACCTGATAAACTTTGTCTCACTCTATTACTCCCCATAGGCAAACTTATCTACCTCCTGGTTTCAGTCATCATCCTTTCATTAAACATTATAAAATCTATCTCCAGCCTGGCCTTCTTTGAGTTGCAGAAGCAATTATCTAGCTGCATAACACGCACCAACTTGAATATCCTGCAGGTACTTCACTCTGAATACACTGAAAGTTGAACCTGGTAGCCCTGAACTCATGCCCCCAACATACCTGCCAAGCAGTCTGTGTTCCCACCACAGTGACTCATATAATTCTTCATTCAGCTATCAGACCCAATACTGTCCAGGCTTCTTTCTGTACTCTCCTCCCTGCCGATGCCTCACTAGTTAGTAGCAACTGCAGGTCTCTATTTCTAATCCATCCCTTCATCTCCATTACCAGCCACAACCATCTCTTGGGAGGTCACACACAACAGCCTTCTCACTAGTCTCCCTGCCTCCAACTTTGTTTCCCTCTTGCCTATCTGTGCTTGGGAGAAAAGGTGACCTAAACAAAGGGCAATTGAGACTGTAACCACAGATGCAAATTCTTCAATATTTTCATTCTCTAGGTTAAATTCCAAATTATTTACTCTTTTAGATCACACCCCAGCTACTTTTCCAGTCTTATCTTCTTACTTCTCACCTGCCTGCCTTTTACCTGACCTTCCTCAGTTCATTAGGTCAGCCTTTTTTTCTTTCACCTTTGAGACCTCATATATGCTGTTCTCACCTCCACAACCACCTTATCAGTGCTTGCCAAAAATGAAATGGTGCTACTTATGGGCTGTTTTTCAGGTACCAACTAGACAGTCTGTCATCCTGGATGTTATCAGCATCAAATGATGCAATTTGTGAAGCTGTCTTCTGCCTCCACTGAAGAGGTATTTCACCATCTACACAAAATCTGGCAAGAATTCAGGAATGTGTAAGTATTTTTGAAACTTAAATCTCTCATATTCTCTGTGCTTTGTAAGGATTCATATATACTTTTCTTTCCCCTTGAATGCTAAAAGAACCCTAAACAATCCTTAAAACCCTGATCGGGTATCAATTAGACTCTGAAAATTTCCCTTACCCTTCCATTAGGACAAAATTGTGCATTCTTATTATTGTAGGTACTAAATTATACTATGCCAGAATTATTCTGGTGCTTTTATTATGCTTTTTTTTTTTTAAATTTTGAAGTAATAAATGTACATAGCTTTTTGAAAAATCAAAGAGGATTTTGTTTGTAGCGATGACAGAGTAGCTTCCTGTGGATCAACCCTCCTTCAGAGAAACAACTAGAAATGTTATAATTTAACCTAGTGTAGTTATTATGAAAAACAGCATGGAGATTTCTCAAAAAAGTGAAACTAAAAAAATTCAAAATATGGCCCAGTTATCCCAATTTGGGTATGTTCCCAAAGAAGTCCAAAACACTACTGGAAGAGATATATGCACCCCCATGTTCATCATAGCATTGTTTACAATAGCCAAGAGTGGGAAACAACCTACATGCCCACTGACAGATGATGGGGTAAAGAAGATACACAATGGAATACCACTGAGCTCAAAAAACAAAGATGAAAATCCGGTCATTTGCATCAACATGGATGAGCCTGGGGGAATTAGACATAGAATACAAACACAGTATGATTTCACTCATATGTGGTATACAGAGAAACCAAACAAATGGATGAACTAAATAAAACAAAAATAAGCCAGTTATTAGTTGTCAGAAGGGAAGGGGGCAAGGCAGAGATAAACTGGGCAAAAGGGTAGAATTGGACTTTTAGTGGTGAACTGAATGTAATATATACAAGCAGATTTTTAATGATGCACACCTGAAACTTATATAATGTTACAATGCAATGTTACTTTAATAAAATAAATATTTAAAAAACTTAATAGTTCTCTCATAATTAGGGATAATCACAGTATGTGCTGCATTAGAAAATACAAAACAAATACAATAAATTCAGAATAATTTTGGAAGATGTAAAAAAGAGAAAAAAAGAATTTTTTTTGGGGGGGGCAGAAACTGACAGGCAGATTCTAGAATTTATGTGGAAATACAAAACTACAAGTCGCTACTAACTTGAGAAACAACAAAGTTGTAGGCCTTACGTTACCAGATTGTAACACTTGGTACAAAACCACAGTAATTAGGATATTGTGGTACTATGGCAGAGACAGAAGATTAAATCAATGGAAAAGAATGGGAAGACGGGAAACTGGCTCACAAATGCATGCTCACTTTATTGATGACACAGCGGTGCTAAAGACCATTGGGGGAAGGATGCTCACTACAGTGAGTGGTGCTGCGGTAAGTGGATAGCCATGTGGAAAAACAACTAAACCTGGACCCTATTTGCACACACAAAACTCAATCCAGATGGACTGCAGTTCTAAATATGAAAAAGAAAAGACAAAGCTTCTATATTATAACAGAGCAGAGTATCTTCATGATTGTGGAACGGCAACATTTTTAAACAGGACACAAAAAAATACTAGTCACAAAGGAAAAGAACTGTATGTTGAACCATATATTTAAACTGAGTATTTGTTCATCCAGACACACCCTTAAGAGAGTCAAAAAGTAAGCCACAAGAGACAAAAGAATACATACAAGTGACAAAGGATCGCTACAATTAACAAAGAGACAAATAACTCCAAGATGTTTTAAAATAAGCAAAAGACAAAACAGGCACATCACAAAAGAAGCTATCCAAATGCCAGTAAATATGAAAAAAGTCCTCGATTGCAATTTGCATGAAGGAAATTCAAGTTAAAACTGTAATACGATGCTACTTACTACACACTTACCAGAATGGCATTGACAAAACACAGTGGTGACAAGGGTGTAGAACAACTGGAACTTTCATACACTGCTGCAGGACTGTAGCTGAATAGAGGCCCAGCAATTCCACGTCTAGGTACACTTCTAGAAAATGCTTACTGAGGATCACTACACAAGATGTACTAGGCTTGTTCACAGCAGTGTTATTTGTAAACAACTACAATACCCATCAGTAGTATAAAGAGTAACAGGCATATTCACACAATGAAATACTACAGGAAACAATAGAAATGAAAGAACTACTGCTACATATAACAGATAAATCTCACCAAGGATGCTAGCAAAGGCAGCCTAAGACAGATGGACACATACTGCATGATTCCACTTATTCATAGTTCAAAAGCAGGCAAAACTAACCTCTGTTGTTAGCAGTCATGGGTGTTTACCTCTGGAGGAGGAGAGAGGGGATATAGTGATTAGTTAGGGGGTAGAAGGGCACAATGGGAAGCTGAAAATGTTCCATTACTTGATCTCAGTGGCTTTCGGGATGCATTCAATTTGTGATAACTCTGAGGGTCTATGTGTAGGACTTATACTCTCTTCCAGGTGTGTATTATACTTCAAAAACTATGTATCAAAAAAAGACAAGTCATACTATTGTATAACAAAAGCAGTAATTCATAACCCACTGCTACCACCTGACTCCTATTCCTAGAGCCACTCACTTCTTTATACTTTCTAATGATATATTTCATATTTCTGAGTAATGGGCTTAAAATGAAACTTCTTATGTTTTTATTTTATATAGCTATAGACTTCCATATTATATAACTTGGTGCTTTTTCTAGAGTTGATAATTATATAATCTAAGACATCTGTTCAAGGTGTCTCCTACCTTCAGGCATACCTGACATCTCCAATACTCAAAACTTTCTGGGATTCTGCAGCACAAATTAGCTTGTTTCTTGTTGGCTTCCCTATCCTTGCAGACCTGTAAGTTTTGGTTTATTTGACCTTCTAAGTTACCTGTCATCTGTCTCTCTCTGTTTCCCCAAATATCATTGACCTCTTATTTGTTGCCACCTCCTTATTCTCTTTGACTTTGTTATTCCCTTTAGTTGGATTTCAAGAGACATACAGATAGTCCCAGAAGTCTATAATTACTGTTTGTATATAGTCTAATAAAGATGACCCACAAACAGTGTGTGGGGGGGAATCACATTTACCAGTCTTTGTAGGCTTGGTATCAAAGGCAATAACAAGCATGTGGAGAGTGCTTGAAAAGCATTTGTTGAATGGCTGAAAAGATTCAGGGTCATTGTCACATCAGAAAATCCCACCTCAGGCCCACCCCAGTGTCTACGTCTGGGCACATGGCATCATGAAGAGCACAAGGCTTACCCGTGTAGTGCTCATTGCCTTGGGCAGCACAGGTCAGGAGCTGAGCCATGGAGGAGCCCACAGCTTTAGATGTACTTCCCAGGTCTTGTGCACATTTTTCCAACTGAAAGGATTTCAAGAGGGGAGAGAGTTTAAAAGAAAAGAAACATCCACTGAAGTCTTAGCATAAAAATAATGCAGACCAAATGTTGAGCCTTACCTTTTTCCACCTGTACACCAATGATACCCCCCCCAAAGTGAGGTGATAAGAGGGGAAAGAACTTCAGAATAAACAAAAGTGGGCTCACCTCTGCCCTCTTCTCTCTTTCCCCAGTTGTTAGCTGTGAGAAATTAAGCACATTACTGAACCTCTCCAAGCCTTGGTTTGCTGAGATCATACTAGCTAGCGCAGAAGGTTTTCAGAAAATTACTGTAGGTATTCCACAAATGGTAGCTATTAGTATTATGCCTTTAGAAGCTAATTTGCAAAGTCTGCAACAAATCCTTACTGAGAATTAATTATGCCTTGGCAGGAAGTGGGCAGACATCCAGCTGTACCACCTTCCTGGCATGTGAGACCATTAACATTGTTCATTTTGATCATTATCCTTTGAGGACTTCTAACCAAAAGGAAATGCAATAGAAATAGAGGTTTGGAGTAGTAAATGAGATTATGAAAATGGGCAAAGTGCTTGCTTCCCATGAAGAGCATGTCATCTTGCTTTGTAAACTGAATAAATAATTCAAAAACAGTCAGCAAAGGCCTAGGGTATGGATAATTATTTGATTACTAGACAAGGACAACATCTTGGAAGAGAATTTTCTAGATACTCTGTGAGAGTGCAGGAAGGCTTCAGAGAATGTGTGTGCTTTTAACCCTGCAACATGTTCTCCAGAAGTAGCAGGCAGGGCTTTAGTTATAAAAGAGCCTAGTCCATGATAACCAACAATATGTTATATCATAGCATAAACATTTTGTAGGGCAATTTCTTTAAAAATTACATGGTGTTTCTTGTATCCTAACCTATCCGCTGTTCTATGTAAATGTAGAATGTATGACATGTGAACTTCTCTTTGACTCCTTGAGGTTCAGGAGTTTGCAAAGGGATCCCTGGATCACATTGTAAAGCGGCTAGTCTAGAAGTCAATCTTGATTTTATCAGCAGCTAGGTGACTCTAGTTCAGTGACTTAACCTCTTTGAGCCTGAGTTTTCTGTCTTTACAATTAAGGGTAACTAGATTTACAAACATTTTTCTGAGGGCTTCCTATGTATTAGGCTTTGTCCTGTGGTAAACTGTTTCTGAGGATCCTTTATATTCTTTTTTCCTGAGGTTCCCTTATAATCTAAAACTATTCAGTTCATCCAAAGAGCAGCAGAGGTTAAGAAATTACTCTCAACTTGAACACCAGGAACATGGGTTCTGGGGTCCTGCAGATCTGGATTCAGTACTTGGTGCTGCCACCAGCTGGCAGATAAACACTGGATAAAATAGTGACAACCCATGTGCCTCTGTTTTCTCAGTTATTAAAATGGGATTCACAAAGCTTCTTTATTATAGTTATTACCAGGACAAACTAGATTGATCGTGTAGGTATAGTGCTTAATATGTACTTTAGAAAATGTGGCATTTTATTATCAATATTCAGTAATGTGGGAAAGGATGTATGTACAAATTAAATGGATTAATAAAATTTTAATCAAAAAAAAAAAAAACTCCTGCTTGAGCCCCTGGGAGTATCATAACATGCTCAAATTTCTGGGGCCATCATTCCACTTGCGACTGTGGCTTTGCCATATTAAAGTACTTTACCATTGTTCTTCCTGGTGCCTCCTACTAAATGTGTTGTTTTCTCACATGATTGTTGAAAATACGTCCTGTGTTTAAAATTTCTGTATTTAAAAAATGCCCATCTCATAAATAAAATACCTAAGACATATGAACTTGTCCACAGCTAGTTGATGGATGTAAACTCAATCTAGAAGCCAGAACTTTGTTCCAAACCTAGCTCTTCCGGCTGCACTGGCCTTTTCAGAAAAAGACCCCAAGATTAGAACACAGGCCTCAAACACTATCATGTGTCTTTTTATGAAAAAAAAAACAAAAAAAACAAAAAAAACAAAAAAAAAAAAAAAAAAAAACGGATGAACAGGAACAGAAGCCTGGACACCCCCAGCCAAACTCTAGAAAAGAAGACACAGAACCATCCCCAAAGACCCACTTGAGTGATATCGACCGTAAGGCAGTTCTAAAGACATGTGGCTATTACAGTTTTCTGCATTCACAATGTGTGAAATTCAGGCACACCAGCCAATCTTCTAAAAACGCTTCAGTGAGAACCTAACATAAGGCAGAGCCCCACAGCTCTTACCGTCTCCCCTGGAAGTGGTTTCAACTGACTCTCCACGGCGGCCATCTTGGCGTCCTGCAATTCACTCTTCAGTGTCTGCACGGTACTCAGAGCTGAATCAATTTCCATAGGACCACAGGCTTCGTGGGCCTGTTAACAGAGTTAGGGATGTATGACAACAGCTGGGAAATGTGTGCCCAGTACTTTTCAATGTATGAAATGCATTTCTGCATATACCTAGTGATTTTGCAACGCTAACAATAAGAAGCAGGAGGAGCAAGCATTTCCCAAAAGAGTAAAATCCTCCTCAGCCAGAACCTTTGTCCTAAAGTCCCTAAATAATCAATCATGTATGTTTCATAACTGGATATACTTAAGAGTCTCCTTGCTGTTATTTTTTTTAACCTTTCTTTTTTTTTTCAATTTTTTTTTCTTTTTATTCACGCATACAAGAACCAGGGTACAGGCCAGATGTGTGGGAGGGTGAGAAGATTCACCAGAGACAGAGCAGGGAACAGAATAGGCGGACTGACCAAAATACACTGCTGAGGGGAGCAGCCGGTGAGACAGGAGAGGTCTGCCGTGCCATATGAGTATCTCCCGGGCCGGCCAGGATCGAACCCATGCTGCAGAAGCTGTGACCAGCTCTACAGCACTGCGCTCAACCACCTGTACCACCAGGGAGGTCCCTCCTTGCTGTTATATTTATCTCAAATGCATTTGTCTCTCAGACTAAGAGGATTTTTGGTCACCAAGTCTGGGTTCTGGACCTAGCACAGTGGACATGCACAAAGAGGCTTGGGAGCCACATGGTAGGTGAGTTGGTAAGTGAGTGAAGGAAAGAAAGAATAAACTCAGGACTCTGAGGACAAGCTGTCATCAACCTTTCTGATTCTGATTCCAGATTTCTAAAATTATAAACCAGCAACTTTCCATACTGATATTTATGAAAGAGTTTTTCCTTTTGCAATTTGCTTAAAGAAAATAACTTCACGCTCCTGACCATTTAAAACATTGTTCTCCAACTGTTGCAGTCACACAACCCCATACATAGGTTAGTAAATTATACACATGTGTAATTATTGACCAATATGTTAAATACCAGTACATTTTAATCTCTTCCAATTTTTTTAAGATAACAGTAACAGCAGCTGCAGGAAAAAATAATTGGTTGATTTCTATGTGCCAGTATCACCAGGTGAGAAAATTGAGTCACAGAGATTCATTAGAATCCCCAGTCAAAAAATTTGTTAGCATTTGAATGCAGGTAGTCTGTTGCAGAGTCTATGCTCTTAACCCTTACACTATACAGAAAAATATTTCAAAGCTCTCACAGAGTCTTCCTGCATGCAGTGGACAGTCTTGTTTGAGCCACTTTGGAGTTCATTGTTCCAGAGCAGTTGTGTAGTGTGTGTCCAAGCCTCACTCGAGACACTTGTTAAAATGCAGATGTTTCAGCTGAGTAGGTATTCTGATTTGGTTGCTTAGAACAAAGCCCTGTAACCTCTATTCTAAGTAACCCTAGGATGATTCCAGAGCAGATGGCCCCTGGACCTCTGAGAAACAAAGCTCAAAATACTTTACTGGTTATAATCTAAAACTCTGGATATTTTTCTTTAGTACATTGTTCATAAGATAATTTAAATCAACTTCTAACGTTCCTCCCTTGTTCATGTATAAGGCCGCCTAATTCTCTAAAGAGGTTGTCACAAGAAGGAAAAATGAGTTCACGCTAAAACCTCATGTTAATACTACAGTAAACAGTGTGGTAATGACATCCTTCACTAATTAGTAAGTTGCAGAGGCAGAAATTCATTAACTCCTAGTTCTGTGCTTTGACAATCTTGTTAAGTGAATGCGCCCATGTAAGATATGGAAACCTTTTGGGACAAAAAAAAGGTAATATAAATGACCCCCACAAAGTAGATATACTGCCTAGATAATTTGCTATTAAGTTGACGAGATTATACCTGAAAGATATGACCACTTATTTTGGCCCACAATTTACCTGGCACCAACAAGCTGATGATTATCAGACTCCCCTATGATTGTGAAAAGCAGTCCACTGCTTTCCCAGGGTATGGGAAGAGGGGAAGCATGACACTTAACAGAGCGTTACCAGTCTTTTGTTCTTGGAAGGTTATAACTAAGTATAGGAGATAGTAGCTATTAAGTATCCAATCTACAGGGACATTTTTGATGGCCTTATAAATGGAATAGACAACTCTGCCAAGAAATGTGTCCACATTCAGACCCTGGGAAGTGTCCAGGTGACAGAGCAGTAAGGAATTAAAAGTTCCATTCCCAATGATCTAATGCTGGGACAAGGGTCCACTTGCCTTTTGTGAGGCGGTACGTAGCTCTGCCAAGCTGGTGGCGAGGTTCTTGGCGCATTGGCTCAGCTGCATGGCTGCAGCCTGGTCACTCACAGTGGGCACTGCGGCTTTGGCAGAGGACACCATCTTGCTTCCAGGCTGTAGAAAGATGGGTGGAAGGTAAGATAGCTTCTCAGCAGCAAGAGCCAAAGAACAGGGACCTAAAAGCAAGGCTGCATATGAGCCAGAACTTACTTTGTCCTAAAACAAGGACTATTAAAACCACCTAAACTATTTGTTTATTTATCATGTTTATAAAGGCAGGAATTTAGTTTTAAATGTACATCAATTTTTTGGAAAAAACTGAATGACTAATAATAAACAAAAAAATCTAAATTACCTTGAAGTTTGCCACTTTGAATCAGATACTCTGGGACAGAACATTTGAAGAATGTTTAAAAAAAAAATGTTGCTGGAATTCCACTCCTAGGTATTTACCCAAAGGACACAGAAACATCAATTCCAAAGAGCACCTGCACCCCTATGTTTATAGCAGCACTATTTACAATAGCTAAGCTTTGGAAACAACCCAAATGCCCAAAAATAGATGACTGGATCAAGAAGATGTGGTACATATACACCATGGAATATTACTCAGCATTCAAAAAAGATAAACACATGCAATTTGCAGCAACATGGATGGAGCTGGAAGGGATCATGCTCAGCGAAATAAGCCAGAAAGAGAAAGAAAAATACCAGATGGTCTCACTCATAGCAGGAATCTAGAAAACTTAAATAAGGGACCAGGAAAAGAGAATAACCATAAGAAAGAAAATATCAAAATCAACAAACAACTACGAACCAGAGACACTCTATAGGGGATGGGGGGGGGGAAGGAGGGCTTGGGGTCAAAATAAGGGGGTTGTAATTGTATGGGGAATATAAAAATAAAATCTAAATAAAATTTAAAAAAATGTTGCTGGAGACACAGAAAGAGGCAAAATTGAGATAGTGGCTTGAAATTCTCACTTAAAACAGATTTCAAAGGGAGTTTCTTACTAAATCTATTTCTTTGTGTTGTAATAGTTTTTCAATTTATCTCAAATATAGACTACTTAAAAAACGCAGGCAGCTAAAATAAATAAAGTGACCTGTCACATCTCACAACTCAGGAAAACTTCACTATGCCTGGATGTCTGGGGTCATGTGTATATATTTTCAAAAATAAGATCATATAATTTATTCTATTCAATCTCCTTGTTTCACATATTCTTTCTTTTTAATAGCTATACACTATTGTACTGAATACATCTGTTATCATTTCTCAGTTCTATATTACTAGACATGTTTCTGTTTTTTCCAACCTAACAATAGTATGATAAACACTTTTGTAGGTAAAACTATGAACACACTCATAATTTTCTCTGTATAAATTTTTTAAACTAGAATTTCTGTGCCAATTATTGCATATATTTTTAAGGATTTTAATACACATTTTATGAAACTGTTCTTAGTAAAAACTTAATTTTAGGATCAGAACGTAAATTAAGACTAAACATTAATATTTTAATATTTAAAGATCTCATGAAAATTTATAAGAAAAACCAGCACAAATGTACAAAAAGCATGAATAATTTCACATAACCAAATAACTAAAAGATGAAAAATGTGTAACAATGTAAAAATCAAGGAAGTACAAAAGCAAACATTTACAGAGCAAACTGGCAAAAACGTATTTTTTTAAAGATTTATTTATTTTATTTATACATACAAGAACCAGGGTACAGGTCAGATGTGCAGGAGGGTGAGAGGATTCACCAAAGACAGAGTGGGGAACAGAACAGGCAGACTGACTGAAATACACTGCTGAGGGGAGCAGTGGGCAAGACAGGCAAGGTCTGCCGCACCATGTGTGTATCTCCCTCGCCGGCTGGGATCGAACCTGCACTGCAGGGGCTGCACAGCTTCACAGTGCTGTGCTCAACCTCCTGCGCCATCAAGGAGGTCCGCAAAAACATATTTTTAAAAGCTTACTTCCCCAACTTGGAAAGATGTGTTAAAAAGCATGCTTCATGAACTGATAATTGTAAATTTAGATTCAGCCAACCTTTTGGAAGGACAATTTTATAGCATTTATGAAGAAAGTTTAAAATGTACTAACTTTTGAACTGCTAATCCCATTTATATTTCAAACTCTGCCTTGTTCTTGCAGAGATCTGATGGGTCTACCATGGCAAAATCAGAACAAAAGGAATAAAGGAAAACAAGAGCAGGACAGAGTGGACCCAGAATATGTCAACACTGTACTAGCATGACCTCAAAATCCTGCAGGCAGTGGAGCAAGACAGCATATAAATTACCCTAAGGAAATAATTCAAGAGGGGTATAAAGATTTGACCACTTCTAAACACTTGTATCATAGTATCGGTTGCTTATGATGGCAAGTAATCAAAAACAACCTCTATGTCAAATGATGGGAAAACAGTAAAACAGAATATAGCCACATGATAGAGTATTATTCAAAATCACAAATACTCATAATATTACCATTAACATAAAAAACAAACTATACAAAACAAATTCTAATTACATAGCATATACACATACATAGATATGTGTACAGCTTAAATGTGAGGAAATACATGAAAACTTCCACATTCTATCTTTGCATGTTAGAGCTACAATGTTTGACAAATTAACAAATAGATGTAACACTGGCTTCTGTCACTGTAGGTGGAACTAGAAAGGGATAAGGTCTGCCCTAATCATAGGAACTTTTCATGAAATACAAGTAGACAAAAAGTATTGAGACATTTGAACACAAGAATATTTGAAAAGGGAAATTTCCCCCAAAACTTAAGATCCTCTTTTTATTTAATTTTCCTTAACATGAAGTTATCTCTCAGTCCACAAAGACTAACAAAGCTTACTAACTCTACAATTGCCACAATAAATGACTGACCTATGGAAGATGTGCCCACTATTTGTTTTTTTATCAGTCCACGAGTAATAGCAGGAGGCACTCTGGAAACTGGCAAACCTAAAGCAATACCTAGAACTCTGGTGTGCACCAAAACCTGTACCTTAATACATCCTTTCTCTCAAAGAAAAGAAATAAAGATGATAGTCCTAAGAAAAAAGTGGATTCTGTGCCACCTTCCAGGGTAATTACCCTGCATATGAGCATTTTGCTTTGCCATCCTAAATAGAACTCTCCTGGAACCAGAAACATAAAGAAGAGGACTTCAAGTTCTGCTTACTGTAAACACTGCAATGGCTATGGAACTCACTAATTCCATTTGTTTAGGATAGAGGGCACGCTCTGCCCAGTGGGGGTGCTCTGGGTACAACCAAGGTGAATGCTTCCATGTTACCTGGAGGAAGTTCTGGCTGGAGATGATGAGAGCCAGCTGGGCACTGAGATCTTCTGCTTGGGCTTGGCTCCCTCTGACCCCCTGGACCAGCTGAGGGATGTGATCAGCTACTGCCTAAGGAAACAAGGAAATTAAACTAAGCATACACAGCTTGGTGAATTACTGAAACGGTGTAAAGTGATGCAGTGATCAATGATTTGGGGGTGTGCTATCATTCCTGGGGGATGCCTATAATGGATGGTGGATTTAGCCCACTGGGTCCTTATCCACAGTGAATCCTAACACCTCTGGGTACCTTCTTTCTCACACACAAATCTGTGGTCCCAATATATTCAGGACAAAATGACTTCATAATGGAGCCTTAAAAGAATGTCTGCAGTTGCAACTCACCATCAGACTCATCAGGGTTAAAACTCAGAAACAAGGAATCTATACAACTCACAAATGGATAAACAAGTCATATGGCCCCAAGAACTGAAGACAGTGAGAGATACTCAACAACCAGTCTATTTTCAGTGCTTCAGTTTTCAGTTTCTCACTGTGCAGGTTTATATTCTGTCCATCAGCTTACAGGTCACATGGTCCCTCCCCTGTTGTCAGTAGCCCTTCTCATTTCTCAAACTGAAAAACCCAAAACCCAGGGTAGAAGAGGGAGGAGTTTTCAAGGAATTATCTTTCACAGTGCCTTAGGCCACCTTTCACCCTCTCTTTGTTCCCTTACATTTCTGTTCTGAGCCCCCACCCCATCTGATTAACTAGGCCCTCAAAGGTGCTAGTGCAGAGGTCATCTATTATATGAAGACCTGAAACCTGAAGTGCATCCCAGACTTTTTTTTTTTTCTTTTTTCTTCAGGTACCCTCTGCAGCCAGGGTTTAAAAAAGATATTTTTATGAGACTTTCCAAGGTCCTGTTCAGGACTATTGCCTCCAGTTAGTCTACTTTCCCTTTTCCATCACAATATGCTAAGTTTTCTTGACAGTGGCACCATAAGAATATGTGCCTTTAGTTTCTCTGCAAAAAGTGGAGGAAGGGTATCCTGCAGTACGTGCTCCCTGAAAACGGGAAATGCCATTTTTCCACCCCTGTTGGCAGCTGAATCAGGGCTTTAGCAAAAAACAACTCCTCCTTAGCAGAAACACCCCTTCTTTATCCACTCAGGCTGAGAACATGGTGCTACTCCATGCGGAGGTCTCGCTTCCAGAGCACACTCACTCCTCCACAGAGGGGCTGGCTGGCCTTGGAGTACCTGCAATGGGGCGTGGAGAGCTCTGGCAATTCCCCTCAGAAGTAAACGCATTTCTGAAGGAGTAGCAATGCCCCTCATATGCAAAATCATTTCAGAGGTGACTTGAAGGAGAGAGAGGGCAGCAGTTAGCTTTCCAAACCCCAAAACAATCAAATATGTTTCTCCAGCCAGTCCCCACTGCAAAACCCAAACACTTCCAGGAGATTTTAGTTAGACATGATGCAAACGTGTTGACAATGGCTACATGATTAGATTTGGGTCTGGCAACATGCAGAGGTTTCCCGGGAGAAGGCAACGAAGGGGTGTACTGCACTCTGCATAGTATGTTGGCTTCAACATGGCATTGAAGCCCAGGTCTAAGAAGAACAAACAGGCAACAACAGAAAGCACCAAAGCATGTCACTGAGGCCAGACAGGATGAAATAAATTCTCCAGGTGGAATAGGTGCAAAGCCGGAATCAATCCTGCCACAACAAGCAAAGTCAGAACGCCAAGCCCCACCTCTCAAAGGGAGAAAGTCTTTGTGGAAATTCAATGCTTCATTACTATCTCAGAGCCCTAAAATGGCCTTGTCATTGATCCTCTTTGATTCCGTCTCTCAAAAAGAATCTACACAAAGGAAAGACAATACTGGAAAAACATACTCTCCCTTCAAAAACAGACCACCCAAGTAAGAGACAAAAACCAGATGTGTGCATGTGTGTACACCTGGAACGTGGGAGCTGGAACAAACTGGATTATTGGCCTGCATGATCAATCTTAACTGAATTACTAGGACACCCGGTGTTCTGATGCTATCAGGGTCATCTACAGCAGACCTGCTCTCAGGCAGCCAGAACCTCACCTTGCAGCTCTGGACGAGCTGCTGCTGGGCTGCAGGGTTCTTGTTGGACAGGGCTGCATTCTGGGAGGCGGCAATGGTCTGTGTGGCTGCAGCAGCAGCCTGCTTGGCTGCAACCTGGAGAGAAGAGTGAGAGGCGGTAACCCAGGGTTCAAATGCATAAACACATATACCTACACATTTATGCACATCCCTTCTACTGAAGGGGCAACATTGGATAATCTGTGTATGAGAAAAGAAACTCCAGGCACAGAGTCTGCCTTTTAGATACCAATGGTCATCTTAACCTAACAGTGCCCTGTTACCTTCATTTAATCTACATTCCTAGGGATAAGTGATAAAGACAGGCAAGCTTGAAACCTCAAGTTTGATGATCATTTGTCTTTCTCAAAAAGATAACACCAAGATCATGATGGCATTGAGAAGCAGTAGCAAATCTAAATTTTTATGTGGAAAAATTCTCCCACAAGAAGCAGAGGCTGCTGTCCGGGTCAAGCACACAGGTTGGGGGCTCAATCCTTTCCTCTCCCAACACAGGGGAAGTCTTGGTTCAGAAGGTTCCAGGCTTTCCCATGGGAGCACATCATTGTGTTTATAATCTCATCTCCTTTTAAGAAAAAGGCCAGTTTTTTTTCCAGAATCCAGCAGACTACAACACATAGAGGGATTCCTCACTAAATAGGCAGGTACTTAGTCTCCAACCTCCTATAATTTAGTGTAAGAGTCTCCTGTGTACATTTATGAGACAAATTTACTGTCTCATATTGGTATCTATCACTACTTATTTCAGAAAAAACATTCTGAAAAATTAAAAAAAATTATTACTCCCTCCGACATCTCTCCATCCAAGCCTGGTCTTCATCTCCTCTCTTCTAAAGTTCAAATTTTTTTTTGCTGGGAGTCCTGAAAAAGTCACTATCTCCAACAAAATATACACATTTTCTAATGTGTATACATTAGAAATAATACACATTTTCTAATGGTCCTTCCTGAACTTGGACATCCCTCAATACCAGAAAAAAATATCCTGGTTCCTCCTGAAAAAAGGTTTGACTTCTATGCCAGATTAAATTCTTACAAATTTTTGGCTTTCTGAAACCAGAAACAAAAGCAATTTTTCAAATTGTGTCAAGATTCCTAAACCATTGTCCCCAATTATAGAATGTACCTAGATCAACATTTCAAATTGTTCATTGTACTATATTAAATCATTAAACTATATTGTTAATCTTGATTTAGTTTTCTTTTTATGGGCAAGGACTTATTAATGAGATTATTTTTTCCAAGCAGCAATTTGTAATCTAAAATGGGCATCCCAAAACCCAGCCAGCCTCTTTACTCACCTCCAATCGGTTGACAATTTTCTTCTTAATGGCGTTCTGTGCGGCAGCGTTGGTTGCCACCCGGAGACCTTCTGCAGCTTCTCTCAGTCTTTGCTGCTGGTCCTCATTCTCAGGATTGGCTGCAGCCCCCTGAGAAAATGAAAATAAAGATTTCAAGAGGTCCAGGAGACAGCATGCCATAGACACTAAATTCATGCCTTTAATTTTGCTCTTTCCTAGTAATAAAGAGCATCTGGAGGAGAGAACCAAATGCTTCAAGCAATATCTTTATGATAAAGATGTTTCCTCTTACAACAACAAAAACAACAGTCTACCAGGGGATGTTTTCAAACTGCACCACTAAACAGTAGAAATGCAATGGTAATAATTAAACACTTGAGACCACAGCCTTGTTGTTCATGCAAATGAACTTGTGGTCAGAAATCCATGGTTTAAATGATGTAAGATAAATCTCCCTGCCCATCTCTCTTAGGAAGAATTTTATTTTAATTGGCATGATAGACACCGGTCACAGCTGAAAGATTCTTCTGTCCTTTGGCACTGGAAAATGTGAATGGGCTAAAATTCTAGCATAAACACTCAGGGAGTAGAGGAAGCAACGAGGATGGGAATGCCATGTAAAACGTCTCTAAGGAAAAGTTCCAGAAAGGCCATGTATAGAAATCATATTTCTACAGAGTCAAGGGAGAGCTGGTACCCCACTGCACTGAGTTAATGAGAGAATCTGATGCCCCCATTCCTGGGCAGGTAAAGAGGAAGGCACTGTGCTGGCCTGTAGCCTCTTCCCTTATGTAACCCCACAGCCCTTTGACCATGTTTCTACATATTAAATTGTCTGAGGAATCCAAGTGGAATTTAGATGGGCAGGATTTTGAAGTAGGAAAAGCCTAAAGGTAACGCAGGGAGGGGATATAATTTTACAATACAATAACAGACTTAAAGCACATTGTCTTTCCCCATTTGCAACAAAGGTGGCAATCAAGACTTTTTGTCACAGGGCCTGAATGCTCTGTGACCAGAGCTTGATGTTTCTAGATTAACACATTTCTATGTCAGAGAGGCAGAGAAGAGAGCAGAAACACACTAATGATTGAAAAAATATTTTCTGAATGCCTACACTTTCTAAATGGCCAACTCACCAAATTTACCAATTTATAATAAATTCCTATAGGAATTCTCATTGGATGGAACAACTTGAACATGTGGACAGATGGTTTGGGCACTCCCCTTGAATAGAATCTTCTAGTCTTTCAGACTTTAATCACATTTAGCAGGCTTGATTTTGTTTCCAGTGACTAAAATACTTTATTTCTGCATGTTATATGTGAAAGGATTGTTTAGGCTATTATGGTATTCTCTTGCAAGTTTATAAAAATTTTTTTTTGGTCATTGGGTATTGTTTTAAGCTACCACCTTATCACTGCTCCAATGACACACAAACCTTAATTTTCCATTTCAAAGCAGCAGGAAACCAACATGTCTGTACTTTATCCCAATAGGGTTGCTTGGATCTTTCCTTAGTAATATCTTTTTTATGACGAATGTATACCAGATATGGGTTACCTATATTGGCCTAAAATCTTAATTCCCAATTATGACATTCCTCCTCCCACCCACCAAATTTTATGTTCTTTAGCTTTCAACAAAATTCAGGAAATTCTTGCTGAAGACAAAGTGACAACTTTTAGCCAACATTTAAAAGATTAACAAAAACATTAATGTTGCTCATCTAAAAGAAACAATCAAAGAAACAATCAAAAATATCAGTGACTCAAAATAAAACAAGCTTTGGGGCTTCACCGGTGGTGCAGCGGTTGAGTGCTGGGGTGCGAAGCTGTCCGCAGCCTCTGCATTGCCAGTTCAATCCCCGGACCCTGGGCGAGGGTCCCACAAGGCGTGCAGACCTCTCCTGCCATGCCTGCTGCTCCCCTCAGCAGTGTATTTCAGTAGGTCTGCCTGTTCTGTTCCCCACTCTGGTGAATCCTCTCATACCTCTGACCTGTGCCCCAGTTCTTATATGCATAAAAAAAAAAAAAAAAGAAACAAGCTTTGGCTAACTCGGTAAACTGAGTGAATTGGCCACTGTATCATACATCTAGAAACCAATGGGCACACTAGTCCTGGCTCAGCCTGGTTATGTGAAGGCGGATGTGAACTTGCAGAGTTTCAATTTCCTCATTGTAAAATAGGGATTGATTAAATTTTTCATGAAAGTTCTTTCTAGTCTAGGAAGTCATTTTTTTATGAACCTGAGGGTGTACTTGAGATAGCTAAGTTTAGACAAGAAGGGGAAGGAGGAGAGGAAAAGGAAAAGAGAACTAATAAATACCATTAAAAAAAATCAACCACTACACAAATTCTCATATATTTTTTTGTTAAAGGGGATGATTAAGAGCAGAGGTTCCAGGCTGCGGTAAGAGTCAGTGGACAGAGGCAGGAAGTTCATGACCTGCCTTCCCTTGGGTCTCTCATCAACCATTCCCATGAGGTATTTCTAAGAACTCTGAGTCTCTCAGGTGATAAAATGGTGAGTCAGATGAGGAAAGTGTGCACAGTTCACTGGATGTCACATACATTTTAAGTGAAGAAATTCACAGGCATGGTTGAGACACACAATTCTACTGGAGGTCAGAGACAGGGTAAGATGCAGGGATGTTTAATGAAACTAATATATAAAGAAATATATAAATATGTGATGTAGGGGGGTATGAAGCTGAAGATCACTTTTTTATTATCTTATATTCATCTTCATTTTCTATTAATTGCTCAAGATACACAAGCTAGTTGCATAATAAGCAGCAGAGGAAAACTATATCCTTATCTATTTACAACAGTTCTTGTTCAGAGGTAGGTATCAGAATTTCCGGTGGCACTTTTTTACATATACACTCCCAGTCCCACCAGCAAATCACCTCATGATTCGGTTTCCGGAGTGGCCCGAGGCTTGTGTACTTTAACACTGGGGTCTCTGAAACAGAGCCCTGGATTTAGAATCACAGTTTTTTTGATAGCTTTGCTGTCAAAACGCACAAAGCTGATCCTTCACGCTTTATTCAAATATTTAATATTTAAAACTGCCACTGGGACTCAAAGAACAGTGGAGCAGGAAGCATTCTACTGTGCAAAATTGCAATAGTTTAGTCGAGAAGTCAAATGGAGGGCAAAGTAACATTAAGGTTATGGGAAGAAACAGGGGTAAATGAATTTTCTGTTGAAGATTTCAAGTTTTCAATTAATCACCATGTTCTGCCGAAGACCAGCCTCAGCAAAACATTCAATAATGCTGATGGTGATGGCCCAATGGAAAGAGCATCCATGAAGTAGAGACTCTGTTGTCAACAGCTGAGTTAGCACTATTCTTATAAAGAATTTCTTTCAGTTGTTCCATGACCTTCTCCATTCCCACTTAAACAAGGTTAAATGTCATATAGTTATACAGGTTTTCAACAAACAAAAATGCAAACTCAGCTGACTGTTCTTAATCTTGAAGGTACCTTCCCCAGCCTAATTCATAAAGATTTTGCTTTCAATCAGACAAATCCAATGTCATACCTTTGCAGCTTCCACCATGCGAGCTGTGGAGTCAGCCAAGAGTTTTGCTGCTGCCAGAAGCTTCTTTGAATTCTCCATGTCGATTTCCGCTTCCGCATCTGACCGCATGGCATTGACAAGGTCTGAGGTGGCCTGGGCCAGGACCCGGGCCTGGCGCACCATTTCACCTAGAGGGTGGGGTAGACAAGTCTGTCTGTGTACTAAGCTCAAGGGGAACTTTGGGGGGGAGCACAGAGACTTCGCTAGTCCACTGCCAGAGAGAATGAGCCTCCATGCCGCATTCCTAAGCAATGTAGCTGGATTAGACCCAGAACTGAAAATGTTCCCTGTAGTTGCCAGGACTACCCATCCCTAACACATCCTAGTTCAATCTTTAAATATGAGGGATAAATATGACATAGCCAAAGAGAAGCTCTGGAGAGAGGGCAGGGAACAAAGTTACAAAGATTTATTTTGAATACTTATTTAGAAAATAATACTTATCTCACTTCAAAACTCACTTACACAAAAGCCCCTATAATAAACTTTTTAAGTAATGAAGACAGAAAATGTTATTTTTAAAATCTGGATTAGTTTGTATGCTAACTTATACCAGATGAGTAATATCACATAATCCACCACATTTGTGTCATTTGGCTCTCGCTAATAGGAAGCACAGAGTCCAGGGCCATGCTCGAATGCTACGATTTGCCTTGGCTCAGTTTTTCCCAATTTTCTCTTCACTCACTTTTTTCTTCCCAGTACTGGTTTTGATCTTGTTTTTAGTAATTGTGTGGTTTTATTGTACCTGTGATTTCATTGAAAATATATTTCAACTTGCTTTTAGAAGTGGGAGAGGTATAACAGTCAACATTAAAACTACTCAAATGTATGGGACTTCCTCTTCTCCCAAAGCTCATTTGAGAAGAATGCTAAAGTACTGTAACATTTAGGGAAGGGGAAAAAAAACTCTTCTAAAAGTCAAAATGAGTCAAATCAAGCTATTCTAGACCAGATAGCAGGAAAGTAAAAGGATATCAATGGAAAAATGATGAAATTTGAATAATATCTGTAGCTTAGTCAAGAGTAACATACAAAAGGTAATCTCCTAGTTCTGACAGATGTGCACAATTTAGGGAAGATGTTAAAAAGGGGGGAAAGTGGGAAGGGTAAACTGTACCTTTCTGCAACTTCTGTAAATATTAAATTATTCCAAAATACAAGGCTCATTCAAAAAGGAATCCAAATGTATGGTGCATGCCTACTATCTTAAATACTTTAACATGGACACAAGTTAATTTTCCTTAAAAAAAAAAAAAAAAAAAAGCTCCTTATAAAGTATGGCTCTGTGCTGACAAAGAAGTAGGAAAGCAGACCTCCACAAACCTCCTACTGGCGGGGCCGGGGTGGGGATGACAGGGTGGGGATTATGGAACCTTCTAGAAAGAAATTTCATAGACACATTTAAAATAAGAAATGGACATATCTATAGGTCCAGAAATTCAACTCATAGTAATTTATCCTACATGTACCCACAAAAGTAAACCAAAATACTTTTTTAATAACAATGCTTATTATAGTGGTATCTTTGTAAAACAAACAAGCAAAAAAATCTGCAAACCACCTATAAGTCCATTAAAAGATAACTGGTTAAGTAAATTATGATACATCCATAGGATGCCATTAAAAAGATATAGGCTGGCATCAAAAAAATCTCTAACATATATTAAGTGAAAATGGTTGCAAATGAGTGTATGTAACACAGGTCCGTTTACATAAAAAAGGACATTATATACGCATATACATGCAGGACTGTACGAAGATATAAAATTTCTGGGCACTGGAGATTTACATAGGTTAAGACAGTGATGGGTTGGGTCTGTGGAAACAAGTTTAAACTAACAAATTGAAAAGGTGCATTGTGTATCACAATGTTTAAATATCTTAAAAAAAATCTTTCTTGTTGGAGAGAGACTGCCTCTCCCAGGCCAGTCAATTCTTGGAGATAGTAAAGGCTCCAGCCAGGAGCATGGCAGCAAGCTAACCACCCTCCCAACCTCCTCTGTCTGGCCCCTATGACCTTAGGGGGCAATATTTCTCTGCCTCCATCACTCCAGGGCCAGGATCAGGAAACTAGATATCACCTTATAGTATAAAGCCTGCTGAAATTATTCTAACTAGCTATTTCAAAGCTGTTTATCCTCCATGCTCTACCTTTCCCATTGAAATTCCAGTAAGAGTGATGGCTAAGCTCTCCTCTCAATCCTATCTTCTGCCACCTGGCCAAAACCTGATGCTTGGCTGTACCCTGTAAGGCATGCATGAGCCCTCTCTGGGACGTGTGAGCATAACCAACTTTTTCTTTCTGTCACTCTTGCTTCCTTCTGTGACTTTATTATATCATGCACATGGCATAGTAACATGGACATTGTTCAAACAAAAGGGATTTACTGTGAATGTAAATGATAAAAAAAATCTAGTTCACTTTAAGTCTGTAAGCCCAGGATGGGCACGTGAAGAGTTTTTTTCCCAAGCCTGAGTGAGATCTTTCCAAGCCTGAGTGAGGTCTCTGCCTGAGGCAGCCATCACCTTTCTTACTCACAATCAGCACCTTAGGAAATTCTAAACCAAAATGCCCATCCACAGCCCAGGCCCTCACCAGCATCACCCATGGAACTGAAGATGCTCTCGGTGACACACATGATGGTGTCGGTGGCCTGGTCGTAGCGGCCGATGGGCTCGCCTCGGCTGGCAAACTGTCGCACATGCTGCAGGAGATCGTGCAGGGCCTGGCTGACCACGCTGGCTGCTGCGCTGACCTGCTTCAGGAGCTCACTGTCATCGGTGGCCGCCTGGCAGGCACGGACGCAGTTTTCCACAGAGCGGTCCACGAGTTTCCCCGCTTCAATCAGCTGCTCCTGGCACACAGGGGAGCTGATGGTGGGGCTCACCACCTGCAGCAAGACAAGAGTGGTCCTGAGCACTGCAGGACACCTCTTGGTTCCCAAGGCACACTGGCATTTTCACCCACTCCCTTCTGAGCTCTGACAGTTCTTTACTTGTAGGATCAGTGATTAAACAAAACCATTGCTGAGGTTTCTCATACTTTGCTATGTTATTTTCTCTCTGTGACTTTGGATGTCCTGCTGATTTAGATCTTCATAAAGGGTACATGACCATCTGTGCTACTGAAAACTACATTGATCAATTATACCTCTTCCATCTGGAACCACTGAAATGCATCTTTTAAGTTAGGACAGACTACCTAAGGAAATTCTATTTTTTTCTCCAGAAACACCTGGAACTCTGCCTCATGAAACTCTTAAGAACAGGTAGACTCTAATCGCTTCTCGGTTTTTGGCTAAGATCAAGTGAAGAACAGGTAGACTGTCATTTATCTGTGGATACTAAGGGGGTGAACAAGGAAAGCAGGAGAGAGGCCACCAAACGTTGCAAATCCTACATCAGAGGGGAAGTGCCAATATGAACCGTGTCATCCAGTGGAGAAAGGGGCACCTATCATCCTCTCATGCACAATCTCAGCAAATACACATGTGGTGAAATGGAAAGGGTGGAAAGGGCATTTAAAGTCATACAGACCTTTGCCACAAATACCCTTTCTGCCATGTTCAACTTCTGTGGCTGAAAGCTACTTCTTAAAATGTAAGGACCTCAGTTTCCTGTTCATTCATTAGGGATGAGGGATGATGGTGTCCAATGAGGTGAAGTATGACACACAGAGTGTGTATACATGATCCCATAAACTCTGCTGATTATTTCTGAACCCACTTATAATGCTGCACTGCACAATGCAAGAATCCTTTGTGCACAGGTATAAATATGACATAGAGAATGTTCAACGAGAGACATCAGAATTTGCATATAAAACTGGCAATTAGGGACAGAAAAGTACCGCTGCCTGACAACTTGGGCAAAGAACAAAGGAAAAAGTAAAATCTGGACGTTTATACTAAAATTCTTATCATATCACCCAAAAGAAGGCACCAGAATTTTAACACATTCTGCCTCTACAGCCCCCAAATGACTGGGCGCAGAAAGGAGCATGGGACACTTTGTAGGAAGACCAGGGGTGCCAGCTGGCTCACCTTGGCACATGCCACGAGCTGGGAGGTGGAGAGGGCGCACTGGGTGGCAGCAGCAATCACCCTATTCTGCAGGACTGTATCTTCAGCCACCTGGGCAACATTCTTTGCCTTTAGTACCAACATGGCAGCAGCATTGGCAACAGCTTTAGCCAAACTCATCAAAACATCCTAAGAAAAGAGAATCAAAAAGCTAGTTATTATTTTTTACACCAAATCCTTCATGGTCTGACAATAAAATGTGGTGTCTACTTAAACCTTTTATTAAAATTCCTTTTGACCTTTTTCCTTCATTACTTCAGAATAATATTTTCTCTGTTTATTTTCCTAGAATGTCAATTTACCCTTAGAGGCAATGAAAGAAAGAGACTTGCATCCTAAATAACCCAGTCTTCTATACATTCATTAAGCAACATGTATTTAAATCTAAAATAGATTAGAGGGAAAGGTTTTTATCTTAACTGCTGATTCACATTCATGCACTCAGCCAACAGTGAGAGTCTTGATCACGTCTCCTGAATAGGTGGCTGATGTGATGAAAAGGCAGAGAACATATCCACAGGCCACAAATACTATGTGCACAGGAAGGATATACTTCACGGACTCCGAGATACCATGCCCACTGAAACTTGAAAATTTTTCAGTTGGATTTCTGCACACAGTTCCAAGTAATCACCAGCAATTCCGCTACATCACTGCCTCCAGAGGGCAACGTTGAACATGCACAGACAACACCACTAGCTCAGAAGCTGAGGAGTGCTCTGAAAATAAGTTATTCTCAATGCTCTGTCACCTTCTGGAGAGGGATGAAATTATTATGAAAAGTGGAAATACATAAATAAAGTAGCTAAAAGGCAACCTCATTGATGATGCAAGGAGCTCTAAGCCTGTAAAGATTAGTTTACATTTCAACTCAACAGAAAGGCATTCTGCCTGCAGGATGGAGAATCCTTTGATTTAGCCCACCATATTTGTCACCCATCTGTGTGACCTGAAGAATAACCAGTCACATTTCATTTATTTCATGACTTTTAATACTGAAGGTAGTTTATTTGTCTTGGAAATGCCTTCCCAAACATATGAACCATTTTTATTTTCAACTAACATGTCAAAGCTTTCTCCCAGAGGAAATGCGGTCAGAAGCCTTTATTAATTCATTAGATAATGAAAAGTGCTTTTGATTCTGAATGCAAAGGGCACCCACAGAGTCTTTACAACAAGGTATTTTATGGGACAATGTATTAGAAAGAGTGTTCAGACTATATACAATTTTGTACAGAGCAAAGACTTTATATTATCCAGACGAATCACAAACCCATGAAACTACCAGGTAAGCAGATTTAAAAATGGACAAAAATGCAGCAGTCTTAAAAAGAATGATTTAGCCCAGCCCTTTTTAAGCCCTCTGATGCTTACTGGATAGCCAAAGGAAAAACGAAAGCCCATGGTACCAGGAGTTGAAGGTGCCTTCAGAATGGGGCTGGCACTCATCTGCCACATAACTTGAGAAATTGCATACAATGTGACCTCTACAGTTACAGTTCTCTGACACAGATCTCAAGGCTCGGTGAAAACCCAACTGGAATGTCACAAACTATTTAAAGGATTTTCAAAATCAACTTTCCAAAGTGGGCCCTCAGGTGACCTAAATCCATCTTTTCACACAGGGAATTTGGTCATGCAGACTCATTGTTCTAAAGGACTTTGCTTACACTTGTTTAAAGAAATTCTGTTCCTCATATTCATTTTGTCCATAAAACAAATACAGTTAGAAAGAGAACGTGATACTACAGCAATAGTTGCTGACAAGGCTTTTGTCAAAGTTTTCAACAAGACCACTATTATGTAGCCTGTGAAAAATAAATCTTTGTTAACTCTGGGAACATGCAGTACATTGTAAACCCAAGAAAAGCTTTGAGACAGGATCTCAAGAACCAGAAAAACAGTAAGAAATCCAATGTCAGTAAGCCAGGGGCTCTCCTTAACTGGAGGAGGTTGTAGGATCACTTTACTGCTCTGGTGTTTACCCAGAGACCTTACAGAAATGGAAAATCCAAGCCAGGCCCTTCACAGTAAGGGAGCCTCCACACAGGAGTGTGCCCTGAATGTGCGCCCGCTTTCCCGGCACATCTAAACAGAAACAAATATCAGGAGGCAGGGTTTGCATTTACGCAAGATAAAAACAGTTTGTCAAAAGACTAAAAGGAAAAGTCTTTAAAAATACAGAGACATATGAGATGACTTAGAGAACTGTGACTTTGCCCTCAATCTTCCCATTGGAGAAAACAATAATATTTTTGAGGAAAGTGAGTTGACCACTTGAGATTTGAGTCGAGTAAACCAGCAGAATCTCATTTGCCCAGTCCCTAAGTAGGTCTCTCCCTACAAAGAGTTACTTACTCTCAACAGCAAAGGGTAGTACAAGGGCAATTTGGGGATCTGACGAAGCGGAAGTCAGAATAGGGACACAATTAGCTGGATTTAGTGGGCTATATTTATGTGTCTGCAGTTAATTCTGGTTTTAGTTAAATTATTGCTGGTCAACCCAACATAGAAATGGTTTCCAGGAATTCTCTTCCCACCCATCATGGGCCTCACCCTCCTTCATGACATGAACAGTCACGCACTGAATATCTTGTTGTATTGCAGAGTATGAGTGAGTCCAATGGTCCCAGCACCACAGGCATGTGGAGAGTAGGGGAGAAACAAAATACCTCCATGGACAAAGGTACATATTTCATGCATCATGAATATATGGTCATAGTGTAACTGAGACAAACTGGCAGATGAAGTTTGGCAGTTCTTGATAAAAGAGCATGCAAAACTGCCACCCATGAAGCAAGAAACTTGAAAGCTAGAGGAAAGTTGAATGATGTTTTCATTCTAAATTCCCAGTGAACTTGACATAGGAATTGGATAAGGTCATCTTCCAAAGAATCTGGCCCCAAATGGTAACATTAAACAGCTTAATTTGAATGTATTTATATTACTTATAAAATTAAGTCTTAAGAGGCAGAGTAAGAAAAGAGAAGGGCATCTGCCTATAAGTATATGGGAAGAAAAGATCATCTTATTCTGATGTTTCCCAATAGTAGGCCTCGCAACTCCATCTGTGGCAGCTGGGAATGGAAGCAGACAAGTTGAGATCATGTCTTGGCTGGCAGCGCATCAAGCCAGCTGCAGACAGAGGCCACAGCTGTTCATCAGAGGACAAACAGCACATGACCTTGGTATTACAAAAGAAGGGTGACAAAGACTTTACCACTCTTGTGGTTTTGGCTCAGACTCACAAAGACCCACCTTTGAATACTAAGGAGAGTCTACATTATGTGTGAGTGCAGAGTATGGGAATGCATGTTTCCCTCTAACATGTGGACTCAGAATGATGCAACTAAAAACTGCTTCCCCACAAGACTGCTCATGAGTTGATCATTGTGAAGGTTGGGTGGTAGATACGGGGGGTGGGGGGGACATGACATTATTCTTTTCCTTCTGTGTTTAAAGAAAGCCCAGCAGGTGAAAATGCATGATCTAAGTAAAATGAGTTTTTCAATGAAAACATTTTTTTTTCCAAGTTAACACAAAAATACCTCACTTCTAAGATTATCCCCCTCACTCTTATTCAACAGAATTCAGGAAGATTTGGTTTTTCATGACTGTCTCCTTGTTTGGGAGAGCAGCACTTAGAATCCCTCCCAAGATTGTGGGCTGTAAACAACTTACTTGGAATCGCTCATCAGTCTCATTCTCTCCGATATGTCTCAGAAGATCCCCACTGGCTTGTCCAATGCTTCCAGCAGCAGTCAACACTGTCTGTCGAGGCTGTGAACAATGCACACGTATAGGTTGGAAAGAGAACACATTTCTCACACAGCGCCATCAGACAGAGCAGTGCCCGCAGAGGAGTCCTATGGTCCTGGTTCCTCCTGCCCCTACATGAGTCTCAGATCATGAGGCAGGAGATGTAAACATCTATAAATTTGTACAAGGAAATGCCCCTTGTCTCACAGGCCAGCAACAGGTAGATAGATCTGTACTGTTCAAGATGGTACTCATTCAACTGGTGGGTAATGATGTGGACTTTAGGGAAATTAGGGTGCAAAGTGCCATCTGTTTTAGTTTCTGAGCTTGCCTCTAATCAAGCACCCTTGCTGGGAAAAGGGAGGTTACTAAGTAAGAAATCACCCAGTCCCAAAGTTAAAACCATAATGTCTGCATCCAGTTCAACAACTTAAAAGCTTACAGTGTGGTAACATGCCTCAGCAGGATGCAGGGAACAGCTCAGGAACCAAGAGTCTCATGGTATCCAGATATGGCACCTGTCTCATCAGAACTCAAGTAACAGCTTGCCCCAAGAGCTTACCTCTCCAGAAGTGGGCTGCACAGCTTTCAGCAAGTCTGACACTGCTCCAGCGAGGGTCCTGGCTGCTCTGAGTAAGTCCTCCCCACTTCCCACCTCATCATCCATGAGGGCCGCCAACAGCTTCACACCCTTGGACATCTCCGTCAGGTTGGAAGAAATGGTGGTGATTGCACATCCTACAGCTGTGTAGTCAGTGTCTGCAGGGTCACCTGGATGAGAGAAGGACCAACACTATCAACATGGTGGGGAAGGCTGAGGAGAGGCCAGGTAGGCAGGAGGAAGGCGGGTACACTGGCAGCAGCTTATCACCCCCATCTTTCAGGGTTCAGACACAAAGTGCTGCGTACCCACCGTGAGAGGGACAACCCTGTCTCCAAGGTGCTGTTATTCAAAAGGTCCTTTCACCCTGAGGCCACATAGGTTGAAATACTGAGCACAAGGCCTTTCAATAGTTGAGGGAGGTTAACTTTGATCCTAAAATGCTGACACTTCACAGGGAAGCCAAGTCACTTCCTGGCCCTCACTTGACTATGTGAGGCTGGGAGTCACGTCATGTCAGGAGAAATGAGGCAGAAGGCACACAGGACGGTCCATTCACTCTAAGCCCTTTTCAGACTATAAGCTCCCCAGAAGGGAAAAACTAGCCTTGATACACCTTAAGGTACATCCAGTATATTGATGAACAATGAGAAGAGTCGAATAAGAGCTTTTTAATCATAATGCATGATATAGGCAAAAAGGAATGAGAAGTTCCCTCACATTTCTCCTGGGTCAGTGGGAGAAAATGCCTGAAGTACTCACAGTACCTAAAAATAGATTATCCTCTCATAAAATGAAAATCTGTTATTTCAATCAAAGAATAAGAATTTTTCTTTCTTTTTTTTTCTTTCTTTCTTTTCTTTTTTTTTTTTTTTTTTTTTGCAAAACCACAATACACCACAAATCCCTTGAGTACTTACCAGCCGTGAGGTTAACAACTGAAGCTGTTCCAGCTGTGATGGCATCCACTTGAGAATGGATTTCATGTTTGGATTCGTCAACTTTATTCTGAACCCATACCCTAGACGCCTGCAAAACCAGACAACTGCATGACACAACTGCTGCATAGAATTACCCAGGAAACCGGAGAAGTTGCACCATGAGTGAGACCAGCCTTTTGGCTACATGTTTCTTGCTGGGCTTCCAACAATGGGGCCCTTAAATCATTGCACACAATGTCATTACCAGACTTCAGGCTCGTTTATGGATACAGAATGCTATGTAAATCCTCAGTGTTTCTTACACTGATTACTTTTTCCTTTTTTAAGTTCTTAAAGAGAAAAATCCAATGTGGCTTTATTTAGGTAAATTCAATCAAAAAAAGATGAGGAAAATTAATGTCTCATAATACATTTGACTCATAAACAATGTCTCATAAACAACTGTAGCAAATTTTCAGCTTGTTTTTAAGGGGAAGGGGCTAGGATGAGGATGTTTTGGTTCATCAGTGTTCTGAGTCAGCACAAGGAGTATTTCCTATTACAGCATGAGTGTCATGAAGATGTGACACCTTTCTTGGCAGGATTTTGCAGGGGCAGGGGTGTATCAAGATTCCTGTTCTGGATGCAACACCACCACTAACAACTGATAGGGCGTTGGAAAATTCATCCCCAGGAGATATGTCTTATATTTCTTCTACTGTAGGAATTCAACGGTCCTTAGAAACCTTTCCAGCTGAGATTTTATGTTCATTTTAACCAATAAAATCTATATTCCTGCCATTTCTGGAGTTTAATAAAAGATCATTTACACTGATTATGATGACCCTCAGTATATAGCCTATATTACCATATAGGTACTATATTACCTATAATATACCATAGATGGTACATGGTAACATGATAATATGGTATGTTCTAATATATGTGGTAATATATATTAATATGTGTGCTGACAAACCATACAGGTAATAATTTATCACCTATGGAAGCAAAGGCATAGTTAATATACCATAGGTGCTGATTTGTTTCCTCCAAACACCCCAAAATGTTAACTAAGGTTATGATGTGTCTACACCAATATTTTTTGCATACTAATTCTTTGAAAACTGGTGATGCCAGAGTGTGAAAATCAAATATTTTAAAACTGTGCCACAAATATGTTGGATATGGGAATCAACCATCTTTATTTTCTCTAAGGTACTCCAAAGCAAATGACTTTAGGTGCTTGAGAGGAATGCCACTGAGGACAGCAGCACCCTGCATATAATCACAAGTACACAAAAGAAAAAACACAGATTTCAGGGCAAAGTAGGAGGGCAGTTATCCTGGCTGGACAAGATGAAGCTACAAGCTGTGCTTGGTTCTGGCCTCAGCAGTGGTTTTCAAACCTGGCTGCCCATGAGCATCACCTGACGAGACGAAAAAGCACTGATAACTAGGCCCTGCCCTAGCAACACTGATTTGTTTGGTTTGGGCTTTAAGGTTTGGTCTTAAAGCTCCTCAGGTGATTCTAAAGCACAAAGCAGGGTTGAGACCAGCAGTGCTAGCCAGTGCTTGCAAACTTTAATGCGCACACAAAGCAACCGGGAATCTGGCTAAAAAGCAGATTGATTCAGAACATTGGGGTAAAGTCTAAAATTCTGCACCTCTCACGAGCTCTCCTAAGATCAAGTGCTGTCAGTGCTGCTGGCCCATGGATCACAGTTTGCGTATCAAGGGGTTAGATGATTGATTCCATGTAGCAATGGTACAGCTACAGCAAGGCAGCTAATTACCATGCTCTGCTGAAAATCTCAAAAGGACAAGTAACCTAGGGGTTCTTAAAGCAAGGTCTCCAGACACACAGCAGCTCTATCACCTGAAAACTTGTTGAAAATGTAAATTCTCAAGCCACAAATCTAATGAGTAAGAGAAAATGGGGGAGGGACCCAGCAACCCTTGTTTTAACAAGCACTCAGTTGATTCTGATGCACACTCAAGTTTGAGAACCACTGAAAACAACAACAACAGGTAATACTGTATCTCCTATGGATTAGGCATTCTATGTAATTAGTCAAATCTTCAAAACCACTCTACTCATAAATGACAAAATTAAGGCTTGGAGACAGTAAGGTGCAGATTCACACAGCCACTAGATGGTGAAGCTGAGACTTGAGTCCAGATTATCTGTCCAAATTCTTAGCCCTTGTAAGGTACTGCCAAAACTCAGTAGCACCCTATGATTCTCTCCTCCTATGGGTATGACCTTGAGCCAAAGAATATCTCAAAAACACTAGGGTTTCCACTTCACCAGGCTGAAACCAGCCACAGTGCATCACCCTATTTTCTGCCAAGACAGAATGAGGACTACAAACAATATTTACCATATCCTGGCCAAGAGGTGGCAGTGAGTCAAGCTCACTGAGGTCATCCTGGGCCTGCTGAACAGCATGCATGCTCGTGTTGATGGTACCCATGAGGGCCTGCTGGGCTGAGGTCTGCAAAGGTAAATGAACATAATGCAGTTATACCACACTCTTGGCATTGACATAACCCTCTTTAAGACAAACCAGGAACAAATGAACTCTGGTTCAAGACAAAGTGACCCAAGCTACATCTGCACCATTGTCTGAACCACCTCCCATTTCAATCTGGTGGCCAGGAATAGATATAGAGGCATATTAATAGAATACTCAAGATGGGTGTTTGCAGACTGTTATAATCAGCAGAGTGTGAAGAGCTTAATTAGCTGACAAGAAGGCTCAGAAAGAGTTCTTGTAGGGGACCTAAGAGGACCAATCCTTCAGTACTAAGGTAAAAGGTCTCATGCATAGGAAATGTGTGTGGTAGAGCAGAACTCTTCTTGACCCATGTGGAAGGTTTCTACCCAAATCTACAGTCAACACTTTAGATGAAATTATTTTTGAGCTCTTGGGCTCTTTAGCTTTCAAACAGTTTATGTCTAATAGCCTGGGATTTCTGTGTAGGCCCAAGAAAGGCACAGAGTCAGGCAGAAGCACAGTGGAAGGAACCAATGATCCATGAGGTGGAAGTGTGTGGGTCATTAATGACCTGATCTATTTCTAAGACTCACCAAGGGGTATGTAAGTTAATCAGCTTGATGCTGCTGAGGCAGGGGAGCAGATTTGTATCACTCTATCACTAGTCACCTGGAGAGGTCAATGATTCCCTTCCAGCCCCTCACAGGAGACCTGTGATCCCAGACAGAGCATTATGAAAGCCATCCAATTAAAACAAGGCATGCTGGGAGTCAGGCACTGGGACTGCACAGCTGAAGAGCCATAGTTCAGATGGGAACAGGGAGAGTCCAGATTGCTCACACAACCTCTCTCCACGGCCGGTGTCCCTCCTTGCACACAAGAGGCAGCACGATGACACAAAGAGTAGGTGCACAGGAAGCCTCACCAGTGGGGGCATGTGGCCGCGGTGCATCTGCCCAACCATGACCTGCTGCTGCGGTGATGGCATGCTGCCAATATTGAAGGTCTCGGGCCCGCTGGAGCCGGAGCGCATGACAGCAGGCAGCGCCACTGAGCCGTGCTCCACCTTCCCTGTCCGATTGAACTGCTGCTGCAAGATGGTGGACCTGAAGGTACAGGTGTGGTTTGGTCATTGAGGTGGTCACTAATGTGGAATATAAACGTACAATACCTCATGTGTCACAAATGTTAGCCACTTTATGCTACAGAGGTCATTTTGAAAGAGGCTTATGTTGACAGAATTGTGAATAAAATGTTCATAAGAACCCTGATAGGACTCCTTTAATACAATCAATAATGTGAATGATTACCACCGTTCATGTATTTAATAAGTTCAGCATACTATGTAATTGGTCCTTCTTTTTTTAAAAAAAAAAAAAATACATACAGGTAGTCCTGTGACAAACTTGCAGGTCTAAATGAATGACTTGGATACATGGTCGATTATTTGAAATAGTATTCATTCAATGACAATTTACTATGTGCCAGTTCTACTCTAGGTCATTTATTCTCAGTCTGAAGGGAAAAATGTGGAAGTGACCTTAAAGAAAATCTCCCCCAGCTTAGCTCCCCCTCCCCAGGTCCAAGCCCATTGATCACAGGGGATGTTTAATGCCTCTGGAGGCTTGATGATGTGACAGACTTTGGCACCTCTCCCAGATGGTTTCAACATAAGTCTAGAAAGATTCCTAGGGCACCTAGTAAAAAAAGATTCATTTTTTCAATTCCTTGATAATGTTCTTAGAATGAATGATGAGTAGAAACAAATTAAGAAATTTGAGGGTGGCAAATCAGTGGCCCAGTGGACAGACCTGCAGGGAGCATCTGGGGGATTCTGTGTGTACACAGACTGTATGGGAGGTGGCAGGATTGGGGAGCACCTGCATGAAGGGTCAGTGGACTCTGTTTTATGGCTTGTGAACCATCACAGATCAGCTTCCCTACTGCTCACAGAAGAGCTCACAAGCCATGCTAAAATTCAAGCAGCAGGTGTCACATATCTATGGCAAAACAATGTCTGTCCTGGGGTTGACACTAGGGAGGGTAGATGTGGGACTCCAATAAGAGGTCACCTGCAGTTTGAGATCTTAGCCAAAGTTCAATCTAGGAAGAAATAGTTGGTCTGGTGATGGGGACCTACTGGATTTTTTTTCCTGCTTGCCTTGATCAGATCTCACCAGGATGCCCTAGGAGGGGGCTATAGTGGGAGGGGGCTGTAGTGGCCCTAGGCAGGGGACTTAATTCAGTACTCTTACTTAGCTGCTTCTTGGTAAAGTGTAAGTGCAGCAGAGTCCTCTGATGTGAACAGCTCACTCTGCCAGGAAGCTTACAAATTTCCATCTTATGGCCATTAACAATCTCAAGGACTTAAGGTGTTTGCCAAAGGGTAGCAAGTACTTGCAATGCACATCAAGTCTGGTTCCAACTTGTGTACTAATAGGGGACAAACAGAAAAACACCTTCAAGGTGAATGTGATGCAAATTGTAAAGAAGTGCTGGAGAGTAGAAATGTTAGAGAAACAATTACTATGACTAAGTTCAAAAATGCTAGAATATACTAGAACATCATGAGCTCTGGCTCTGCCACCTGGTTCATCACAATTTCCCTCTCTTCAAGTTCTTCATCCATTAATGGGGATAATGATATCAGACTTACATCTTACTTGTTGTAACCAAATGAGATAGCATGTTGGACACACAGAGTGAAGTTAAGATGAGTTATTACTACAATGCTCTAGGTTTCCCAAAAAATGTCACTTACTGGATGTTACTCATTTTTAACAAATCTCAGCTTCATCATGTATAAAATGGTACTAAATTAAAATTGTTCTGAATTTAAAATGATGATGATAGCAAATAATTATGTGGCAGGCATAGTTTTATGTGCTTTATTAGTAACTCAATCATCAAAATAAAACTTAAAAAATGGCACTATCATTATTCCCATTTTATAGAAGAGCTCAAGAAGGCAGAGAAAATTTATTATACCTCCAAGGCTGCTCATTTAAAAACATACCCCACATTTAACTCCAGTAAGTCTGGCTGCAGAGTCCATGTTCCTAACCACTTCCCTCTGATGCCTCATGACACATGTATCAAGAGGGACATATAACAAGCACTCCATAAAAAAAGCTCCTCCACTGGCTAGACCTCTCCCCCAAAGGTACAGAATGAAAGAGAAGCTCACTCAGCAGCCTTCTTATGAAAATAATGCAGTTTAAGAAGATTTAAAACAGAAACACAGAACAGGAATCATGAATGCTCACTGCCTTTAAAATAAAGTGAAAGACCACACTGTATGAAGATCTCCCAGAAATGCTTACCTACCCTGCCCAACAAGACATCTTGAACACTGACCTAATGACCTGGGGACCACACTTTGAGAAGCAAGACTCTTGCTTATCATTTCCTCTGGGTGAGGGACTTTAGGGCAACAGGCTCCAGAGCTGGCAGGAGAAACCCTGCTCACTTAGCAAGAAGGCAGCTCCCCTGTGCTCTTAACAATACTTACTTTTTTGGGGAAACAGACTCTTCCAACATAGTTGACTCTTCATCGCCTTCTAGTCCAAATCTATCTTTACTTTGTTTCTAGAAGTAAAACAAAACAAAAACAAAAAAATAAAAGTCAGGAGGTCAACATAAAAGTCTTTTAAAAAACACCTTTTGAAAGCAGCCACGTAGCAATAATGTTGAGTTTACCCAAAATTCCTTAAATTTAATAAGTAATGAGTAAGTAAAAGCAGTAATAATAAAAATACATTTAATATACAGATATATTGGCTTCTGTAATATTTATTGCCAAGACTTAATTTTATATAGTTAAAATTAAGATGTAGATACTAATATTCTAGTAGGACTCGGTTACATGAGTGGGCTGTATCTTGAAGTCTTAGTTAAACTGTTTTATTGTATAACACTATGGCATACAACCTCATTAATTCTGATAAAAAATAATACATGAAAAATCCAAAGAACATTTTGCAGACCACTCAATCTGGGTTTCTACAGAGGCTAGAAAATGTAACATGATTCCCTCAAGAGGAAGATGCTGAGGGTTAACTCGGCTCACTCATTAGCTAAGTGAAGCACTATTGTTCATTACCTGACAGTCAATGATATGAACTGCAGCAAAATCAGACATCCTTATAGGATGTTGAGGTCAAAGACCACACACTTGAGCAATCTTAACATCAAAGATTGAATTAGTAAATCAAGCACTTGAAGTGCAGGCTCCCAGCTAAACCAAGTCTTTATTAATAAAGAAATGCAATAAAATGAAATACCTTTTTGAGGATGATGTCAATGTAGCCTGCAATCAGCTGGGATATTTGCTCTCCTTCAGTTGTTTGTACTGAATAGTAGCTTTCCTGATATTCCCCAAAATCCTGGGGGCAAAAAACATTAAAAAAATATACATAGCTACCTCAACATTTTTATTTTTTTAATTTTTTAAAAAGCTTTATTTATTTATGCATACAAGAGCTCGGGTATAGGCCAGAGATGCAGGGGGTGAGAGGACTCAACAGAGAAAGAGTAGGGAACAGAACAAGCAGACTGACTGAAGTACACTGCTGAGGGGAGCAACGGGCAAGACAGGAGAGGTCTGCTTCACCATGTGGGTTGCTCCCTGGCAGCCGGGGATTGAAATCATGCTGCAGAGGCTGCGGATTGCTTCACAGTGCAGCGCTCAACCCCTTGCGCCACCAGGGAGGCCCTACCTCAACATTTTTAAAGGCTACGAGGTTAGGAACAAGATGGCATAGACTCACTTTACTCTGTTCTTCACCTCTAAATACAACTGAACACCCTAAATTTTGTTCAGCAAATAGTGGTTAAAGGGTTCTGAAAGTTGGCAAGGTGAATGTCTGATTCCCCAAGATTTAACATCCTTATTGTCAGGACTCAAGGAACCACAATCTGGTGAATTCTTGGATTTTCTTTCATATCCTATTACCCACCCTTTTCCCTTGCCTGGGTGGGTACTGGATAGGCCTGAAACTTGCTACCTCCAACAGACAGTTTCTGAAAAGACTATTCTCCTCTCCTCGGAGAGGGGACACCCAACAGAAACTGAGTCGGAATCAACAAACTCAGCTCCAAAATCTGGGCTCGTGTTTCATGGCAGTGAAAACCTGAGCCATTCCTATCCTCGCTGCACAGTCCAGGCAGGTGAGTGGGCTGATCCTTTTACAGATGTGGCCAATGAAGCACTATGTCTCCTGTACTCTACTCAGTGGCCTCTGACTTCCCCAACAAAGTTACCCATCAACAGTATGTGGTCCAGGCAAGTACTTCTTCTCTCACAGACAGCACCAACAGGGTTTAAACAAGAACCCCAACAATGTCATGTCATAAGAATAAAGCAGTCCAGGGCCTCCCCGGTGGCGCAACGGTTGAGCGCTGGGTTGCGAAGCTGCCCGCGGCCTCTGCGGCGCCGGTTCGATCCCCGGCTGCTCCCCGGCCACCGGAGGAGGGTCCCACATGGCGAGCAGACCTCTCCTGCCGCCCGCTGCTCCCCTCAGCAGTGTACTTCGGTCCTTCTGCCTGCTCTGCTCCCCGCTCTGGCTCTGGTGAATTCTCTCACCCTCCCGTGCTTCTGACTGTACCCAGTGCATGTATAAACGAAAACAAACAAACAAATAAATAATAAATAAATAAAAACATGCCTCTATAAAAAAAAAGTTTAAAAAAAAAAAAAAAAGAATAAAGCAGTCCAGAACAGCATTACAAAGACTCAGAAAATTAACTCTTATTGCAATCAAAGTCCACAACAGTAGCCCAGAACACTGTACACTAAACCTGAACAAGGTGGTCGTCTGCTAAAACAGAAAACTGAAAAATGATGAAAAGTAATAACCGACATAGTAACCAAAATATCCAGGATATAATAGAAAAATCACTATTCACATCAAGAATCAGGACAACTACAATATGAATAAGAAAAGATAATCATCTGATGCCAATATTGAGATGAATCAAATGTTAGAATTATCTAATAAGAATTTTAAAGTAGCCAACACCAAAAAATGCTTCAACAATTATAAATTCTCCTGAAACAAATGAAAAAAAAAGTTTCAACAAAGGAATGTGATGAAAAAGAACTAAAATGTAACAATAGAGCTAGGTGGAAAGCAGAAAGATGGAAAAAGATATAATAAGCATGAGTGACTATTAGTTGAAGATTACAGTAAATGTCAGAGCAAGAAAATCTACCAGGAACAGAACTTAATGATAAAACAATTTCTCCATTATGAACATAAAGGACTCTTAAATGGAAAGGCACAAAACAACAGTCAAAACACAGGAAGTGAAAACTGATAAGAGAGGCAAGGAGAAACAGAAAAATCCACAATTACTACTGGAACTTCACTGTCAGGAATTGACAGAGTATTAGATATAAAATTAACAAGAATAAAGATCACTGGAACTCTACCATCAACTAACAGGCTCTAACTGGCAATTATAGAACACGTCACTCTATAGCAGAATAAACATTTTTTCAAGCACTCATGGAACATTCTCCACGAATGATCATATCCTGGAATATAAAGCAAATCTTAAAATCACAAAAACACTGAAATTATACACAGTGTGCTCTCTAGCATAATAAAATCAAGGGAAAAACCAGTAACCAAAAAAAAGCCCAGGAAAATCTCCAAACACTTGGAAATTTTAGAAATTAAATAAAGGCTAGGAGTAGGAAGGAAAGAACTATTGCAAGCTTTACTCCAACTTCATAGCTTAATAAAATATTAATATTCATTCTCTCTTCTGCTTGAGATTTCTAATTCCTTTCCTATCTGTTTTTTAAACTACTTTTGAACAAAGAATGCTTAGATCTACTTATAAAAGACCAATAGTACTAAAAAGGTACATAACGAAAGAGTTGTCCCCTACCCTACCCATTCTCACCTTCACTCTACACCCCCTCACAAGGCAGATGCTTTCACTCCTTCTAATAGTTTCTTTTAGTATATCTGCTATGTTTATATTGACTTTTCTATTTTAGAAATTACCCATAAATTTCTATACTAAAAGACAAGGACTTAGTCCTCTAAACACCCATTCATTTAGATACAGATGTAACTAATTACAGGAAGCAGGAAGGTATGTTTTTTGAAGATTTATTCCAACTGGCATAAGTCTATAAATCAATCATTACATTAGATAGCAAATTACTCCCTCCAAGTCTCCTTCTTTATTCTGATAACCTATTATGAGATCTTGCCTAGAAACAAGCCAATATTTCTAGTGTTCACTAGAGCTGAAGAATAATATACCTCAGGAGTTGTGAAGAAATTTCAATGCCTTTTTTTTTATTGCTTAACTTGCCATGCAAAGTAACTGCCGCATCGATTCTTACATACCAATGTGGTATAGTTAAGACTACAAAGTTATACTCTATTAAGAGCAAATACTGAGGTTGGCAGGAGGAACTCAGAGGTCTAAAGGCCTGGAATCAACACATTCTCAATACTTTCCATGTATTTTACACTCAGCATTTTATCATATTCATCTCACTTAATCTCTGCAACTCTGTGCAACAGTATTATTATTACTACCATTTTTCAGATGAGGAAATTAAGACTCAGAGAAGAGAGGTAAATTGAGTAAGGTCACAAGATAGGAAATGACAGACTGTTTCAAATATGACCCCAACATTGGCACTGTTTCCTTTATATACTACACTCTCTTTCCAGGCACACTGGTATAACAGGGCTCAGCAAGATGTCATGATTCCTAGGAATTCCTATTACAACCAGAGATCAAGCAGGAGCCTTTGTATCAGAGCATTAAAAGTTTCCTTTTAGGGTACTCTATGGATGTCTTCAGAAATATAGAAGACTGAGACTCACCTGTGAGTGGCTCTTTGTAGTGAAGGAACTGAGATAAACTGACTTAGAGCAGCAGAGAGGAAGTGCTCTTCCTCTTGAATGAAAGAAACTCAAATTGCTGACCTCTCCCTCCCTGAACTAGCTCTCTTCCTCCAAGGACTTCCACCATTGTTCCCTCTCCACTCTGCCCTCTTCAGCCAGGGAAACACAAAGGGCCCACACTCTTTCTCCTGTGCCACACTGTCACCCAGGGTCTTGTGGGCCACCTGTTGTCCTCTGCCAGTCCCTACCAGTGTGAAGCTCTTAGGAGAGGCTGCCCAGCGCTTGACAGTGGTGAGCGGCCACTCCTGCAGCACTTCCTTGGTCTTCTCATCCACGCGCATCACCGAGTCCTTGGTGATCCCCAGGAGGCGAGGCACCAGCTTGTTCTTGCCTTTCATCTTCTCCTGAAACAGAAGACATCAACAGTCAGTAGTCTTCCTGAATACATCTGTTTTGCCAAGTAATCACTGATGTTGCAATGCTTTTTCTGTGGTCAACCTACATATGGTCAGGATTACTGGAAAAGCAGGATTTTGAAACAAGGTGAATAACCCACTAAATGAAAGTGGTGGGAGCAAAAGCACAGACATCAGAAGACTGGAAAGATCCACAAAGACATGCTTCCTGAGAAAGATGCTGTTCAGGATGGCAGGTTGCTCCTAAGACAGTCACAGAAAGAAGGGACAGAACTCAGAAGACAGCTCTCCCCCCAAAAAAGAAAGAAGTTAATTCCAACTATTGTGAAATCCAAATAACCCCACCCTCAGAAGTCAACTCAGTGAGTAATGAAAGAGGTTGACACGGAATTTAAATGTGGTACTTCGGCTATTTATAATTAACAAACTGCTAAAATCGACTCTTCTCATTACAAAGAGACCTTACTTTTTAACCTGAAATATATTTCCATTTGGATTTTTTGGGGGCATTTTGCATATCCAGCAACTCTTTTAAAAAAATCTTTCATGATTTTTAATTTTTTCAAGAAATGGCAATCAGGTCTCCTTGGTGGCACAGGAGCTTTCAGTGCTATCAAGCTATTGCCAGTCACTTAAATCTTAAAAAAAAAAAAAAAGAAGCAATCATCCTTATTAAAAATAATGCATCTCTATCTCATTCATTCCAAAACAAACTCAAGAGAAATTAGCAGCTTATAAAAAATATATAGGTGACTATATATATCACCATGAACAAAATTAAAAAATGAATGGGGAATATTTACAAAAATATGATAGCTAAAAACTTCATACAATATTTATATAGAGTGTTAGCATGACACAAAACTAGTTAGCAAAGAACAGGAATATAAGATATAAATATAAGATATGAATATAATATAAATACAAGATATGAATAAGAAATAAAGTGAATAATAAACAATTACATAAATTTTCACTTACATGAAATTGCAAAGAGTTTCTTAAATACTCAAAACTGAAGAAGATGTGAAGGGTATCACTATTAATAGGAATTTAAAATGGCAAAGAAAATGTGTCAGTACTGACCCAAAGCTTTAAAAATGTTCCCACTTTTGATATAGCTTGCTTTTAAAAACTTATTCAAAAAGAAATTATAAATGTGCAATAAAGACTATGTAACAAGAAGGTTCAAGCAGAGCTAGACACAACTTAAATTTTAACAATGGAGGATTATAAAAGTGTAGTCTAGCCAAGTAACAGACTACTTTTCAACCATTACAAGAAAAATTATAGAAAAATAACTGGACCTACATTATAGAAAAATAACTGGACCTACAGTAGTAAATTATTCACTACAGATCATAAAGAAAAAAAACTGTCATAAGCATGATTCCACATGAAAAAAATTGTAATAATTAAATTTTTTTAATTCCAATTATAAAACATGTTCGTAACATGGAAAAAATGGTGATAATGATACTCTCAAATAATTTGTATTATATTTTTGTGCTTTTCCTTATTCCCAAAATTCTGTTTATCATACATGTGTTTATATTATTGTCAGGAAAAAAAAACCTCAGAGGAATATACACATAAATCAGTTCACATGTAGTATATCTATATATGTGAGAGTCCAAGGTTACAGACACCCCAAAACAAGGTAGGAGTGCTAAATACTTGATAATACTGTCCATTAATTTTTAGAGCATCTCCCAAGTATTGATATCATCATTACCACCACCATCCCCATTTTGCAACTTGCCCAAGGCAGAGTAGTGAGTGGTTAAGTCATCAATGAACACAAATTTGAGTAGCTCAAAAAATATAAATGACTTCAAAAGCAGACTCTGTATCACTTTTCTGGTGGAAGAACTCAGAGAAAAGGCAAAAAATCCTTGTCTCCCCCTCAACCTCCCGGTTAGTTCATAAACCATTCTACTGTGAAGGTCACAGCAAACCTCCAGCTTCCTCCCAGGAGGAGGTAAGGCACCAGGAATCTGTGTGGGTGTCTGAGGAGGGGGATATGACACTGCAAATACTTTCTAGTCCTTACAAAACACTGAGAAGATTCAGATTCTTTCTAAAAAGATACTGATTCCACAAAGGATGAAATCAAGGCAGGGCGGGCAGTGCCGTTATTTTAATGTGGCTTCAGGAACCGCACAGAGATTTAGGTGGACAGGCTGCAGGCAGCTTATGTAGTCACACAGCGTTGGCAGCAGCCCAGCTGCTAGGACCAGGAAGCGGATCCAAAATAAAATATGGTTTGCAGCTGTTGCCTTCCTCCTTTCCCATCTGCAACTTTCCACTGAGCGGCCTTGGGGTGAGGGGATATAGAATTGTGAAGGATTGCCCTGACTCTTGCGGAAATCATACTGGTGTGGGAGAGGGAGCCACTGAGAACAAGCAAAGCCACTTATAGCAGCATCCATGAGAAGGTCACAATAGCAGGGAAGGGGATGCAGGAACTCAGAAAATGCTGACACTCAGCAGCAGAGACCACCATCAAGGAGTAAAATTAGTTCAGCACCTACCCACAAATGCAGAGCAGCTGGAGAAGGTTAAAAGAGGAATGGGTCAGCTCTATGCTAGTAGGGTCCTTCCCCATCTGTCTTAGACCCTTAGTGTCAGAACTGGCAGGGTGGGTAATAAGGCTCCTCTCCCTCCCTCCATCTCCCATCTCAGCCACCTTATACTTCCTTTTTCCAGTCTTTAATTATACAAGGCAGCATCCTTTTATCTTCAGAATAGGCAGATTTCAGAAGCAAAGTAAGGCAAGCTCCAATGGCTCTCTCATGTATAGATAACATGCATAAATCATACCTGCAATTCTGTCAGTTACATAAAAACTTCTCTCTCAAGGTGGCCCCCATTAGGAAGATGTCTTTCACTTGCACAACTTAGAAGCAAGAGTGTGTATGCCTGCTACCCAGGAGAGGCAGGCTTCATTAATAAGTCTGGCCCCTCCTGTAAGCACATCTCAAATATTTCTGTTGGTTCAGTCCTGGTTGCTGCCTGGGACCAAGTCTGCCTTCCTCAGGCTCTTCTTATGGGCGTGGAGATCATTGATTCTTACATCATCTGTGCCTTATATCTGGTAGTCATAACTGGGTGGAAGGCTAAGCCTTTGGCATGCTTTGGCTCTAGACCCCTGCCATGAACATGACCTAAGCCCCATGATCCACTTGCACTCACGACTGTTCTACATGGTTTAATGTCAATGTGTTGGCCGTGCATTTTGCTGTGGCATTTATACCTATTTCTTTTAATAGACAAGGTAGAAAGAGATGGTTGCTTAAAAGCAAAACCTGGTGTTAAAGACCTTGCTTGTTAGCCATTTCTTTCTCCAAAAATGATTGACAATCTACTTTGACTTAACTCATGACTCTGAGATGCACTGATTGCCCTCTAGGATGCTTTTATAGTTCAGGAGATAAGAGGCTCTATTCCCCAGGTTCTGTTGCAATAGCAGGGAAAGTTCTAAGGCAAATTTAAATGTGAAAAGGTTTACACAAGGATTTTCTGGGATGAAACAAGATCCTTTGCAGGCCAATGGAAATGCCTTATCGTTGCTTGTGGGGGTTTGATCTGTGCATGCTGTTATTACATGGACACTGGTCTAATAATTATAAATAATGAAAGAGGGCCTCCCCAGTGGCGCAGCGGTTGAGCGCTGGGTTGCGAAGCTGCCCACAGTCTCTTGCAGCACTGGTTCAATCCCCGGCTGCTCCCTGGCCACCGGAGGAGGGTCCCACATGGCACGCAGACCTCTCCTGCCGCCCGCTGCTCCCCTCAGCAGTGTACTTCAGTCCTTTTGCCTGCTCTGTTCCCCGTTCTGGCTCTGGTGAATTCTCTCACTCTCCGGCGCTTCTGACTGTACACAGTGCTTATATAAATAAATAAAAATAAATCTTTATTAAATAAAAAAAATAAATAAATGATGAAAGAAATCAATGAAGATCTAGTACCATGTTCATGGATTGAAAAACTTAACATACACTGACCTATAAACTTAAAAGAAATAAAAATCAATTTGATGTTAAGGCTCACGATGGACCTACAATGATCAATGCAGGGTGATATCAGCAAAGGAACAGCTACATAGACCAATGGAATAGAATGGAGAGTGCAGAAACAGATCCATACAAATGTATTCAATTGAATTTTGACTCTGATACTACGGCAATCCAATAGAAGAAGGATACCCTTTTAACAGACAACTTGTTAGAACATCTGGACATCCATTGGCCAAAAAATGAACCTTGATCCAAACCTCACCTTTGTATCAAATTAAAAATGGACCTTGGGATCTAAATACGAAACTGTAAAACATTTAGAAGAAAGCACAGGAGAAAATCTTTAGGGATTAGAGCTAGATAAAGGATTCTTAGTCATAAAATCTGAAAAAGATCCACAATAGTCATAAAATCTGAAAAAGATCCACAAAAGGAAAAACTAGCCCTCATCAAAATTAAGAATGCTCTTTGATCTAGTGAAGAGGTTAAAATATTTGCAAACCACATCTTACAAAGGACTGGACCTAAAATATACAAAGAACTGTAAAGACTCAAAAGTGAAAATTACCAAAAAATCCATTTAGAAAATTTACAAAAGACATGTAGAGACATTTGACTGAAGACAATATACAGATAACAAATAAGCACATGCAAAGATGTTCAAAATCATTAATCATTTGGGAAACAAAAATTAAAACCACCTCAAGATATCATTATATGCCTAGCAGAATGGCTAAAATAAAAACAATAATACCAAATGCTGGAGAAGTTGGAAGGAAACTAAGTTACTCATGTATTATTAGTTAAATGCAAAACGGTACAACCACTATGAAAAACAGTTTGGTAGTTTCCTATGGAGTTAAATATGTTCTTACCGTATGGTTCAGAAATTGAACTCTTGGGCACTTATCCCAAAGAAATGAGTACTTACTTTCACTACAAAAACCTGTACATGAATGCTCAACACAACATTATTCATAATAATCAAAAACTGGAAACAATACAGTGTCCTTTGGTGATGAATAGCTAAATGAACTATGCTACTTCCATACCATGAAATACTATTCAACAACAAAAAGGGGTGTCTTACTGATTTACACTGTGACTTGGGTGACTCTCAAAGGAAATATATTAAAACAAAAAACTTCAATCTCAAAAGGTTATATACTATATGATTCCATTTGTAGAGCATTCTTAAAACAATGAAATTATTGAGATGGCCAACAGATTAGTAGTTGCCAGGGGTTTAGGACCAGGGGAAAAGAGTAGGGGTTGGAGAGGAAGGGAGGATATGAGTGGCCATAAAAGGGTAGCACAATAGATTGTTATGATAAAATAGTTTTATGTCTTGACTATGGTGTTGATTACAAGAATCTACACATATGATAAAACTGTATAGAACACACACACATACACACACACACCAGTACATGTAAAACATTAAGTCTGAATAAAGTCTGTGAATAGTTTGTATCAACCTAAATTTTCTGGTGATGATACTCTTCTCTGGTTACTGTGGGAGGAAGAATGATGACAGGCACAGATTTCTCCATATTTTTTTTTACATTTTTATTGAACTATAATTCATATACCATACAATTCAGTCATTTAAAGTGTGTAACTAAATGAATTTTGCTATATTTTACACATCAGTGCAACTATTAGCACAGAAAACTATAAACATTTCATTAAGGGAAAGCAAGCTTAATAGCAAACTAAAGAAAAAGAGGTGGCAGAATTCAACACCCTCTTCATTCTGCCCACTCACCTTCACCAGGAAAAAGGACACACCGTATGTCCGGAGGGAGCGGGCAAGTTTGACATACTTCACTTTGGCCTCTATTTCATTCATCTCTCCACAGTTCTTGTGCTCCTGCAAAAATGATAGTGGCAGGAACCAGTTATTGTAGGTGGACTTGGTGAGAGGTAGTCACTACATGCTGTGCACGTACAGTGGCTAAGAATGCTCTACGAGAGATGCTTGTGTTGGAGACCCCTCCATGACACCCATTCCTGCTCACCAGGGGTCAACTACACAGAAAGTGCTAATGCAGAGCTTCTTAACTATCAATAGAATGAGCCAAAACTCCACCAGATTTCACAATTCATTGTAACAATTCACACATGTGTAACACAGTTGGGAAAAGGGATTTAATTTTCAACCAATTTCCCAAGGACTCCATTTCCCAAAAGGCTTAGATTCAAACCTAAATGAGAGCGACAAAAACGTTCTTCTCAGGAGAAGTATTATTCCATTATCCACCCAAAATAGAAAGTTTTCCAAAGAGCAGGATATATAAAAGTCTGTGTAACACAGTTCTTAGAAACTATGTGAGATAAACAATGTTTTATACACATAAAATTTAAATTTCAATCTCAAAATCAATTTTGATATTTTGGATTCACTAGAGTAACTGTTTGAAGGCAAAGTTAGTGATAGGGCTTTTTTTTTTTTTTTTATTGGCTGCCAGACAACTTGGATTCCAGAATAAACCTGGATATTAAGAAGGCTCAGTTTCCAAATTCCAGCTTCAAAAAACAAATTTCAGGACAAAGAAAAACTACTTGTAGCTTCTTCCTCCATGCCTTTTAATGACAAATAACCTTGTCTCAATGCTACGGAGATAATGCCTCTGAAATTAAATATATGCACATTTTTCTCAGAAGGGCTAAGTAACCTTTAACAAGGAGGTATGGATTAAGATAATAAATCTGCCCAAAGTGGAACTGTCAACTTCCATGCTCTAGAGTCACTCATCACATATTATATAAGCAGAGTACATGCACAGGGTACAAAACTATCATGTGCAGCAGCAGACCCCCTCACACTAATAAAGGAGGAAAGGGAGTGCAGAGAATAACATTTCTTTTCTTTTCCAGTACCTGAAATATTCTCTTTTCTGCTCCTCTCTGCTTGATGTATTCTTTGGGCAGGAATTCCTTTAGGCTGAAAGACAAATAAAAAAAGGTAAAGCATTTATCATTTTCTATGATGAGAAGAAAGGAGACTTTGTGAAACTCAAAGTTAAGAACTAACTCTCCCAGCGTTTTATAGTGTAATTAATAACCAACTGCTATATCCACAATGCACTTAAATAACACAGATACAATATAATCCTTTGTAAGAAAGGGAAGAAATGACTTTTCACTTTAAAAACAGTAATTTGTAGGGCCTCCCCTGGTGGCGCAGAGGTTGAGAGTTGGGCTGCGAAGCTGCCCACAGCCTGTGTGGTGCTGGTTTGATCCCCGGACACCGGCGAGGGTCCCACATGGCGCGCAGATCTCTGCTGCTGCGCCCGCTGCTCCCCTCAGCAGTGTACTTCATCAGTCTGCCTGTTCTGCTCCCCGCTCTGGTTCTGGTGAATTCTCTCACCCTCCTGCGCTTCTGACTGTACCCAGTGCTTGTATAAATAAATAAATGAATCTTTTTAAAAAAACCCAAACCAATACTTTGTATCATTAATATGTCTTTTTAAAAAAATCTAGAATAAATCTTGTATTAATAAAAATTAAGTCATTATGGGAAGAGGGGGAAAAGGAAAAAGGAAGAAGAATGGAAAGACAACTTCTTTAAATATGCCTCCTGTTAGGTTTTTACTTTAGAACTACATGAAATGATAAAGAGGGAAGAAAAACAATACCTAAAAATCATAAGCAAACTGAAACGAATTTAATACTATGTCAAGATGACAGCATAACCACAGGGAGAAAAATTATTTCAACTAACTTTGAAAAACAGTCATTTCACTACATATTCCCAGTGGGATATAAAATGAATTGTAGTATACTTGTTAAATGTTGATATCATTTTAAAACTAATGCCCATTCATCCCTTCCTCTACATATGCACACAAATATACAAACTATAAAAGTGGGGTATTACACCTAAGGAGGATGTTACAGATTATTGGGACAAAGCAAATGAGTAATTGCTAGAAACTAAGAGTTTTACATAAAACAGACAAAAATAAACACAAAAGAAAAGTTAAAGACCCTGTAATCTTTCATTTAAATTGGAATTATTGATCTGACCTACTGATTCATTTTTTTGTTTTCTGAAAAACACATCTTCTCTAGTTGTATGTCCACTGAGGAAGCCAGGGGAAGGATAACCTGCTGGTTAGGGATCCTTGAAGAAATGCTCTGGGGCCAAGAAGTGTATAAACTGTTCCTGGGTCTTTCTGTGGCTGAGATAAAGCAAGCTATCAAAAAAATGACACTAAAACCAACATCAACGCATAACCACTGACCAAAAATGGGGTGATTTTTAAAATCTTAATACAAAAGAAAAGCGAACAATACAAGGACCATCCATCTTCAACAATTATAAATCATGGTCATTCATGACTCATCTCCTCCCTCATCCCACATTCCCTCTCCTGAATTATTTCAAAGCAAATCCCAGACATCATATAATTGATTTTATGTGATGGGGCAATTTGAGCATCAGAAAGAATGATGACTATAATGAATAAAAACACAGATATATAAATCTTAATACAAAAGAATGAAATAAGTCAAAGATAAAAATAAGTATCACTGATTGCTATAACCAATAATTAACAAGTTGATGGGGGAACTTTATAATAGATGGATCGCTCTGATACTACCCAAACCCAGAGATAAATTTGAATGTTAATAAAATTGAGCTAACCAAACAACCTATGCCTCCTGACTAATGCACAGAACCATACAGCAACACCTAGCAAGTATTCTTGGCAATAAAGAATATGTAAGTACATGACGGAATCTGAATTTAATGAAGACTATAGGTCTAAAAACTAGTTTACAAAGAGAGACATAAGAACATGCAAGTGGCACCACTGGGATACAGTCAGCCAAATCCCAACACAAAAAACTTCCATAAAAAATAACCCAGTTTCTCACAACAAAAAGTTTGGTGGTGGTGGTAGTGCAAAGGGACAGTGCAACAAAACTAAGACAGTTTTAAAAATGTGTTGACCACAAAGCTATAGGAACAATGTAGGACTGACATCAGAACAGATTTAAAGGTCATTGTAACAGAGTTGAAAATCCAGAATGTAACCCTTACCTTTATGGTCAATTGATTTTCAATAAGGATGCCACGCATATTCAATGAGGAAAGAATATTTTTAATAGGGCTTCCCTGGTGGTTAAGGAGTTAAGCACAGCACTATGAAGCTATCTGCAGCCTCTGCAGCAGCTACCGCAGCCTCTCGATCCCTGGCCAGCCAGGGAGCTACCCACAATGTGTAGCAGACTTCTCCTGACCCACCTGCTGCTTCCCTCAGCAGTGTGTTTCAGTCAATCCGCCTATTCTGTTCCCCACTCTGTCTCTGGTGAACCCTCTCATCCCCCGTACCTATGGCTTGTACCCCAGTTCTTATATTCATAAATAAACATTTTTTTAAAAAGAGTATTTTCAATAAATGGTGGTGAGACAAGTGGATGTCCACATGTGAAACAATAAAGTTGGATTCCCTTCCTCATATCATACACCAAAAGTCAAAATGGATCATAGACCTAACTGTAAGAACAAAAATTTCAAAACTCTTGGAATGAAATACAGAAGTAAATCTTTATGACTTAGGGTTAGGCAAAGACTTTTTAGATATAGCACAATAACACATGTAATCAAAAGAAAAACATAGGTAAGCTGAATTACCTCAATGTGATACACTTAACTGCGAAAGTGGGAAAAGGCAACCCACAAAAGAAAAGAAAATATCTGCAAGTTATATATCTAAATAATGGAACCAGAATATATAAAAACTTTCACAGGTAAATAATAAAAGACAACCCAACTGAAAATGACAGAGGCTCTGAGCAGACATTTCTCCAGAGAAGACATACAAATGGTCAAAAGCACAGGGTAATATGGGCAACCTCAGCAGTCATCAGGGAAATACAAAGAAAAACCACAAGGCAACAGTATTGTAGATCCACTAAGATGGCTACAATACAAAATGGAGTGTGGCAAGTATTGATGAGGGTACAGAAAAGCTGGAACCCACAAACTTTGCTGGTGGGAATGTAAATTGGTGCAATTGCTGTGGAAAACAATTTGGTAGTTCTTCAAAATATTAAAGAGAAATTCTACTCTTAGGTTTATAACCAAGAAAAATAAGAACATGTGTTCATACTTAATTTGTACACAACTGTTCACAGAATATCATTCATAATAGCCAAAAGTTTCACGACAACAACCACCAACTTATGAATGGATGGATGTGGTTTACCTATGCAAGGGAACATTTATTTGGCAATAAAATGGTATTAAGTATGATGCATAGTACAACATGGCAACATGTAGTAAGTGAAAGAAGCCCATCACAAGAACCCACAATTTTTATGATTTCATTTACATGAAATGTCCAAGAAGGCAAATCTCTAAGACACAGAAAGGACTAGTGGTAACAAAGACTGGGATAGGAGGAGCAGGGGAAGTGGGGATTGGTTGTAATAGACACTGGGTTTATTTTAGGAGGGATAAAAAATGTTCTAGAATTAAGACTGTAGTTGTGGTCGTACTGTAACTATACTAAAGAACTCTGAATTCTACACTTTAAATCAGTGAGCTGTATGGTATATGAATGCTATCTCAATATAGGTGTTTTTTGAAAAAACATGCTGCAGGAAGGATCTAAGAAATATCTAAGCAGCAATACCTGACATGTTATGACCATTGTAAAACAACTTTGGACAAAAATGAGAGAGAACTAGAAGACACCAATATCACAAAAAGGAAGCTGAGTCACAGAGTCGTAAAGTGACATAGCTAAGGTCCAGGATTTGTTAGCAATAGGGACCCTCTAACCTTCCAGACTCAAGAGTGGTCCACTGAACACGCCTCACTGTTTGTTTTCCCAGGAGCACTTTTTTTTTTTAAAAAAGATTTATTTATTTATTTATACAAGCACTGGGTACAGTCAGAAGCGCGGTAGGGTGAGAGAATTCACCAGAGCCAGAGCGGGGAGCAGAGCAGGCAGAAGGACCGAAGCACACTGCTGAGGGGAGCAGCAGGCGGCAGGAGAGGTCTGCGTGTCATGAGGGACCCTCCTCAGGTGGCCAGGGAGCAGCTGGGGATCGAACCGGCGCTGCAAAGGCTGTGGGCAGCTTCGCAACCCAGCGCTCAACCGCTGCGCCACCAGGTAGGCCCCAGGAGCACATTTTAATGAAGCAGCATGAATGCTACTGCTCTGGGCATCTGAACAATTGCTCCTACACCATTAACAAAAAGATACATAGCTGAGGTCACCAAAAGTCCCCAAAAGGGGACCCCTGCAAACCCATCAGGAAGACTGTTACCCAAAAAATGCCAGATGGCGGTGCCTTGTGGCCAGGCAGGGGTTAGGATACGACAAGAAAGTCCTGTGAGTCCCCAAACTGCCCTGTACTCAAACTGCAAACTAACCCTCATTCTGTTGCAGGCAATGAAAGCAACTTTCAGAAGCTTGTGCTAGAAGTGTTACCACTGACATGGCAAAAGTCCATTTGGGAGGAGTTTACTATAAAGTGTTTAAAATATGAGGTGAGTATGTTGGGCACGTGCAGCAAGTACATCCCCCCAGTAAATCAGCAAGGTGCATGGTGTCAACATAACTCTGGAAGGCGCAGGCCACCTGTCATCACTGCCTGCAGCCAGCGGTTCCTCAGTTCAGTTGTTTTGATGACCAGAGTGGAGTTTGGAAGGCTCCTAAGCAACTGGGACATACTTACAAGGGAAACCTGTTGGCTGTCTCTGAAAAAAGGGATCAGGTTGTTAAAGGAAACTTTTCTCCTATAAAGGAAGCTCTGGCCAAGCTAAGTCCCTCCCACTGCCCCTTAAATGTTCCCACCTTAAAAGGGCAGCGGTCTACAAGGTGTGCATTTAGATTCACTCCTCCTCTAAACCCTCAGCCCACACATAAACCCAGCCTTTATATATCACCTTTTCTGAATGTGATAACAACAGATCTTGCAGTT